TTCAATTAATAATTCATTTCACTGTATAAAAATGCTGTAAATTGAATTGTTTGATTTCATTGGCCATTTTTTTTTAAATCGAAATTATATTAAACTATGATAGTTTAAAATCTTTTTATCACTTTTAATTTATCATTTAATTTATTTAATTAATTAATTTATCATTTTTTATCATTCAGTATTTTAAGAATATTTTATTTGAAGGATATCATATAAGTAAACATTTAATGTGAAACAAATGATTTCAAAAGTAAAACAAATGGATGAAAGTAATAATTAAACTAATGAATAATTAGATTCAAAAAAGAAAAAATTAAGATAACAATTAAATAACCAAAAAAATTCATGCTGTGCAATTAATTAAATTAATTAAAAAAATAAATAGATAATTAGATTTAAAAAGGAAGAAAAAATTAAAATAACAATTAAATGACCAAAAAAAAATTCATACCTGTGCAATTAATTAAATTAATTTTAAAAAAGCCAAATGAGTGGTTGAAAAAAGGATGAACCGTAGTGGACAAAATATTTTAAGGACTTTCATTTACGAATAATTACTGTTAGGCATGTCATGCATTAATTGTTAATAATTAATTAACATAATGTATCGTATTAGTTCAATACCAATTGCAATGATGCAAATGCAATGTAATACATACGGTAGGGTCGCTATCATCTAAGGAATTATTTTAATTAAATTTCAATTTAATTTCTAAGTTTTTTTTATTCGAAAATTTCATTTCTTTGCATAATTTTCAAATGTTACTTATCATTCTTCATTTAATTCAGTATAATTATCTTTGATGTCAACAATGATTATTAATTATATTAACTATAAATTATATTATGTAGTGATTAATTACACTGTATATAGCAATATACCGGTATCAATGAACATTAATATGCAATAAAAGATTCTGATAAACAAATTAAGCTTATCAATAAAGCGCATTATTTGATTGACACATTACCCAACCACGTGTTAACATTTAGGCTAATTTATCAGTAGCTTAATTAATATATAAATTAAAAGGAATAATTTAATTGACTGAAATTTTTGGATAAATCTAAAATTTGCTATTCAGCGAAATTATCCTCTTAGTTTTAACATAAATTATTATGGAACTGCAAACATCAGTTATTTTGATAATTTTACTATTTTCAATTCGGAATATTCCTTTGTAAGTAGTAATTTTTAATTAGCACAAAATTTGTCAACCTATTCTGGAAAGCGCTAATAAGTTATAATTAAAGTTAATTGGGATTAATAATTGTGGAAATTCTAAATTTACATTTAAAATTATCTCATTTTTTTGTTACTACGATATTTTTGCTTAACTTTTGTCCTTTTTTTCTTTTGCTGTAATTAATAAAAAATATGAACTTTGACCAATTTATGTAATTAATGGATGAATATAATTTACATCTCGCAGATGCTATTTAGATGTGCTTGACAAATATGTCATCAACATACATGCACAGAAATTACTGGCTTGATAATCTGCAACATTGATTCAGGCTGGTGAAGAGGTAAATATTTGATATTATGGTATTATCACTATCTGAAATACAATTATCTAGCATTTCAATTAATATTGTGCTTGCTTTTAAATTTTTTTTTGGATTAATATTTCAGAGATTTACAGGATAGTGATATTATTATCATTTAAAATATGAATAAAATGTTTATCACTGATAGGTTTATCACTTATAAGATAGATGTTTTTCTTGTTTATCACTTATGAGTTTATCATCGATGTTTATCATTTATAAGATAGATGTTTTCCTTCGCTTTTCTAACATTGCTTCTTTTTCACCTTTCTTAATTTCTAATTGGATTAATATTCTGGAAATTCCCTGATAGCACTATTTATTAAATAAGGTTAATATAAACTTTTTTCCACTTTCCTTAATTTCTAATTAGATTAATATTCCGGTAGTTTGTATAATATAGTTTATATAGATTTGCATAATATAGCCTATATTGATTTATTTAATACGTTACCTATTTGATTATCTGAAAATATTAGTATAATTTTTTATGCCAAAAGAAAAACGGAAATAAAGTAATATTAATTATTCAAATGGTAAAATTATTTATTCAAATAGTAATTATTCAAATAATAAATAATCATTCAATTATTTGAAACAAAAGAGAGAAAAAGAAAATACATTGTAACGGAATTCAAATAAATCCATTTCTTACAATCATTCATATATAAATAATCATTTCATATCTACGAGTAATTATTATTTAATTTCAGTCATTGTTGCATAAACATATCTTCCGGTCATTTTATATCAAAGATACCGGATATGAACATTCTCCCAAGATCATTTTCATTTTCACTAAATATGATGATTACAATGCTGTTTCTATCTCTAATAGCTAGTCGGCATATTTATCAAGTTTATTTTTGTCGGCTTTCTCAAAGTAATTCTGAAATCAAGTCCTAGCTACCCAGCGTAATTATCATTTTCCTGAATCGGATGTTGCGAAAAGATGAAGTATAATATTTGCCGGAATATTTTGCACTACACATAACAGTTGCCAATTTTGGCGATGTCCAACAGGCTAACAATGAATGAAACGATGGATATTACTGTTCCCTCAAATTATAATTTAACATTTCAAAATTACAGTGAAAGAGGAAAACAAATTAAATCAATACTGGATTACTGCTAATGAATAGAATATAATGCTAATCAACAAATATTAATTGATTTCAAACTTATATTATCAATTGATTTGATAAGGAATGCTTACATATATGTTCCTCAAAATTTTAAAAATAAGAAATACTATTATCAAATTAATTTAGAAATTTTAAATTTAAAGAAACAACTGATAAGAAACATTCATATATGTAAATTCAATGAAACAACTGATAAGAAACATTCATATATGTAAATTCAATGAAACAACTGATAAGAAACATTCATATATGCAAATTCAATAAAACAACTGATAAGAAACATTCATATATGCAAATTCAATGAAACAACTGATAAAAAACATTCATATATGCAAATTCAATAAAACAACTGATAAGAAAAATTCATATATGCAAATTCAATGAAACAACTGATAAGAAACATTCATATATGCAAATTCAATAAAACAATTGATAAGAAAAATTCATATATGCAAATTTAATGAAATTATTTAAATTTGAAAAAGCATTAGCTCTGTGATTTTAAAATTAATAAAATACAATAACCTAAATTCATTTCAATTTTCGAAAAATTATTTCATATAAATATTGAAAGTGAATTAATAAAATAAATGAACTTAACGATAGACCAATTATTAGAACTAATTTATTTCATTAACTTTATAGATTAACTTATCATTATTTATCATTTACACTTTAAACACTTCTATAACTATCACTTTCTATAACTATCAAACACTTCTATACTTCTATAACTACCATCTATTCCATAAACTTTATAGATTAAACTTATCATTATTTATCATTTACACTTCTAACTTTTCTATAACTACCATTTTAATCATATCATAAAATTTTTTGCATTCATTTTATAGTTAAAAATCATACCATTATATATTTATATATTTGTTTATTAGATTAAAGGTTTAGACCAATTATTAGAGTTAATCTATTCCATAAACTTTACAGATTAACCTACTATTAGTTATCATTTACACCTCTAACTTTTCTATAATTATCATTTTAATCATATCATAAAATTTTTTGCATTCATTTTATAGTTAAAAATCATATCATTATATATTATATATTTGTTTATTAAATAAAAGGTTTAAATGAAAAATATTAATTATTGACAAATTTCTTTATAAAAGTTAAATTATGTCAAAGAATTTCGACTAATTATAATTTACTAAAATTATTTATTAAATTATTGTAATTAAATTTGCTAATTTTTATTATAATATAAAATAATTTTGAAATGCAATTGTTTCTTTTCACTTTTAATAAAATGCAAATTCAGTAAAAAACGTATAGTAATTAATGAGAATTTTGATGAATAAATTATTTAGCGAATGATTGAGAAGTGATAATCACTGCAGTTATAAGTTGAAATTATCACAAATAACCGATAATTAGGATTCGTTAACTAAAGGATAGACATAATTGATTGCTAGTACTATGATTAGGGAGAAGAATTAGCTAATTGAACATGTACAGTTACAAGTTATGATTTGTTTTAATTTCATATTTGTACAAATATAATTATCATTTTAGCAGCATGATAAGTAATAATAGGAACGGATAAATGCCATATGATAATTGTAATTATTGTGGCTATATGAGAGTTGTAGTTACCGCGTGTGCGTGTGTTTTAGATAATCAATCAGATAGGCCTAAATTATTATGAGAAGTGAAAAAGTGATTAAGATAGATATAATAAGAAATAATTTTAAAATTGAGAATATACTACGTGTGTGTGTGTGTGTGTGTGTGTGTGTGTGTGTGTGTGTTATATGTTTTAGATAATCAGTTAGATAGACCTAAATTATTATGATAACTGATAAAGTGAAAAATAATAAGAAATAATTTAATAATTTTAAAATTGAGAATATACCATATATATGTATGTGTTTTAGATAATCAATCAGATAGGCCTGAATTATTATGATAAGTGAAAAAGTGATAAAGATAGATATAATGAGTAATAATTTTAAAATTGAGAAGTATTTAGATATGTAGAAAAGAAAAGATTAAAAAAGGGATGAGTAATAGTTTTTGAAAAATAAGCCTAAAAATGAGAATTAAATGAATCATCTTCAAAAATAACTGTTTTTGCTTAATAAATATAAACAACAACAATATTGTTTATAATTTTAATGAGAGAAGAAATATAATTTAAGTATTTGAATGTAATTTGTTTAATGATTTTTTATTCGTCTGAATTAAAATTAACAATTGAAATATTTATCACTGATTATAATTAAGGCTTTATTTTATGAAATTTAGATACATATGTATTGTATATTCAAGGTATTTTAATTTATGGAATATTTTCAGACACTGGATTTGCTAGCTTTGATATTGGGACAGCCATTTTGGCTTATCGTTTTCATAGGATTGCATGATTATAAAAGGTATTCCAATTTAGTGATTTTCAATTTTGGTACTTTTAACAAAGGTACTAACGAGTGGATAAGGCAAATTTGTTGGATAAATTCGTAGGTTTATTTTGAGAGAGTTATAATAATATAATACGTTGGTACCACTTGTAGTCACTTTTTCAGTAAAGGACAATATATCGATACAACATCGTTGGAATTACGACGAGATACAGAATGCTTCTATCGCTATATGAAAAGGGATCATCATCAAAGTTTTGCGGAATGGTTACACAAAAAGAATGCTTCACATTATACACCAATTGCGCCCATCTATCAACAATCGTTATTAAATTTACAGGTTAGAGCAAATTATATTTTTCTTTTTCCATCACTGAAAAAATCCCACAGACATTTATTTCGTGTATTGTTTTAATATTTGTCAACATTGTTGCAACTTTTCGTTGACAAAATTTGACGTTGCCATCAATTCATCACAGATCTGCATGTGAACTGTAATGAAAGTTGCACCCAAAAAAGTATACCTAAGTGACAGATAAAGAAGCAAATTTACCGGTATCGTTTAAAACGAATCCGAATAAGTTTTCTTAAAAAATCGGTAGAAACTTTAGGTCACAATATTTCTAAATAAAAAGAAAGTGCAAACAAATAATATTCCGCAAGAGGAAATATAATGCATGAAAGGGATATCATATCGGGAAGGAATTCAATTCCGTTTACATTTCTCGAATAAATATGGAAATAAAAATGGCCTAAAAAATGAGCCAAAAAATTGGATGGAAAAAATTGTCGAAAATTAGTAATAAGCTGAATACATATATATATATATATAATTTCTCTGACATTTATCTTATCGGGAAAAATAACTTTCGAGAAAAAATTTGGCTACTAAATCTTCGAAATTTAATTTCTGTACATGCCAAAACAAGATTGCACTTCGTTATTTGTATTTAATGGTTGTAGTGAGATACAACTGCTGTGATACTACTGGTACATCAACCAAATGGTACTTCGAAAATCCTACGTAGTACTAAGAAACGAATCGATTTGATTTTTATCAGGATACACGTATGCTGGGCAGTGTTATGTCGTATGGTTTCTCGCATACCTAAAAGAATTAATTCCTATAATGGGTTTTACAAAGTAAATTGCGTGCAGAATAAAACTTACCGCAGAACTTAAAGTTCATTTCATCGCAACTATACACCTCAAATATAAACATCTTTCAATATTTTGAAGAATACCATTGGGGATCTCTAAATTTTTAAATTAAATATTATTTAGCACATTCATTCATCGTTTGCTTTTAGTTAAATGCGCTGAAAGATGGAGAACAAGTAACGCATGGAGTTGCCAATTGCGAAATACCGAAAATACCGGCAATAACACCGGATATACCATTGAGAGAACGCGCATTGTGTTATTTCGAATATTTTCTTAATTATAATCCGTTGGTATGTTTTCACTTAATTTAAAGATCTGCTATTTAATTGAAATTTAGAATAAATTCTAAGCTATAGCTAAACGTTATTTCCGGTTAGGAATGTTCTTCCGAAAAGAGTTATGAGAATAACTTCAAATTTTTGAGCTATGTATTTGTTAGATCTGGATTATTAGCATAAATTAGTGTGGGGAAATACCGTACTTAATCAAAATCTCTCAGTCAGTCGTATCATTTCGTACTGAGTCGTACTGATTGTAAAAAATCAGTCGTATCATTTCAATCTATCCGACCTCATTTAATTAATTTTTATACTGAAAAAAAAGTTGAAACGGTTTGCTTTGATAAGATAAATTGAATTGTTGTAAAAGAGTGGAAAGTAGAAATGCTATAATTGGAATTGATATTGGAATTCAACTTTTATCCTTTAAGAAATTCAATAATTTTTATGCTTCAAAAAGCTGAATATTTCATAATTCAATTTATCCAACCGAATAATTAAAGCGATTTGAAGAGAGTTGAAGAGTCATTTTGATTATTCGATTGTTCAACACTTAATTACCTCATTTATTTAATTACAATGCTTTCTTAATTAACGTCTTGGTCATTAATAACTTCATTACAACTACATATCCATAAAGAGATGTCAAAATTGATAAGGGACAGGACGGAGTAAATTCATAGCTGGACAAGAATTTCGGGAAATTTGGCCGGTCACTTTCTTCTATGATAGAGTTTTGTTTCCAATTTGATAATGCAATTTCAAGTTGATAAATATCACAGGTATCACAGGTGTTTTACACTCAAATCAATCAACAAAGAATAATTCAGAAAATGCAATTCACAAACATTGTAAATAATAATTTCTTCCACATCCAATGTTTCCAAATACTTTAAAAGCATTCCGTATTGATCATTTCTCTTCCTTTAAATCGAAACATTCCTTCCTCTCACGGAAATCACGGGAGAAGTTTAAGGTTGCAAAAAAGATTCACTCCATGCGTGATATTTTAAGAGAGTACCGGCGGCTTTAACGGAAGTACGCTGCATGTGCGCGCATCCACCGTCTAAATTGATAGGTAAGCGAATCTTTGAATGTGAGCCGCTTCGCTACCAAATTCGCGTGCTTCAATTTGACGAACTGTGTCAAACATATTCAGAAAAAATTGAAATAATTACCTTGGCATGTATACCTGTGCTACAGGTAAGTTAATATATCTTTCCATCCATAGTTTTATGATCGATTGGTTTTGTTGACAAATTTTGTCTTTTATTCAAAGATTAAAATGATTTTTCGGATAGTTAAATAGTAAGGAAGTTTTCATTTCCATCCCCAAAAACAGAATGGTTGATCTCAATGCCAAAATTTCCAGGCAAGTGCTAGAGCAGATGGTGAAATGAAATTCATGGCTCCGGAAAGATTCCAAGGTCCGATCAGGAAGAGATTTCGGTATGACGAATAATCAGTGACGATATTATCTCCCTTAACCTCCGCGTTGCTACCTCAATGATTGGAGAATAAATATTTCGATGTTTATTTGCCCCACAGCTCTTTATCGTTTGACGTCTAATTATTATTTAGAAAGATACATTTTTTTTACGGGCGGCTGAACGGACAAATGAATTAATATTTGCACAAGAACCCTACTCATCATTTAAATCAGCAATGATTAAGATCCGTGACATTATTCCACAGGGAAACATTACTGTAACTGAAAAGTATCAAGATAATCGAAATCCGGTTTAATGAATAGCGTAACATTGCTCCACAAGGAAACATTGCTGTAACTGAAAAGTATCAAGATAATCGAAATCCGGTTTAATGAATCGCGTAACATTGCTCCACAAAGAAAGATTACTGTAACTGAAAAGTATCAAGATAATCAAAATCCGGTTTAATGAATCGCATAACATTACTCCACAAAGAAAGATTACTGTAACTGAAAAGTATCAAGATAATCAAAATCCGGTTTAATGAATCGCATAACAATATTCTACAAAGAAGTAATAATTTTTGAAAAGCATCAGAATAATTTTTTAAAAGTGATTTAAACAAATTATAGTCTAACAAATGAATTCTTAAAGAAAAAAGGTAAGAGAAGAAGCCAAAACGGTGTCAAAATTTAAGCAGAAAAACCGGAATAGAAAGATCAACTTTAACCAAAACGGAACAGAAAAAGAAATGAGAAATCATTAAATCAGTGACATTAATAACAATGCTTATTATTCAGAAAATTTAGCATCAATAATTGCTTACAAAAATTAACATCAATAATTGATCATTTTACTATGCTTGTAATCACGGGTGGCAACAAAAAAACTTTTCGATTTGCTCATTTTAAGGAAATTACAAAATTTACAAAAATATTCAAATTTGGTCTTTCTCAGTCATATCTGCGACAAATCTTTATTAATTACGGTGAACTCTCCGATGTATTAAGTGTCCTTTTCTCCAATTCACAATTCTTCACTTTCTCAACATCACTTAATGCCCATTGCTGTACTTCACCCTTAGCAAACAAACAGAAAATGATAGTACCAGCTAATAGCACTCCGCCAGTAATCCAGAAAACTAATTGCCATTCTTGTTGTGAACCCTAAAATAAATGAAATGCTAGTCAGTGCTTTCATAAAAAGTTTGATTTGAAAAATCCATTTCATCCAACTATTTCATATAGGCTAATTATTCATTTCTTTTTGTTAAGCTTGAGGTAAGGTAAAATTCGTAAAAATTAATAAAATTGAAATGTAAAATTCAAGGATATAAAATTTATAAATGAAATTTACGATGTGTGTGTGCATATCCGTGTGTGTACGTGTATGTACGTGTGTGTACGTGTACTTGTACATATATGCACGTATATGCGCGTAAAATCGGAATAATTTATAATAAATACGTTCAAATACATTGAAGTAATTTCATCCCATAAATGCACATACATATACATATGTGTATGTGTATGTGCATGCATGTATGTATGTATGTGTGTATGTATGTGCCTGTGGGTGTAACAAATTAAAGAAAATCATAAAATATAGTAAAGATTACCGTGGGAGTAAGTTTGCCAACCAATACTGGACTGATGATCCCAGCGATGCATGATAATGTATTTCCTATACCTAATATAGGTCCAGCGAATGTTGGTGCAATATCGAGATAATTGACCACAAAACCGGCATACTGTATTCCGGATAAGCCAATACCAAGAGTGAGGAAGACGATCACCAGAATTTCTTGACCACAGCCACAATAACCGCTAGCTATCAGAAATACAGCTTGACTTCCAAGTGCTGTAATTTCAGCACTTACTAATTGATTCGTTCTTCATTACTTATCCTCCGATTAATTATACACGTATATATTATCTCTAAGCTAAAGCAGATAGCTAATTGAAGGTTGAAAACATTGTTAGAAAATTTGCGGTATTATACCACTTCTTATCAATGCTAACTAATCTGATTAAATATAAAACCGATATATCCCAATGGCTCTTAAAGGAAAACTTACCAACGATCATAGCAAGACGTCGAGTGGCAATAGTTGATAAGATATTCGCATTTTGCAATTTATCTGCGATAAAACAGCCCAAATTAATAAATATGAAGTATGCAATGTATGGAACTGCTGTCAAAAATCCAAGCTAAAACATACTAACTTAAGAAACTTTTTAATTAATAATTTTTTCCGATATTAAACTTCATTAGATCATCGGACTATTTATGCCAGTAAATACCGGGAATACTAATAGCTCCATTTTATGCAATGATTAAAAAATAAGCGGACCGAAGCAAAATCGAGTCCCAAAACATCATTCATGAATATCGGAAGACTGGTCATCATAATGTAAGCACCCCAATCACCAGCAAAATGACCACAAAATAATGCCCAAACCGGAAGTGATTTGAATATTTCAAGCCATGGAACTGCTCTTTTCTAAAATTGAAAATTCAAGTTTAGAAAATGAATGGAAAATTGCTATTATCAAAAGAGCTTAGTTATTTAATGAAAGGTGCTTTTTTATGATAATTGCATAACTGCATGTGCCGGATAAAATCTTTCAGCATACGAAGATTAATCCGTTTTTTTCTTACCATTCTTTAACGCCTAATTAATATTTTATCATTTCCAATGTGAAGTATTTCAGTTTGCAAAAATTCGAAATTAATTCTAATAAGAAATAATCCGAAAAAAAGTTACTACCTTCTTGGAATCTGATGCCAATATATCAGCCAATGAATTTTCAATATAATTGAGCTCCCTTTTTGAAATACGTTTACTAGAAGAAGGTCGATCCGAAGCATAGAAGAACCACAAAAAGCACCATAAAATACCGGCCGTACCTTTAAAAATGTTTGATAATTATATTACAAATGATTTCTCGAACTATGAATTCTATGTAATTGGATGAATTTTAAGAAATAATGAAACATATAATAAATTTTCAAACTTACCGATAACGTAAAAGATTGATGGCCAACCACCTGCAAATCCATACTTGCAAAGTAAACCGGACAATGGCAGCACAATTGTGTTACCTATTTGTGCACCTGTAATAAGATTTATTTCAAAATCAAAAACAACAAAATAGCATTTTATGCTATAGTCCAAATTGATAGCATTCTTTGCAACAAATTGTAAATTGGGATTTGAAGTTTCAAGTTACTCTCTCAGATTCTTATCAAAATTCAAAAACTTTAAGATGATGTAAAGAAACAAAACCAGATATAAGCAAACCTGCATATGTTAGTCCGGTTAATAAACTTCTTTCCAGTGGAGGTGCCCACATTGACCACATAGAATGGAACGCAGGAAATACAGCACCCTAAAAATTGAAAAACATAAATAGCCATAGCCTATTGATAGGAAAATTCGTAAGCATAAAAAATTATTTTCAAATAATTTAAATATGAAATTGCAATAAATCAAACTTAATAATAATTATGATTTAATTATTGAAGGTATTGTGATACCTGCATAAAGCCTATCAGAGCTCGAGCAGCGATGAATGCAAAAACGCTCATTTTTGCAGCTAATGGACTGAATAACGTAAGAATTGAACTTCCCAAAACCACAAAACCGATCACTAAACGACCACCATATTGATTAGCTAAATAACCACCAAGAATTTGGCTACTTATATAGCCCCAAAAAAATGCGCTTAATACATATCCTTGTATATCTTTCGCCCAAACCAAATTACCCATAATCTGAAATGAAATTAATAATTAAGTACAATACAGCACATTGTATAGCGCACAATATACATAATATAATATAGCACATAATATAATAATAATAGAGCATATAATATAGCACACAATATAGCACATAAAACCGTTATATCGTTTAAATTATCACAGGAAATCATTTCAATCATTTCAGGAAATAAAATGAAAAAAATTTTTCAAATTCCAAATTCATAATGCTATCAAAACTTTGTTTATATTTTTAATGATTGTGGATTTTAATTAAAATAAATTAGATTATTTTCATAGTATTTGTTGAAATTTTAAAATTTAAAATATTTCAATAAAATAAATGAAATACCGTATCCTTTTCGATTGATTCACTATCATTTTGTAATGCGCATGTTGTAGCCTTCTTCACATTAGTACCACCATCACCAGATAACATATCCACCGCTGTACTATTAACCATACAAACGATTGCAAAACTAACATCGGTACGTAAAGCATAAATAGCCACACAACCGAGAAATCCTACTAGCGCAAGGTTAAATCGGGCAGAACCCAAAAGAGCTAAAATAATAAATGAATTATGATAAATATAAACTAGAAGAGATGATTAATGATTTGTTAATTAATACCATTAGCAATGGCAATAATAATTATTACTGCAATTATAATAATTAGAATTATCACTTATCAAAAATGGTAACTGATGAATGATAAAAGATAATCAAATGATTTATGTAACATTAATTATTGCTTCATTTAGGAAGACAACAAATATGCCTTAAATTTAATTATCGATTTCTTTTAGCAGCTTATTGCACATCGATATTTGAATGGGAGAATACATGAATTTAAAGTAATATCATCTAAGAGTTGCTTTTGAGATTGTGGCTTATTCAATTTGAAGTTACTGGGCTTATTATGCTAATTGTTGAAGTGAATGCATTTTAAAAATCGGCCAAGTAATTTGAGAAATGGCACTCATCAAATATTTCATTGTCGGGGATTGCCATTTCAAAGTACCTAATTAGTCGGATTATTGATCGAGTTTTACTAATCTACCTGATTATCTTGCCGAAGAATATAATGCTTACTAAGATATTTGCTAAACGATTCATCAAATATCCCGCGATCGGGACGGAAGCAGTGTTACTTAAATGCTCATTAACCAAAAGTAAATAATACAAATTTTAAGGCTTAAATTTGATGACGAATTAATTCAGTCATATTTTGTTTGTATTTCATTAAATTTGCATTTGTTTATATTTCATTAAAATCCGATTACATTCTAATTTACGTAAGTTAGTAAATATCACAAAGATTGCAAAATAAATGAAAATAAACAATAAATTGAAGTAATTTAAAAGTGTGATAAATTAAATTGGAAATGAAAATGTGTAATAAATTAATTACCTGTTGGTTGCACCTCAGCTGTCATGTTTTTTTTTTTTAAAAGTTAAAAAGCACAGAATATAATGGCTGAAACGATGATATTAATGATCATTGACAGTAAATGGCATAAATGCGACGTTTTACTACCGCGATACGATGTATAATTATAAATGATTTTGAAATTAAATTAAGTATCAAAATCGAGATTTAACAAATGAAAAACTTAATATGATTGTTAATAAATGAATGAGTATCAGGTATATTAATTTCAACTCTTAAACAATTAGTTGTTAATTTTCAACAATCCTAATGAAACCTTCTGAAACCTTCCCTATCAATAATATGTTAAGTATTTTTGATGATGGCAGAATTTGTGTAAAAATTTATAAATTTACATATCTATACAAATTTTGAAATTTTCAATTACAACATTGATTTCATTTTCATTTTCTGTATGGTAAGGTGTCGTATATTTTCAATGATCTATTTAAGATAGAAATAAACATTATTGTATTTACAAATAAATACATTAATTATATAGTGAGTTTATTATTTCAAAGCTCAATATAATTTTTATTTACTTAATTATTTCCATTTAAGCTCACTTAATTATTTCATTTGAGTTCATATAATAATAATTAAGAATGTATTAATTTACTTAATTATCTCATTTAAGTTTATTTAATAATAATTAATTTATTAATTCATTTAATTATTTCCATTTAAGTTCACCGTATAAGAATAATTAATTTATTAATTCATTTAATTATTTCCATTTAAGTTCACCATATAAGAATAATTAATTTATTAATTCATTTAATTATTTCCATTTAAGTTCACCATATAAGAATAATTAATGTACATATATAAGAATGAATATTTGCCATATATAAGAATAAATAAAAAATATTGTTTTATTTCCATATCAAAGCGTTTATTTAATTAATATAATTATCATTTACTTAATTATTTCCGTTTAAATTCATATAATAATTAATGTATTAATGAATTGTTGATTAAGTATTATTAATAATTTATTATTTTATTTCCATTTCAAAACGATACTTAATTAATATAAACGTAAGGAAAAGAATTATGAACAGAAAAAAAGTTAACTAATTAACTAATTAAATAAAACTTAATGTTAACTAATTAATTATTTAAAAGTTAACTAATTAACTAATTAAATAAAACTTAAATAAAACTTCATTACTTTACTAACCATTTCTTCTGACTGATATCTATAAAATCGATGATATCTAAAAAAATATATGCGGAATTTACAATTTTATCCGATTCCATTTAAAGTATAGTAAATGACTAATTAATTCATTAATTAAATTCAAAAGTTGCCGAAAAAAGAGGGTGGAAAGAGAGAAAAGAAAAGGGAAAAAAAGGAATCCAAATTTTTGCGTTGCAGTAAATTCTTATTGGATTAACTTAATTCATATTTATTCATATAATCAAAAAATAATAAATGGAATTAATAAGGAATAACACTTCTCTCTCTCTCTCTCTCTCTTTTCTCTTCTCTTTTATCTTGATATATTTCATTTGAATTTAATTATAGAAATTAATTAATAATAATTACAGATTAATAATTTAAAATTGATAATTTAAATTTCTCATCTAATTTAAATCAATTCTTAATTGTATTACTATAAATGATAGTAAAGATAAAACAAAAAAAAAAGAAATTTGGATAGAATAAAATGAAATGAAAGATAAATGACAAATAAGAGATAAATAGTATAGAAAAGATTGAAAAAGAGATGTATAAATAATATAGAAGAGATAAAAAAGATATGAATGTAACATTGAAATCAATGAGAGATTTTTTTGATACATTAATAATTTGGAAAAGACGTTGATCGAATGAGACGAGAGAGCATTTAAATGAAATGACATTTGGCTGATGCAAAATTTCATCATTCTTCTACTACTACGTATCATCAATATTAGCTTTATTTTGAAAACTAAAAGATCTCTGTAAATTGAAGAGAGAGAGGAAGATAAAAAGGAAAGAAAGGGAAAGTTTTAAAGGAAGAGAAAAAAAAGATGGAGAAGTATTTAATAATTAAAATTTTTCAATGGCTTTAAATATTTATATTGTTTTAAAAAATGTATATTCTTAATATTTTTAATTATCATATCATTTAAATGATAATGGAAATTTTTCACATCACTTAAATGATAATGGAAAATTTTCATATCACTTAAATGATAATGGAAATTTTTCATATCACTTAAATGATAATGGAAAATTATTAATTTCTTTTATTTTGATATATGAAAATTATTTAATTTTTCATTTGATTTCTTTCTTTTGTTTTTGCAATTAAAATTATTAACTAAAAAGTTAAAAAATTTTTTTCGTCTCTGTTTTGATGAAATTATTTGATGAAAGTTCCGTTTTTCTTTAAATTAAATTTATCGATAAATTTGATAGTTTTTTTTTATCTTTAAATTAGACTTAAATTAATTAATTGTTAATTAACAACAATCCTAATGAAACCGTCTTCTTCCCAATCAATAATAATATGTTAAGGAATGAAATCAAAGTTGTAATTAAAAATTTCAAAATTTGTATAAATTAGATATTAGTGAAAGGTAAGAAGTAAATTTGGTAAATTCATAATTAATAAATTGTGGAAGAAAAAATGAAACGATTTAAATGAGAAATTTCTTCCTTCTAACAAACATTGAGGTTGTAAAGAATAACAAAACATTAATTAATATAATTATTAATTAACACATTATCATAAAGTGTTAATAGATATATCTATCATAAATATCATTTATTCTCATTTCTCTGAAGCAACCTATCACATCTGTTATGATAACATATTTTATTGATTGCTGTCACCAAAACAACACGAAAAATAAAGATGAAAATTTTTGAATTATATGATCAAAAAGCAAAATGATTAGAAATTTGCAGATGAAATTCTGATGCATTTGTTTAAAAAGGAATTGAACATTTTTTTTTCAATCAATTAATTAATTAATCAATCAAATCAATTAAATGATAAATTTAATTAATTAAAATGATCAAATTCGATCAAACGATTAATGCATTAAAAAAGAATAATACCTCATAGATATTCATCATTAAATTTATTCCACTCAGATATTATCTAAAAAATAAAATTATTTTATACAATGCGGGGAAATAAATGGATCGCGGGGGAATAAATAGATCGCGGGGGAATAAATAGATCGCGGAGGAATAAATGGATCGCAGGGGAATAAATGGATCATGGGAGAGTGGCACATATTTCCTTTTACATTATAAAAACAAAAAAAAATTACTTTAAACAATGCGGGGGGAATAAATGGATCGCGGGGGAATAAATGAATCGCGGGAGATTGGAAGAGGATGAGAAATAAAGAAAGAAGGTAAAAGATTAAATAATTAAAAATAAGAAGAGATATAAATAGACATGAGAGAAAACGTAGCGGAAAATGGTAGAAAGAGAGGATTAAACTAGCGGAGAAGTTTGGAATATAATGAGAATGGACGAATGAGGGAAAAGATATTGAAGAATAAAAGAATATAAATAAACGAGGGTGGAAAGAAGATGATGGTTAAAGATGGATGAAATGGGTGAAAAGAAGATGATGGCTAACGAAAGATGAAGTATGCGAGATAAAATGAACGCGGGAAGATGGAGTAGAAGGCGAGGAAAGTCGCATTGGATGAAAATGGACGAAGCAATTAAATCTTTATTTCAATTTAAAAATTTTTAAATGGATGATTACGGAATTAAAAAATTATTTTTTTGCGAACGATCATTGATAAAACAAATCATTGCGAACATTGACGAAACGAACATTGCGAATGTTGCAAACATTGCGACATTGCAAACACTGCGAACATTGATAAAACAAACCATTGCGAACATTGCGAACATTGATGAAACGAACATTTCGAATGTTACGAACATTGATAAAACAAATCATTGCGAACATTGACGAAACGAACATTGCGAATGTTGCAAACATTGCGACAATGCAAACACTGCGAACATTGATAAAACAAACCATTGCGAACATTGCGAACATTGATGAAACGAACATTTCGAATGTTACGAACATTGATAAAACAAATCATTGCGAACATTGACGAAACGAACATTGCGAATGTTGCAAACATTGCGACAATGCAAACACTGCGAACATTGATAAAACAAACCATTGCGAACATTGCGAACATTGATGAAACGAACATTTCGAATGTTACGAACATTGATAAAACAAATCATTGCGAACATTGACGAAACGAACATTGCGAACACTGCGAACATTGATAAAACAAACCATTGCGAACATTGATGAAACAAATATTGCAAATATTGCAAACATTGCGAATATTGCGAACATAAATAAAACAAACCAGTGTGAACTATTTTATATGATAATCACATCTAATTTTTCTTTTTCTTTCTCTTCGTTTTACACCTTGCCAATCTATTTGATTAATATATATGGTATGCTCATATGTAAACAAAATTACAAGAAAAGAATAGTAAGAAGCAAAAATATGGAAAAAGAAAGAGAGGAAGAGAGAGAGAGGAAAGGTAAAAAGTGTTAATAATACGCATATAAGTAATTAATAAATTAATAATTAGGAATTTTTTAATATCATATAAAATTTTTTATTTATTCATCTTTCTTTTCTTTAAAAAAAAAATTCACTTTTCTTCGTATTTTGTGAAACAAAAATTTATTTAATAAATAAATTATTAATTTCATTTAGTTACAAGCGAAAAAACAAAAGAATATTTTATTTCATTTGTTTTTGGTTTTTTAATTTTTTTAAATTTTCCTTAATTTAAAAAAAAAAATAATATATTTTATTGTTTAAATGGCACAATCTAATAAATTTTATTATTAATTGATTATTTGATTTAATAAATAATTCATTTCGAATTAATTAATTAATTGATTAATTAATTATGCCAATAATATTTTTGGTAGAATTTTTTTTTCCAATTATAAATATTAATTTGTTAAAAAACAAAAAAAGCAAACAAACTTTTTCGTTTAATAATTTTTATTCAAATTTTAACGCAGAATTTTTATTTCCAATTTTAATTTCCGTTTGCTTTTTTCATTTTAATTTCATATTTTTCACCTAAAAATTTCTTTTGTTTTATTTTAATTTTAATTTAGCATTTTTTCTTTTTGTTTTGAATTCTATCATTTTCTTCTAATTTTTGCAAAAACTTTCGACAAAATCGGTAAGAAAAATCGGTAAAACCGGTAAGAAAAATTAGTGAAATCGGCAGGAAAAATCGGTAAAAATTCGGTAAAAATATTCGCTAAAACCGGTAAAAAAATCGGCAAAATCGGTGAAAAACGTTTTTGCAAAAACTTTCGACAAAATTGGTAAGAAAAATCGGTAAAACCGGTGAGAAAGTGAAATCGTTAAGAAAAATCGGTAAAACCGGTGAGAAAGTGAAATCGTTAAGAAAAATTGGTAAAACCGGTGAGAAAGTGAAATCGTTAAGAAAAATCGGTAAAACCGGTAAGAAAAATTAGTGAAATCAACAAGAAAAATCGGTAAAAATTCGGTAAAAATATTTGCTAAAACCGGTAAAAAAATCGGCAAAATCGGTGAAAAACGTTTTTGCAAAAACTTTCGACAAAATTGGTAAGAAAAATCGGTAAAACCGGTGAGAAAGTGAAATCGTTAAGAAAAATTGGTAAAACCGGTGAGAAAGTGAAATCGTTAAGAAAAATCGGTAAAACCGGTGAGAAAGTGAAATCGTTAAGAAAAATCGGTAAAACCGGTGAGAAAGTGAAATCGTTAAGAAAAATCGGTAAAACCGGTGAGAAAGTGAAATCGTTAAGAAAAATTGGTAAAACCGGTAAGAAAAATCAGTGAAACCAGTGACAAGAAAAATCGATAAAATCGGTAAAAAAGTTTTTTTTGCAAAACGTTCGACAAAAATCGGTAAAAATGCAAACGGAAATTTGATTAAATGAAAAAAAGACAAAAAGAAAGGGAAACTTTTAAATTAATTATAGCGAAAGAAGAAAAGTGGAAATTAATGCTTATTTGTTGATTACTTTTGTTGTTTGATATTTTAGTGAAAATAATTTTTCACGAAATGTTACGAATGGAAATGAAATGAACGAAGCATACCATTAAACAAATGCGTTTAGAAAAGAAATGCTCATAAATTTGATGATCGGGAAAAATTTTTCCTGAGATATATTGAATGATCGAATAAATCATTCTGAGAACAATTCCTTCTTCTCATTTTACTCTCTCTCTCTCTCTCTCTCTCTCATTGTCAATGCATTTATCAAAAGTAAGGTGGAAATTTGAAAAAAACTTAGTTAAAAATTTAAATTATCAAGTGTAAACGAAGTAGTGGGAAGTAATATTTTGCAGAGAACAAAGATTTTGAAGAAATAGTAAAATTTTTGAAATGAAAACTGGTTCCGCTCTATGAGTATTTGCGTATACAAACATAGACGCATCTTAAATCCATACAGATCGGACATATACATTTCCACATCTTATAATAATTTAAAACTCTTTCCCCAGTTAGCTTACGCCCTGTAATTGCTTTTCAATTTTAATTGGTTGGTTGGCTTAAGCATTTTAATTGGTTGGCTTAAGCAAATATTGATGATCTCTATAAATATCATGCTGCTTAAATAGAAGTGGTGAAATTAATGGCGAAGAAGTAATCAGATATCAATGAAGTCTGATCAAGGATCAATAACACCAAGGGTTAAAGTCTTACTGCTTAAAACGTGATGGGAGATTTACCTGAGTTATCTAAGTTATTACTACAATTATATAGAATGCAAATCTGTAATGCATAATTTATAATGATTATTTACAGGTGTAGATAGAGAATGGCATGCATATGTGAGAATAAAGACCGGCTAATTCACTTAAATTTAATTAATTAAGTCAAATAAAAATATAATTGCATAATAAAAAGTACAATAAAATTGGAGGAATTTTTAAATTTGATATCGTTTAATTTGCCATTTAATTCCTTAAAGTATTTGAGTAATTCAAAAATTGACAACTTATTCAAAATTATATTTTTCTTAGAAATATTTCAGAGGGCCAAAAATTAAACATTACAAAAAAGCAATTACCTGAAATCTCCATTTTTCAGAAATTTGAAATTGAAATTTAATTTGGAGCCGAGAAAATGTGAAAGTTTTATTAAGGGAATTAATATTTACATAAAAAAGGTTCAATTAGTCCATAAGGAAAATATTGTCGAAAATTGTAGGAAATTTTACATTCTATTGTAATTATTATCAAAAATTCTTTCCAAAATTTCAATTATAATGGACCATTTAACAAAGACAATTCAAAAATGGCCACAAAAATATTCAAATTTCTATTTTAAAATCTAAAAAAGGGAAATAACTAAAATTGCCAGCTTCTTGTCCACCACTTAATTGACAAGCAACGACAATTTATTTATTGAAAAAAAGGAAGAAATGGCTGTCTATAACTTCAAATCAATATTTGTCAAATTTTATGACTAATATATATGCAAAATAAAAATGAAATAATTCTTATCATTTGGCAACAAAAATTATGCCGAAAAATGAAAACAGCAAAAGCATAAAAAGCCTCCTGTTACAGGTAACTGAGATATAATCATCATCGATAGAACTATTATCAAATGGTATTAAAAAAAGATTGCCGGTGGAAAAAAGCTAACATTTCAACAGCTCTCCCTGAAGGAACGGTTTTCTTGCTTCGCTTTTTCTATTTCATTTATGCAAAGCAATGAGCACAATGCAGCAAACCTTTTTGATAAAAGAACTTTAACAGGGAGAATGTAAAATCCTATCGAAATTTTCCATTTACCAATTGTTCAATTCGGTGGTAACAAATAATAATTCATTATCGTTAAATTACTAATTATTTATATCACTGAGTTGAAATTCAAAAATGAAATTAATTAAATGTGAATAGGAAACAATCATATCATTATTTTAGTTAATAAAAAAAATATTTGATTAATTTTCTTCAGATTGTTTGTACTTCAGTTTTGAACAGTTTGAACATTTAGTTATTAAACTTATAATTAATTTCAATTGCACATAGCAGATGATTTTATCCAAGAAAAAAAAGGGTGTTTTATCTTGCGATATCTTATCAGAATTCGTAACAGTAATGATAATATGAAATTCTAAAAGCAAACCACTTTTGTTGTAAGATGATTATCAATATCGGATTCATCAGAAAAATCAAACGAGAAGGTTACAGATTGCTGATCATTTGGAGGAGCGGTATGAGGTGCATTATCGACCGGTGAAAACATCGACGATTTACAGGTATTTCTGAACGATTTCGTAGATAGGCCTGAAATTACAAGAAGAATTAGCTCTTAATAATTACATCTATGCTAAAAGTTCTGAAGTCAATATAACTATGATTGTTTAAAAAAAGAAAAGATAATTTATAATCACTTCATCAATGCTTATTGAAATTTCAAAACAAATTTTTCAAGCTCAAATTTTCGGTATTTTTTCATTGAATTGAAGTTCATTATACTTCAACAAAAAATTTCTTACTCTGAAAGTCTTATTTGAAGCCCAAAACTTTGCAGAATGATATCCTTTTGAATTCTCCCACAAAATTCAACTTGATAGTAATCTTGGGCATAGCACTATTTTATCATAATTTTTCACGAAAATATGTTAAACGGAAATAGCGACGATAAAATAAAATACAAATCTGCGAAGCAGAAAAGTATCGCAAAATGAGTTCACAGGCATTGATTGAATTTTCTTTCCACTTCAGCCACTTTGACATGTGAAATCGATAAGAAATAATATACTAAAACTGTACGAGAAGAGAAGGAAAGAACAAATTTTTATTTATTACTTCAGAAATTGAAATTTTATTCAAAAAAAACATAAAATATCAATTTTTAATTTAAATTTCAAAAGGTTTTGAAAAAAAGAAACTTTGTAAGAAATATTGATATTTCAGAATGATAAAACGAACTTTCGATACGATTCTCTTAGAAATGCTATCACAGTTTTTATATTAGAAATTTGAAATAGCAGGAACGGATGGATGGCTTAACTTATGATGGCAATTTCTGGAAAACGCTAATTAATTAATTACATTTGTTATTTATCAGAATTTAGCACATAACAGAAATTTTAATTTTAAAAATGGTGTCCAGCATTGTTAATAGTTTATTCAAAGAAATTAGCAGAAGAGTTCTAAACAATTTCGTGCAGATTAGAATAAAACTTTTATTTCTCTCTTTATTTAATTAAATTAAAAACTTTCCAAATATTATCATAGAGCATTTAAATTTATTTCAAAAGAAATCATTGGCAATTAAATGAATTAATTTATATAAAAGACTGGCAAGTAAACTTCTTTCTTTCAACTGTGTTTGAAAAGCGCAGTTGTGTTTAAATTTAACACTAACTTCAATTTTTCGGTATAAAAAAGTTTGTCGAAGTATAATTATCAAACAATAAAAATAGTTGAAATGAAACTTTAATTGCTAGAAAATTTTACAAAGGCATGCAGACCGGAATTACTTTTTCGGTTCGGAAATTACAAATCGGAATAATTATTGTGGCGTCAATTATAGCAGCGCAATAGTAGAAAGTACTTATACTAAAAATATTGATAGCAAAGTTATTTGCAAATTCAAACCGAAAAGATGAGTAGCTCTAAAATCGACCAAATGGGTTAGTTATTACAAACAATTGAAGTCATTCAATAATATAATTTGGTAACTTTTATAAAATACTATCTTAATATTAATCTTTATTACCCGCCTTCTGTCACTACTTTTTTCTACCGTAAATAATACATTTCATTTTCTGCTTAATTAATTGAAAATTTACTGTTGCTCGAGCTACTGAATGGACGTTCAGAATTTCGCTTCGGAGGTTCTGTGTTGTAGAAATCCCAACATGCCCAACGACCACGTTCGTAACACAATTCCAATGGAACAATCTGTAACACAGAATGTGGTAAATAAAAATATTTCCAATTAATAATTTTTCGAATGTCAAATTTTTTAATCTAATTTCTACTAAGCGACAAAGTTTATAATACAATGATAATTGTTTTAATTGTTTCAATGGGAGATTCATTTTATTTTTAAATTTTTATTTCAAATGATTTATACTTTGCAATATAAAAATGAATGATAGCATTAATTACAAAAAATTTAAATTTAAAATTGTTAAATCTATGCCGAAAGAATAAAAGATGATCGATTAACTCTATAATAAAATTTTGATTTAAGAAAATGATTAATGTTAACAAATTGAAGTTTAAATATTAAATCTGTATTGAGTATCAATGGAAGATTTATTGCTTTTTCACAAAATAAATTTACATTATTTTTAAATTTTTATTTTAAATAATCTTTGCTTTGCATCATAAGAATGTGTAGTGACATTAATTTTTGAAATTATCTTAGCTAACATTTAAAATAAATTTCAATGAATATCTTATTGGGGTCAATTATAATTCTAAAAATATTCTCAAGATTTTAGTAAGTAAAGGAAGTATACGAGAGTTCCCTTAATAAATTGTGAATTATTATGAAACGAATACGTTATTGATTAACTTCAAGTAAAGGAGGAAGAAGGAGAAATTAAATGATTACAAATGTTACCAGCTTCTACTAATTTATCTTGATTAAGACTTATTTCATTAATTTTTTTTAAGAAAGAACTAAACCCTTACGTGATTTATTTTAACTTATACAATCTATTATCCGTCATATCGAACTTTTCAAATTGTAAATTAACCGAAACATATTTCCATTCCATTAGAAAAAGCTAATCGAAAAATGGTCGCCCGAATTTTTTAAATTCTGTCTTAATTAGTAAGACAAAAAAAGAGGAATAATTACCTGAAATTAAGCAAGAGAATGATTCAGACAATGGAAGCTTTGAACGCAGATACTAAGCAAGTTTCTTATAAATTCTCTTGATTAACTTAATCTCTGTTATGATCGAAAGAAATTTTCACTAAAGCCGTAATGTTGCAGGTTGGAGGATCACTCAGATGATAACATACCTAAACATCTCTATAAGACCTGTCTACTTCATCTTCAACAATTACTGATCAATTTAATCTTTTGATGAACTTCGAGAAATTTGCAATAATATCCTTTTGTTCAATTTGTTTTAATAAATGAGTTGTTTCGTATAAATAATGGAGAATAGCGCGGTCTTTATTACGATGAGTACTTTATTGACGGAGGAAATTTCGAATTAAATTAAGCAGAAGGCGAAGAAGTAAAACTAATTAGCTTGTACGTGTGTATGCGTAAAGTGTGTACATGTACATTACGTGTGCGCGTGTACATGTATGTGTTATTCCTATTCAGGCTGAAACAAGAAAGATTTATTTCGGGGTGAAAATTGAAAGTTACCAATGGGTAAAAGAGTAAAAGTAAAGATTGTTAAAATGAAAGACATTTATAATCCAATTCATTTATAAAAAAAACTATTGGTAAAAAATAGTGGAAAATAGTGATTTTTCTGCACTTTTTACACGATAAAATCGAATCAATCCAAAAAGCATTTACCCCTGCCTTCTCGTAAGACACGTAACAATACGTTTAACTTCTCTCCCTTTCTTTTTGCAACATTTAACTTCTCTCCCTTTCTTTTTGTAAACGTAAACGTAAATGGTATGCGAGCAAACGTGTTTCAGTAATGATGTATGTTCAAATCAGAGATGTGATTAATACTTATTCGTTATTCAATGTACTCTTTGCATTATTTGGACGATAATAAACAATCTCTCTCTTTCCATTCGTCATTCATCAACACACTCGTATACCCTCGATCGATTTCAAGTAACCAAACTTCAGACCATTGACCTTTTAATTTACTTTGCTTTTTATAAATACACCTACACCTAATGATGTATCGGTAGCGATCGTCACAATTATTTTAGATAATTTCTGTATCAGTTCAAAATATTGTGACGAAAGAGAGTTTCTTCCTGCCCAATACCGAATAAACTGCTATTCTTGAAATCAATGTTTAAAATTGCTGGAAAGATTCCCGCTTTCCCCTACAAAGTATAACGATCGATTATAAGCAGCTAAATTTTGGGCTGTGTGAAATCAGATGAATTTAAGCTATAATGCTTTTATCCAAGAAAGGTTCTCAATTCATCTTTAGAGTGATCTTTTAACAATGAATCATAGCATAATTTCAATGATTTTTTCCAACTCAATGGCAAATATGTGTAATTAATTACTGTACCATAAATTATCAACTCTGTGCATAGTTTGGGCATTGACTTAGCAACGACATTCGATCCTTAAGTGTCATTTCAGCTTTCACTACAAGAATGTGTATTATTTCATTTTCTACATTACAACAGTAATATTAGTGTTGACGGTTTGTCTAATATTAAAGGTCGTTTCATGTATCTTATTGTCGTATATGCCTTCCAGTACCAAATGACATCAGTATCCACATACAACTTCTACGCAAAATTGAAAAAGAAGACGATGTCAGAGACGCCACGCTGATTTCCGTATATAATCGTATTTCGGTAAGGAGCATAGCGTATCTCGACTGAATCATACGCGTAATGTGCCCAAAAAGGATGTTGCCCTTCATGCTGCTAAACTTCAATTTAGTCCACTATTCTTCTTTGTTATCATTTCGACACCGAATACTGCAGAATTTCTAAAGTCAGTGCCGCATTCTCTTTGTTCTTAAAGTGAATCGTGGAGCGCTTGACTCGGTGAAGAAATGGTCATTGATGAGATTGAGTTCAACAGATTCTCTCTCAAATGCGAATCGATTCTTTCCAATTGATAAGAAAGAAATTTGTCAGCAAAATAACATTAATTTTGTCCAATGCGTCAGCAGATAGCAATGAAAATAATCCAAAACTATAGCTAATTCTTAAATAGTCTTTCACTCATATAATTCACATCTTCAATTGGTTAAGGAAAACTGAGAACTTACTTATGATCATTGAAATATCTTTACTGATATATTCTAATAGTCTAAATTATTCCATATTCTTTTACTGCTAGAAGAATCGTCGTATTGTTCTATCCAGTAACTGCTTTACATACGGTTAAGAAGATTGTAATATCTAATTAAATAGATGGGATTGAGATCAAGCTAAATCGCGTAACATCTCTATAATCATCTTAAACAACTGCGTATCAATTTTTTTCTTTGATAATAACAATAAACTTACTTTAAATCGTGATCCATTCATTTGTTTATTTTTCTTAAGTTCCAGTTGTGGTTGCTGTTGTGGTGGCGTAATAGTTGCTGCTGTTGATGATTGAAATAAAACATGATGATCACGTCTCATTTCAGTAAATATTATTTCTGCAAAAAAATACGCTTTTATAATAGAAGTACTTGCTAATTAATAGATGGATAAGAGAAATTTGCATGCATTACAAATCATTAATACTATGATTTATCAAAATTTTTTGTCTTGAAGATTTCTACAAAAAAGTATTGCACAAAGTTTTGTTTGCGAAAACTTAAAAAGTAAAAAATTTCACAATTAACACAAAAACATGTCAGATTTTACTTAGTTAACTTTGGGTTACTTATATTTTCAAGCATTTCAACAATTTTCTTCTGCATAGAGTCCAAAACAGCTCAGAGAGATTTTGCCTTAATAATCAACCTAGTGATAAAAAATTGATTAATAATTGATACTATGCCTAATTTTGATATAAATTTACGGTATTAAGGCTGTCTTAATTATTATGTATTTTGATTGCTCTATTATTATAATTTAGGTTTGTTATAGAATGCTTTACAGGTAGCAATGAAACTAGAATTTGAAGTATTAATATTGCATGAAAGAAAAGATTTAAGTAGAACATAGAGTTAGCAAAACAAATAGCAATAAAATAGACTAAATTAATATTCGCCTACTTTTTTTCATAAAATCCATTTCGTCAGACGATGAATCCGATGATTCCATGCTCGCTGATTCTTTATGTCTAAAATATAAAATACGATTTAATGAATCATTTGATAATGGTCGCTTTAGGTCCCTACAAATAACGTAAAGGAATCAAATTATAGGATCAATATTTGGATTAAATAGAAAATTATCAACTTTATTGAGACAATTTTCGTCTCAAGTTTTTTAAAGCATTAATTTATCCTATCAGATTAATTAACTTCTAAATATTGTTTTCAATAATATGAGAATCTCTACCGAACATAAGCTTTCATCTGTCCCTTTCCCTTTTGACCTTTGCTATTTATATCCATTATTTTCGCATAATTAAACAAATAAACAAATGAAGAAACTTTGACATACCTTTTATCAATGATTGAGAAGCGTCCTTCAGTGCTGGCATACTTACAAGTGGTTGAAAGCGTATCCGGTTGAACTGATTGTGTACCGGGTCGTTTCCAACGTGGAACAATAAGGCGTGATGTTGAATTACTAAAGAAGTTCATTCGAATAAGATGGTTAGCCTATAATGAAAATTAATTTCATTAGTTTTTGTTGTAATGGAAGGCTACAAACTTATTGGTACGTTATATAATGTTCCNTGGAACAATAAGGCGTGATGTTGAATTACTAAAGAAGTTCATTCGAATAAGATGGTTAGCCTATAATGAAAATTAATTTCATTAGTTTTTGTTGTAATGGAAGGCTACAAACTTATTGGTACGTTATATAATGTTCCGAGTTACATTTTTATCTTCCCGGATCAAACGCTAATAATTCTCGGATCACTAATAGTTTCAAGTCTTTAGAAATAATAAATAGTCGAAGTAATTGTTAAAAAGTTTTCGAAAAATAATTATTTTCATGTTCTCTATTCTTTATAAATTTTGGAAAACAGCGAATCAGTTATCGTAGAATCAATCATTTAAATTGAATGGATCATTTGGATGATATTTTCAAGTGAGAGTACACGCAAATAAAGTTGATCACTTCAAGAAAATACATTAATTGGAGAAGGATGAAATGACTTTAAATTATTATTATTATTAAATATAATTAACTAAACATAAGAATCAGAAATTATTGAATTTTAATTTTTCAAATAAATGAATAAAACAAAAAAATAATCCTTGAGGAAATTCAAAAATGCTCAGTTCAAATAAAAATTAAATATGAAGAGAGAAAAAATATCTTCTAAAAAGAAAACAGTGATATGTTCTAGCAAACAGTGCCTTGTCCAACGATACTGATAAATGATGATTGAAAATAAATTTTTGAATGACAAAAATTTTGTCCCTTTTTTTGACAGAAAATAATTCTAGTTTTTCTTTTCTTTACACTTCGAAACTACACAAAGATTGATTAAATGAAATGATAAGAATAAAGAAATGGATCAATGGAAATTCATTGATATCACGATATGATAAGGTAGTTTTATTTAATTCAAAAAATAGAAATTTTGATAAAGTGATAAATATAATTAAGTACAGGAGAAGACTATCGCAACATATACAGTTAACTTTTAGTGACAAAGTAATTTAAGTAACTTTTATTCGTACTAAGTTCGACTCTTTTTTTCGAAAACCGATTTGGCTCTATCAAATATCGTTTTATTTCCATCCTAAAGAACTCTGCAATATTTCAATGCATAAAACTGAAAGAATAAAAATTAAAGTTTAAGTATGAGCATTGATATCTGTTCTCGGCAATACTATCATCCTAACTAAAACTGTTAAAACTTATTCTTCCAGTAATAACTCCGTCGTAACAAATATCCATTTAGCAACATTTTCGGTTAAATTTATAAACATTTTCAGAATCAATTTGGAAGCTCAATGCATTTAGGCAATAATTGCTGATATTTCTTTAATGGTATGTGATCAAAGAATGTTTAATTATAATTAGAAGGTTTATCCTAAAAATAATTTCATCCGTTTTCAAACTTTTTGCATTCTTATAAATTGAGAAGAAAGAATAAATAATATCTAATTAATTTACTCAATTCGTAAATGATTTTAGGCGAGAAGACAAATTATAGCAAACATTTAATTAATTTGTAATTATACAAAGTAATTTGTAATCTTATTTTGATTATTCCAAACGTCAAAATATTGCATAGGTATTTTTAAATTTAAGAAGAAACTTTTTTTATAACACATGAAAGATTGATTGTGCAATTATATTTTTTTCAACGATTATAACAATAACGGAAAATGTGTCAGTGACAATGATAATAAGAGCTGCAATAGCAAATAAAAACTTGTAGAAACGGTTGCATAGATGCTAAAAATATTTGTAATTTTTATGTTACTTATTAAAATGACATTACTGGTGATTGATTTCACAGAGAGGACAAAAGTTAGTGCTACGGTTCATTACCCTTTTTATAGATTGTATTATAAAACAGGTTTTTAATGCAGTAAATGATTCATTTAAATGCATTATGAATTGATTCATTCAATCCATTCTGCTTAATTTTCTTCTGTAGAATTAAATTTCTTAAATAATAAATTTTGTTTCGTTATGTTCAAAAATGTTCGAGATTTAATACTTATAAGAATATTTTACAACATTTAAAGTTATGTCAATCCATTCATTACTTAATCGTATTCTCAAGAAGTATTCACTAATCTAACTAATTGATTATATGAACTTCTTTCTTAAAGAACTGTAATTCATTCTGTCTGATTTTGGGACACATTCTTATCAGTTCCAAGATTTTCGAGCAAATTTTAAATTATTATTAATTTTAAAGGAAAAATCAATTCAAGATATGTTTGCTAGGGAAATGAACCAATTTAATAATATATTCATTTAAAAATCTTAAGAAATAAGCAATATCGGAAATAGAGGATTGAATTTGAACTATTCAATTTACAAAATTATAAATGGTTTGGGTCTTACTTAAGAAACTGAAAAATACTTTTGTAAATTATTAAAGTATTGAAGAGGAAAAGAACGACTCATCATTAATGAATATATCTATGAAATTCTTCTTTCCCATCAATAAAATATCAACATCGAAACATTGAAATGAAAAATTTCAATAGTGGTAGGGAATTTCAATTTTAACAATGCAAAATGTTACTTAATAAAAAATGGAACATTGCCAAATAATTGGAAAGACAGTTTAAAAGAAAGTAAAAACAATGAAAACATAAATGATGTTTTCATGTCTCCGTCACAGCAATGTTGAAAAAAACCAGTCAATAGTCAATAATTGAACAAATAATACCTTAACTTATACTTTCTTAAATTATCGTTTGAATCAATTTGATAGCAATGAATGAAAATTTGTTGACAGATATACTAGAAGGGTAAAAGTTAATTTGGGAGGATTTTTCATGCGAAAAAACTGATATTATAAAATATTTTTGGGATCCAATAGTTAGCCATATTTGAATGGCTGCAAAAATGAACTTTTGTCAACATTTTTTCTTAAAACAATTTAAATTAAAGATTTTAATAGTAAATAATAATTATATTATTTTAAGAAATATTAATATAATGAGAATAGAAATGAGGTATAACTTTAAGTGACGGTGGTTTAGGAATAATTGATAAGAAAAATTAGGAACAACTGATAAGAAGAATTAAATGAAAATGATAAACAAATTATTTTTTCATTTTAATATCTATGAAAATATAACAAAAAAACTGTTTTGTTATTCCAAGGAAATGTGACTTTTAAACTAAATTTAAAACTAAAATTATGCATGCAGCATTTTTTGATAACATTACTAATGAATTTTCCATTTAACATTCATTCAATAACAAAAAATAGTTTATTGAGAAAAGTTTAGTCTTCGATATGAAATCTTTGAAATAACTACTTAATGACAGCTACTCATACTCATAGTTATCTTCTCGTTTAACATAGCCAATGATTATTTTCATTTATCTCTATTTAATGAAAAATTTAAAAATTCAGAATGAACAAATTCATTTATTGCTTCCAATTTCGATAACACTAAATCATTTTCAACGTTTTTTCGATTATGCAAAAAAAGAAATGCCAAGAAATGAAACTTTTTAATAATTATAAATGACTGATCGATTAGCACAAAACATTTTGAAAAATGAGAAATTACTTTTTGGGACCTAAAATTATTTGAATTAAATTTTCTTATAATATCTAATAGAGTTATTAATAATATATTATAGTGTTAAAAAACAATCAAGAATTAATCAAAAATGATTCAACGAACTTCTAAAAATTCCAAAATATCAATTTCATAATCCACCAAATGAGCCTTGAAGATGCCAACAATTGACAGAAAACTTTTAATGATATGGAATGAAATGGTAGGAGGGTGTGTGATCTAGGATAAGTTAATTAATTAATTAACGTATCTTGCTTATTATATCGTTTACAGTTGACTTTCGGTCCTGCGCTTTTTTATAAAGATATAAGGATGAGAGGCATCAAGAAGTACGATAGAAGAAAATTTGTGCGCCATGCATTATGCGCCTTCTTCCATTACGTTCTACCTTCTTAATATTATCAATAAATTAGACAACACATAATCTATAGACAGAAACTGTGAACATTCTGGAAAATGTAAAAAAGTATGCTTTTGCCGGTAAAGCTTGATCACCCTTATATCAGATATCGTGATGATGATATCATTCTTTCTTTCTGTTAGAATTTACCATAAAGGAAAAATGACGAGAAGTTTTAGGGCGATAAAAGTTAATGCAATTTTCTGCATCCTCGTAGGAATTTTCAAAAAATTAAGGATATCATGTCACTTTTAAATTTCATTAATAAAAAATTATCAGCGATATGATTGTTATTTCATTTGAATAACTGATGAATTATTAAATTTGCATTATTCATTTTCACTATACCGCATTTTCTTATGATGTTTCAGTTCTCTTTCAAATAGTTTCAGTGCAATGCAACGGAACCATTGGCTGACTCCATCGGTACATATACATAATTTGTAATTCATAGCTAGAATAAATAAATAAATTATAATTTACAATTTATTTTTCGCATTTGAAATATTGATATAATTTACATAATTTGTAATTCATAGCCATTTACATAATTTGTAATTCATAGCTAGAATAAATAAAAAATAAATTATAATTTATAATTTATTTTTCGCATTTGAAATATTGATATAAAATATTGATATATCATTTGTTTTTTTACGAATTGTATACATTTTTGTCATCGATTCTGAAATTTAAGATTTGCATTGAAATAAGTAAGATATTTGGTCTTACCAGTTTGTTTTCTCGAAACTGTATGATACTGAACTTCTTAGAGAAATTATATATTTTGAGAAATCGTGGAGAACATTCCAGACTCAGTATATGTTTCTTTCAGTACAATCATATGAATATGTTAGGAAGATCACCTGAAATAAGTGTCAAAGTAAAGAAAAATTCATTGGACAATGAAGATGCTCTTTATCCTCGACAAGTGAATGTTTATTATTGATTATCTTATCAGTTACAAAACTATATGGTCATTTAAATTTAGTATTAGATTTCATTCTTTGATCTTTTTATCAGCATTATAAATAATTATAATAAATTTTAAGACTTGTAATATCCGAAAGACAGCAAATTTTTTCGAAAATTCCTTAAATTTTAAATGTTAAACATTATAATTGAAATTCTGCATGATTTCGACATTTCTCCAATAGAAATATGGAAAGCTATTTTTGAAAAATCTCGGAAGATTTTCAGGTAGCTCCGGATACATTCAATTTTGCATACCAAAGTGGTTTCAGGTAATTTTTCCACTTTCAAAAATTTAACCATTATTTCTCATATGATTAAATATACGAAATAATTTTAAATAAGGTAACTATTTCAACTTTATTAAATTTATTTCAAAGATTTTTTCTCTTTGATTCATATCTATTCATAAATAATTTGATACAAACATCTATTCGCTCTCTTTTATCTTCCGGTTTATTTCTGTTGAAAGTGACCGCATCACGCAATACGTGCGATAAATACAACATTTAATTAATTATATATTAAATCAGCAATAATTAATTAATCACAATTAAATTAATTAGAGTCAAATATTTGTAAATTAATTATATATTTTGAGAAATAATGAAAATTCAGTTGCATATTTAAAAACCTTGAATTATTATCATTTTGACATTTCTATTTTTAAATTTTTTTGTTTTCAAAGATTTCAAAATTTAGAAATTTTTCAGAAATGTAACAAACGATAATATTTCATTAAAGAAATTTAATGAATTGGTGAAAAAACAAAAAAAATTGGCAAAGAAAAATAAGAACAAGTAAGTGAGATCTTATACGATAAATCATTCAATCGGTTATCTAAAAATGGAATTATTTCTTAATTTTTCTATCAATAAGTGACTAATTTGATTATATCAGTTCGGTCACTTTCACTGATAATAGTCGTGCATGTCGTGCAAGTCACTGTTAATTCGTTCTGTTACGTTTTGGAATGTTGCAACCAAAATAGGAAATAGCTTAATTATCTAAAAACTATCTGTGAGGAAATTGAAATCAGTCAATGAAACAGCCTAATCTAAGAAATTAATCTTTAAGGTGCACACTGATTACAACTGACAGAGTGTTTCAGTAATATTAGAGCATAATTTTATTTTTTATACTTGGCATTTTTATCTGATGAGACTATGCTCGATTATAAGTAATGATAGCCAGAAAAGGAACTATCTTTTAAGTTTCCAAACTTGAGATAACCCCTAAAAATTCGATTCGAAAAAAGAAACTAAGTTGTAGATTTTATAGTAACCATTTACAGTTTATCCTTACAATAAAATTGTAATCAATGTTTGAAAAGAACCGATAATATTTAATTCAGAAAATATTTTAATTTTTTATGAAATGACATCATTGTATAATTAATTATCCATTAAAGATTTTTTTATATATAATTATTTGCGAGCTTATCATAATATGATTTGATATATTTTAATTTCAGATTAGTTGAAATTGCACGAGATGCAAACGATGAAGAATGGATACAGGTTGGTTGCATTATTAAATGATAAATAAGAAAATGATTGAAAAGAATTAGTGGGGCGAGGAAAAGATGATATGATTAATTGAGTAAATTTCAACAGCATAACTTTCTCAGTTAAATTAAATTTAAAAATTCTTAACGATAAGTAAATAATGTGAACAACATTTGGAATTACATTACAAATGAAACAAATTTATCAATCATTTTGGATCAACAATCCTATTTATTTATAGTAAACATTCTATGTTTATTTTTAAGGCTGTAGCCGAAGTACATCATTCTCCTAATGGTTTTTCAACAAATTCTGACACTTTAACATTAGCAGAAAGGTTAAAAATTGCAAATTACAAGGTAAAATAAAAATAGTTTACTGAATTTAATGTTAATATTAACAGGTAATAAAATATTTTTTTTTGATTCGATTCCTAAATAGTCTAAATTGTCACCAAAATCTGAAATAACTTCCCAATATTCTTTTCTTCAAACTATATTATTCTTCAGTAAATGATAATTAAAATTAAGTGTTTTAATTTCCATTTTCATAGAGCGTCCAATTCAAATATGGAATTGTAAGAAAGGAGATAGAGGATAATCCACATATTTTGAAAACATATCTGCAGAAGACAGTACAACATGATGTATCACAGGAAAGAAAGGTAAATTTCTCGAAGGTTTGATAGGATCAGCATGGGGAAAATATTCAGAATAAATGCGCATTTAGTTCATTTTTTGCTTTGTAACTTAAAACTTTTGACATTGACGACAAGCTTGAAGTATACAGTATACACCTGTTTAGTCGAAAGGAAAGTTGTTGAATCAATATTTGAATGATAGTGATGATGATGATAATCATCATTGGCTTGTTGAATTTAAAGTAAATTATGCCTCTTTATTTATTTCAATCATAAAATTTCAATTTCTATTTCAAAATTCTGAATCAACCACTTCTTTTTCATATATTATTTCAGGATCGTAATTCACAGTTGAAAAAATTCAACTTCTTTGGTATGCTCTATGCCTAAGTTTGTTATTGTTGAAGAGAAGTGTCATTTTCGAGTAATGAGAATTACTGTTGCAGATAAGAATTTAGTAAATGATATGATTGAAAAAAGTATTGGGAATGCGGTGCTCACAGAGATGCTGCTATATGATAGTCGTTATGATACTGCGTGGAAATCAAAATATATAAAGAAATTTAAAAAGCACAAAATGAAATTAAGAAATCGTGCTGGTTGGGTTCTACCTCTTCTGGAACTTTGTGATAAGATAGGCTTTTCATTAGATCAAAATTATTGAGTCACATATCTCCTCAATTGGTCTGGTCATGAAAATTTGAAAATTTGATTATGATAATCACTTTCATCCTTATGCATGCTTAAAGAACGCAAACGTATGTAATACTTGGGGCAAATGTATGACTACTTGCGCATTATAGATATGTGCTACTTTGAACAATTACTTCTGAAAGTATTTTTTGATTGCGCTCAAGCGATTATTCATTTCTTTCAAAGTATTCATTCCGATATTTTTGACAAGTGAATGAGCTTGTTTGCACCTTCATTTATATATGAATTCATTATGAATATCAGGCTAATTAATTAGAGTTTGATAGTAAAGATTTCTTTTAGATTGATATCAATGGTGATTTTTTCACGGGGAACGAAAAAGTGAATCTGGAGGATGCGCGCTCTTTCATTCTTCATCAACGACTTACACGAATTCCAGTAATTCGAATTACATTCTCTTCTCAAGTATTCAATATGGAATTTTCACTTTTGATACAGTGAGTGTTTGCAGAAACTCAGTGACTGGTTGGAAAATGATGAGTTAAACTATAGAAATGTTAATTTGGAAGAATTTTTTAAGAAGAATTGGGATGGAATGGAAATTATAAAGCGTATGAATGAATTCAACAGAAACGTGAAGAATGATTTGGATCGAGTTCCACTTCATGATCGATGTATACTTTCATGCTTTCTTTTTTTGAGAATAAACAAAATGAAATCAATTTTTACAGGGAGAATTTTACAGGTGTAAGCTAAACTTTAGGAATGTTGACTAAAGTTTTTTATTACGAAACTTCTCGTTTCATATTTCACTACGACTGATATATGAAACTTATTTGTTACTTTTCCTAATATCTTTTTAGACAAATAAGCAATTATTAAAAAATGTAATTATTAGTTTATAATAATATTGTGATGTGGGAAACATTAATTGGAAATCGAAAACAAATTTTTATTCGAACTATGATTGGTGCGATGGAACGACGATTTGAAATTTTGGAGAATCAAGTGAATCACATCGTTTTTACCCATCATGCATTCGATGAACATCTTCATTTGTGTCGCAATAAAAGTAACAAATTCGTTTAAAAATCGTAAAAAAATGTAATTATGAAATTTTTGGGAAAAAGATTTTTTTTGAACCAATCTTTTAGAGCTGAATCTTCTCTATGTTTATTTGATTAATAATAATAATAATACAATTGACCCGAAATATTTTATTATAGGAATCAAATGTCGTGACTCAACTCGTGTAGTATTAACCTATCCGAGTGTTGCAACTAATGATTTCATTCATGCAAATTACATTCAAGGCGGACCACTTTTTAATAAATTTATCATTACACAGGTATGAATTCGTCGTAACTTTCATCTGTTAAATAAATAATTAGTCACTCATTTACTTTGTCAAGAATACACACAATGGAGAAAAGTTTGAAGTTCAAATGGTGCAAACAAACTTCATCTTTTTCAGGCACCAATGGAAAATACAATTGGGGATTTTTGGCGTATGGTTTGGCAAGAGAGGTCACCTTATATCTTCATGCTTATAAGTCGGAAAGAAAATGCGAGATGTGCTCAATACTGGCCCAGGTCAGGAAGTTCTTATTTTATCCATTTTGTGCTTGTTGAAAACATCTTGCCTTTTATCATAAATTTTTATGGAACAAAATGATAATCTAATAAACTAGTTTAATAGTTATGTTTTTAAAATATAAACTTCCTATTAGCATTTCATCTTGAAATGAATTTATCTAACAAGTGATAGCATTATGTTATAAGATTTCTATTTGATTAAATTGTCGCGAATTAAGCAAAAGTAAACTTTTCCTATTATCAGATGAGAATGCGCTGTTTTCCTTTTTAGAAGAATTGGAGAACAAATAACTAATTATGGATTGACAATTGTCAATTCAGGCATGGACGAATTTCGTTTACCGTTGTTTCGTGTCACATATTTACTTGTCATCGGACCTGAAGGCGATAAAGTAAACGTTCAGCCTGATTTTTGCTGATATGGTTGATGTTAACATTACTGTTCATGTTAGAATTATTGATAATTTTGAATGAAAAAAAGATTTAAATAGACTTCAATACAAATAAACTTTCCTTTGATCACTTTAAGCTAATCTTCTTGTTTCCCTCAAATTTCCCAGATTTTATTCTATATTCAAAACTTCTGAATTTCATTCAATTCAATTTTTATAGTTGCATGTTGAGCACTGGCAAGGTGATATGAATAATTCAGACAATGTTGCATTACCTTTGCAATTATTGCGATTTGCGCGCAATTGTTCCTATCCGACAATCATACACTGTCATCTGGGAATAAGTCGATCAGCTACATTGGTTGCTGCTGAAATTTGTATCGCATGCTTACTCAAAGGACCGACATATAAGGTTAACCAATCATTTGCTTAAGAGTTTGAGTTGAATTTAATGGCAGTCTAATTTACAATTGCACACTCAAAACTTGAATCATTGATATTGATAAGTTAAATTTTATTAAAAATTACAATCATATGGAATAAGGTAGAGAATATTTTTATTGTTGCAGCATTGCGTGCAGAAGGCAGTGCAGTTATTGCGCTCGCAACGACCATTTTGCATTGAAACACCAATGCAATACATATTTGTACATCGAGTGGTGCAAAAATTTTTACACGATTATGTAGGTGATCCTCAAGGCTTTTACGCGGAATATAAGGATTGGATTGATGCACGAGCTATGAGACCATTCATTGATGATGTCCAGCAAACGGTCAACATTATCTGCCATCTCTAACAGAAAATTTAAATTTTTAAGAAAATGATTTACATGAAAATGCACGCATCACGCATCACTGTTATTGCCATTCAAAATCTTAATTAATATGAAGAATGTGCATTTAGAAACATACAACGTGTTTATACTTAGAGGTGAGATGAATTACGTTAAAAGATGATAAATATTCTAGATTACTAAATTGTTTACTTATAGATTCCTGGATATCGATTACTATCGCCACGTTTTGATCCTGACTTAATTGGATTAGTGCGACATCGCGAACGTCCGGACTACCGTCGTGAGATACATGATTGTGTTGGACAGATGCCGATACCATTACATGATATACCTGAGCAATGCTTCGAAGAATTACAATTAACGAAACGTTATCCTCGAGGCGATCGATATGATTAAGACTTTTAGCTTATTAAATTTGTTTGTGTTTTTTTCTTGTAAAAATAATAAATTTGAAACGTGTGGATCGCTGTAATTAGACTATTATTGATATTTTAGGATTGAAAATGAAAATAATATTTTGATACTTCGAATACACATGACAGTAATTTTGTTTCTTGAAATATTACTGTATTCATAGTTTTGATTTAATATGTTAAAATAAAAAATTTTCTCTTCGATTTTTATTTACTTCGAAAATATAAAATATCTTTTTCCCACTTAAATCCTTTAAACTTGAACTTAGACTTGAATCCTTTTAGAAGTCCCTTTAAAGTGGACTTCCAAAAATTTTTTCTTTGTTGAATTGGAATTTTTTACAGAATGACTGACATATTTGAGACATTCCTATCTAAATTTTGATCTTTTTTGAGTAAAGCATGAGCAGGAGAAAAAGAATATTAAAAATTAATAAATGAATTATTTAAGGATAAATTCATCAATGTCTAATGGATAGAATATTTAAAGATAGCATTCTGTAATGGACAGTATAAATTACGGCCTAACATTAACTTTATGCCAATAGTAAAGGATTAAATGGAAAGAATAAAAGAGGAAGTTAACCATTAAAGCTGAAAAAGAGAAATAAGAGAACTCAACAATTTTTAATGTTAATACTTGGCATGATTTTTTTTGTTTATCGGAATGATCGAATTCATTTGAAAACATTTTCCGAAATCAAATAAGTCAGATAAGGCTATTGAGAAATGGGTGATTTTCAAATTATTCCAACCCGAAAAAAGTGTTAGACTAAATGTTTCTTTTTGGTGAATTCAAACTGAATAATTAATTTAAACAATTCTTGAATATATGAAAAATTTCTTTCTTAGATTTCTTGCGTTTAGAAAGAATTCGAAGTTGTTAAATCTGTAATAATTATGTGCGCATTTTTATTAAAGCAAATTCAACAGCATAAAATACATACAAGACAAAACACATTAAAAATAAAATGAGAGATCATTATAAAAAGTTTTCTGAACCAATAAATTTAAATTATTTTAACTATAAGTACTGATACAATAAAATTTAATTCACTTAATTTTTTCCATTTTCCAGTAACATTTTGCAGAATTCTTAAAATATTTCAAATACTTATAGAAGAACACTTTGTATAGCATGTGATTGTAAGGTGAAACTATCAACCTGTTTTTCATTATAATCACCGTATACCTCTTCTTCCTTTTCTTCTTCTGGGAATGTAAATTTACGACTAAACAAATAGCAAATTATAACTGAAATGACAGCAAAAGTCTGAAAGCCAGCACTTGTCAAATGCAAACTTTGTCGAAATGCTTTATTATCATAGATAACACAGTTAGCATGATCATGAGGGCATCTACTATGCCATAACAGACAATCTTCATCAATAATCCAACCAAAAATTATTGGAGCCGGAATAAAGCCTGCAAAAATAATATGTAAAAATTCTTATAAAATCTAATTTTCGTCTTTTCAAAACCGCTTACAAATATATCAAATATTAATTGTAAAGGAGAAATTCGAATTTGTTAAAATTGTGCAAACAATAAAAATAATTAATTACCCATAATGTTTGTAATGCAGGATGCAAAGCTAAGTGCCAGAACTTTTTGGTCATCATATACAGATCTACAAAGGTAAGATAATTTTATCAAGCAAATAATTAACTACAAATTTTAGATTTTTTTGCAAAAATAAGGACTGAAATTGGATGATAAATTCAACATATAATCGTTTATTGCAACAAAATTCAAAATTCGAAGGAAATTTTGCAATAAATTCTAAATTCATCTTAAATTGAACTTTAACGAATTCTGTAATTTTGTTGCCAATTTTAAGCTTTTATTGTAAAGATAGAAAAAACTTTGCATTTAAAAAAATCGCAAAAAAGGGTAAATTAAACCTTAGTACAACCATCATTGTTGTCATGAAAAATAAATTGCCAAAAAATAGGCCCGTAAACATCATTGCAACATAAATGAATATTGTATTACATTCGTCCATATATAAACCACTTTCAACCGAGCCATTATCAGCACATAAACATAAATCCCACTGAAACAAACATATGCGCAAACAAACAAAAATATATGCGAAAATTTTATCGATTATTATTTAACTGTTTCAGAATGAGATAAATGGAAAATTTTTGAAATAAGTATTTACCATTTTAGCATCGAAAGAAGTGAAATGAAGTAGAATATTTGGTGAGTAAATATAACAAAAGCAAAAGTGCTTGACCTTAGAAAATTTCTTAGGTTGTTTAGATAAAATCATAACTAGACTTTAAAATTCTATCCCGTAGCTATCGTTTTTTTTATTATGTAAGATGAAAATAACTATAAAAGTATGGTTAAGGAATCTAATAGATTATTTCAAACTCATTGATGAAAGAATTTCAACATGACAATTCAAATTATAAACCTATAATAAAGCTGCATAAATCTCATAAAATATAAAAAAATTGAAACATACTTTTTGCAAGTGAGGATTATATTTTCGACAACCAGCATGGCACGGTGAGAAATAATTCATTTTGTGATAATTTACTGGATTAAAGAGATTAACTTGATTGCATTGGCAGTCAAAACTACATTTTAAGTTATCATCGAATTTTTCTCTGAAAATAAATTTTAAACGACTATTCGAAATTAATGAAATATTGACTGCTCTAAAAATTGCGATGTGCTTTAATTTGGGTTGAAAAAGAAATTACAATGAAATATTCCTAACTCATTGATGGCGATAGTGTCAATAAGGAGTTGTTTCACTCGTGGCTCATCACAACCAACTATTGCACCGATCAAATATGTGATTACAATGATCGACCAGGAGGCAATCAAAAAAAGTAACGCTTTTCGAGGTGATGGATTAAATTTTGCCAGCAAATAACCACCCAGCGCTGTGCTAACTGCTATACTACCAAGTGATACTATACCTGTAAAAGTTACGATTTCAAAATTGGACAAATATAAGTTTTCTAACTGGAACATATGACACCGATCATTACTTTACAGGTTAAAGTGATAAAAAATATTTTACATTAACAAATTAATTTACCGGCATAAGTATCAGCAAGTGATGCGCTACGACCAAATTGTGTTTCGATATATTTTGGTAGATAAGTGCTATAACCACTGGTAAGATATGAACCAAACATCCATCCAATTATCATTGAAGTAAATACCGGATTCTTTATTAATCCCGGAAATTCTGGAAATTTTTCTAACTGAATTTTTGCTACCATTATTTTTTCTTACATTTCGAAAAGATTCGTTAAATCCTTTCAAGCGATCTTGAAATATCTAAAAATACTTTAAGATCAAAAAGTAAATAAATGTTTTTTGTGAGGAAAAAAATCAATAATTATTACCTGCAAAAGCCGCTTTTAGCTGTTCACAAAATGTTTCATGTGATTGTACGTCGTTTTCAGGAACAGCGATTTCATGATCATTGTGATTATGTGAACATTCATTCCTACAAAGGGAATTCACATCAACCAAGTAAATGAACCCATGCAAATATAACAAAGAAAATCCTCTATCTTTTAAATTTTTTCAAAATGCTAACAAAGCAATTACTCCAATTATTACTTAAGTTAAGGCAAAGTATTATTAGTTAAACTGATAAGTATTACTAATACCTTAACTTAAGTAATGGCTGAAATAATTGCTTTATTAGCATTTGAAGTCATATAAAATAATGTTATTAGTAAAATTTATTTTGTGTAATATTATAACATAATAAAAATAATTCAACCTCAGTTGTTGCATTTCAAACGAATTTGAATCATATTGCAACAGCTTTTTGGGAAAGAAAAATAATGGAATAGCACCGACTAAGTAAAGTAAGCCGAAGATAATGAAACCAAGCCACCAGGCTCCAATCCACTCATCACCATTAATTGTCACGCTTGAAGATACTACAAGAAAAACTGATTTAAATTAAAATTACTTCAAACCATTTCACTGACTGCTTCCTTAAACAAACAAACAATGCAGTATTGATCAGTACTGCAGAACCAAACTTTTAAAATACATAAATTTTCACACTTTGAATCAGATTTCATTTTTAAAGTATCGTCAGAAGTGGTACCATCAAAAATAGTTGTAGATAACTGTGCGACACCTGCACTTAATGCAAATCCAAAAGCTGGCGCAAATGCATACATACTAGATAACAAACCTGTAATAGTAACACACTAAATGTGGCTGACTTGCAAAATAACTCTCTCTTCTCTTTAAAAATATTCAAAATTCAAGCTTTAATTACTTTTTTTGAATTCCTGGATGCTAATGAATAATAATGCGAAGCGCATTGAGATTTGAAATAAATTTAATCTTATATCATATTACTCTCAATAAGAAACACTATTTTTAGCAGATAGAAAACTATTGAAAAAAATACTCAAGTAAAACGGTGATTTTGTTTTATCTGCCAGATTATTGTCCACATAAACATAAGCCACTGTATTGAATGGTGCAGCAGCAATACCAGCTAGGATTTGACCAATGACCAGAATGCAAAATGCCAAAAAATGTTCATTCTCTTGAATTTTACAATTTTGCTCTGAATCATTAGTAATTCGTGATGGATCGCAAATATTTTTGAGAATGTATTCATGCTGCAAAAATTAATATGATCTTTCTTTTTTGAAAATAAAAAGTACATATATTGCGCTAGAAGAAGCTAAGAACTAGGCATATTCAATAAAATTTGGGGGATGAATTTGACCAAATGCATAAGAGTGAAAAGATCAAGTAAATGGCTATTCCTACATCTATTAAAATTTCTAAAATAAAAATTTCAAGCAAAAAATAAACTTGAAAAAATTAACTTCATGTTGTGACATTGATGATTCATCGAATGATTGTGTTCCAAATAATACCATTGGTAAGGCTAATACGAACATCGATGCAGCACTAACTATTACTCCTGCAATATGACCGCAATTGTTCTGCAAGTCACAGCAATTTTTAAATCGCGTAATCAATTTTCTTCATAAAAAAAAAGATTATACAGAATTAATAGAGATTAACATCCTGAAATGCTATTACCTACAGCTGTAATTCGTGGTAAATGTTTATCATTGGCCAGAAAGCCAATCAATACCACAGAGACAGTATGGCCAATATCATAAAACGATAATAAAGCACCGGATTTTTTGCTCGATATGCCAAATCGTCGTTCCAGATTTGTTAGTATGCCAACTACGTATGCAAGATAAGTACCCTGTTGAATTTCTGATAAATATATATATATATATATCATTAACGATAATTTCTACAACTTTACTTTAGAAATATTATCCAGCTATAAAATCGATTAGGAAGATAGCTGCATAAAACGAGCGGTATGAATGATTATTCCGTTGTTCCGGATAAAGGAAAAGTTAACATACCTGAACAGCGATCACAAACAACATTGTAACAAGGAAACATTCCACAGAAAATATATTTTTTGGCGATAGTTTTCGTTTTCGTGGCAGCAATATTGGTGGTTCATTTTGCATTATTGCAAATCCTTTTTTGAAAAAACCAAATTAATGAATTGAGTGAATGGTCGAATAAATAACCTAACAAAAACTCCTTTCTATAAACAAAAGAGCAGAAATAAAAAGAACTGATATTAAAATATTATGTTATGCTATCAATGAATGCATAATTTTATTTTCAGCATTGCAAAAAATGAGTAAAGAATTGAAAAGAGGAAATGTCATATAAGTGGAGAGAAAGTAGATTGGTAGATTGAATGATTGATAAGATTAAATAGATTGAATGATTGACTGATAAAAGAAGATATATAGAAAATAAATTGAAGAATTAGAAATAATTGCGAACTTAGCAGACTTTTATCGAATAATATGATTAATACATTACATTATTTGGAGATGGTTAGCAGAGATTTCATAGATCAATAATTTGACTAGAGAATCTTCAGTGGTTATCTTCAGAAATGAATCATACATTTCCCTCTAATGTTATTTATTCCTCACTTGAAAAATATAACTTTGAGGTGACCAATTTAGAAATGCGAAAAGTATGGGAAGACAATTGTTGATGAGTCATATTTGTCTAATTGAAATGGTAAAGAATGGAAAGGTTGGGAGGGAAGTAGCAAACTAGTTTCTATACATTATTCATACCAGCCATCCTCAAATGGTTTCTATTTTAGCGATGGACAAATAAAGGGTGCATGCAATCCGAGGGCCAATTGTTCAATAATAAAAGTGATGACGGCGAAAACTCGTAGATTGATCAATGTTAACTTATCTCTATCGCTCTACACTTAAACCAAATTATTGAAATTGATGAAATGAAATGATAACATGTCTCTTAAGTTATTTTGAATACTATGCGAGATAAAGAATAATATTTGCTAAAATGATACTAGCCTTTGTAGGGGCCTCAATATGAACCTTAGTGAATCAGATGTGAATAAAAATACAAAATTTAATCAAAAAACATAAGATGTGAAGAAAATCATAAAAGACAAAATTCAAAAAACAAAAAGACATGCCTATAAAATAAATAAAATGTATAAAAAACAGAGTTCAAAATAAATTAAACGACAATTTATCTCTTCTCAATGTGGCAAAACCATAATTAACAGACAAAACAAAACAGAAATTTAAGACATATTTAATTGTTTCATATCATCTAATTTGACAAAGGAAGAAGACTTAATTAACTCTTAAAAAGTATGAATCATCAAAAAGCTCAAAAAGGAATAATAAAAGATCAATCTACTCAATGACTCAGAAATACAAAACAAAAACAAAATTAAAAGAGCCAAAAAACAAATAAACACTGTAAAAATAATCAAAAACTGTAATAGCACAAAAAACATTTAATAAAAACAAAGAAACAAAAAATGACTAATGACAACAACAAAAAAACAAAGAAAAACTGAACTAAATCCTCTAATTATAGAATAGAAATTTTAAAAATTTTAAAAACTTAACACAGCCAATTAAAAAAAAGACAAAAGACTAATTTAAAACAAATCATAAACAAAACAATGGTAATACTTCTAGCCATAATTATTTCCTAATATAGAAAACAAAAGAAAAGATAAACAAAAAACATCAAAGATATAAGCAGCAAAAACAAAAAAAAATAATTAATAAAAATAAACAAAATAATCAAAGTCAAACAATAATAAAACCTTCAAAAAATCAATCCTCATAGGAACATTAAAAAAAATTGCAAACTTTATTAGGTTATGTAAAATTATGGAAGTTACAAAGGGATGAAAAATATAAGCTGAGTAAAGTTTCTAGATTGAGATTCGTTGAGGATATTATATTAAACTCAATAATTTAGGTAAGAAAATTTGTGATTAAAAACCTTAATGGTTCCTTTTCAAATTTATAGCTAATTGGAAAAAAGCCAAAAAATATAAATTATCGTTGGCTTCAGAGATGCTTTAATTTCTTTTCCACAATTTGAGCAAAAATTTGCCATTGCTTCTATCTGTGAACCATTGCTATATTTTTAAATGAAATCTTCTGTATCCCCAAAAAAAATAAACCGAAAAATGTCATCTATAAATTTTTTGGAATAATTATGGTTGGATTATAGGAGACATCAAAATAAGTGTTCATTTCAGATCCGATGCATATGAAAAATAAAAATTAAAAATTTCATTAGGCAATGGCAGTGATGAAATTATTCCGAATGTAAATTCATAATTCGACATCTTCTTCAAGTAGAAGATGATCACAACCAAAAACAGTAATATTGAAGAAATTAATTATTTACAGTTATTAATTCTGAGAGTGCATATTGTAGAGTTATAATTGTGGAAATTATTTAGCTTTTGTAGAAATCAAGCTATCAAGAGCTCTTTGAAAAGATTTTTTCCCAAAATTTCAAAACTAGCTCTACATTTTTTTTAATATTTAAATTCATTTTTTGCAAATTCTTCAGATTGAATGTTAACTCGTGCTTCTGTAGAAAATATCTAAGACTTTTTATCCTTTGACCTTTTATCCTGAAAGAAATTTAGGGTATAACATGAACATTTAAATAATGTAAATACTAAAATACGGAAATGGTCAAAATTTATTTATAGATTCATTTTTGTAAAAGATGAAATATTTGAATCAAAAAATTTTTATGCATTCTCCAGGGAGATCCAATTGTAGAAGCTACGGGGAAGTTGGTGAATATATAGGTACATATAATAATTCAACTAAAGTGAAAAAATTGAAGATCAAGTTTTAGAATTTCGCGATCATTGAAATTTCTGGCCAGATCTTCTTCCACTATGGGTAGTAAAAACTAAAAATGATTCTATCAAAGAAAGGAATCTTATCAAATAAATTTTTTCTATGAAATTACACCATTTATCCTTGTGGAAGAGCAAAAAGTCATATTAAAGGCTTATACACTACATGAAATTTATGGCATAATGTTGTTTTCGAGACAAATTTGGTATTATACAGCGTTTCGAGTTTGACAAAATGTGTCACATCCTTGAATACGATAATTCTTATCACCTCGATATTTAACAAAATCGCTTCATGCAAATTTATATAAGAATTATTGCAGGAGACAAAAAGCATTATGAGATTATGAAAGTTAATTCAATCACAAAAAGATGAAAAAGATCGCTGAGAATCATTAACTGATCAAATCTATCATGTTCAATGAAGATAAATATGAAAGCTAAATTTTAGAAAAATTACGGGAATAAATGGAAGAATATGAAGAAAATAAGTGACGTTATAATATTAGGTGGTTAAGGATGAAGAAGTATGCGGGATAAATAAATTCCGCCGAGGAAAGAAAATGGTTAAGGATGGAACATGCGGGATAAAGAGGAATACTATCATTAAAGAAATAATCTTTTGTCTTCTCATCTATCGACCACTGTCCACCCATCACTTTCAACACTTTGGATAGTCTTCTTTTGAAATGGCGCTTATGTGAATTCCTGATTTTATCTTTTAGCAGCTTTACACCTCAGAAGGAACTTGAGGGTAATGCAGGTATGAAATAGTTGTTTTTATAAAAATGACTATGTTGTTGTTGTTGAGAGTGACGCAGTTAGTCAAATGACCTTACTCAATTATTCAATTACCTGCTAATTGTCTTTAGCGCATTTCTGTAGAGTTAAATGACAGTTAAGTAGTTGAATGAATCATCCTTACTTTATCACATTCGACAAAATTATCAGAAAATTTTCCTCTCACTTATTTCTGGAAAATCAATGGATGAGATAGCGGGGTAGCATTCATCATTTTTGCATTGTAATTTATCGATTCTTTCTCTTATATTTGTTCATAATTTCATTTATAGAAGGATTAGTATGAACAAATTCCAAAATTCCTTTCAAATTTGAAAAACAAAAAAATCATTCATCCCTTAATTTGTCTATAGCGATATTTACATTACTCTAATTAGCACTTCATTTGCAATTTTATCAATCTTATCAGGTCATGCTATATAATTCACTTCCTAGCAGTGTGAATTTATGATGCTTGACCATTTATTTCTACCATTTATTACCGTTTATTTCCGACACTTTCCTAATGTTATAATAAATAAATACCATAAAAGAGTTTCCATTTTAGAATTTGTTAAATTTGATAGAAATTCGAATTAGTCTTATTTGTAAGTAGTTAATTCGATCGAAATTTTTGTGGAATTATCGTCGTTAGATATAGAATGACTCTTTGAAGATATACTATTTACTTATGAATTATTTATTTCGTTAACATATTGATTAATACAACATTAATAAATCTCTTTTTAGTGCACTAAAATGGAGAAGTTACAATGTGCAGTACAGACATATGATTGGGGGCGTCAGGGGAGCCAAAGTGAAGTGGCCGCTTTAATACATGCAGCAAATAAGCAATTCGTTATCGATGAAACAAAACCATACGCTGAGGTTTATCTTAGTTTTATCCATCTGATCTACCATTTGACTGCTTGTTTAATATCATTAATTAAAATTTAATGTAACCAATTAATTATCAAGTTAGCCACAAGTAAAATTTGCTTCTCATTGCATTTCTGTTTCTTCTGAAAGTATTACAAGACACCAATTTTCATTCTGGTTAATTGCAGGTTTAATTTTACTTTTCTAAACATATTCACACCTTTAACGAAAGCACAATTCGGTAAATATATCAAATTTAGGTTTAAATTGCAAAATTTGTGAGTATTTTCTAGATAAACTTATTTTCCCGGCTAATATGGCATTTTTATTAAATTTATTTTAGTTATGGATGGGTGTACATCCAAATGGGCCTTCAAAACTTGTATCGAATGGGAAACTTTTGTCAGAAAAAATTGCGGAGTCGAAGTCTCTGCTTGCGAATCATGAAAATGGATCACTGCAGTTTTTGTTCAAAGTACTTTCGGTGAATAAAGCATTATCAATACAGAGCCATCCGGATAAGGCTGGTTTATTTATTTTGATAATTTTTGAAAATTCAGCTATTTGGAAAATTGAAAACGTTCTCCTCTCAATTTAACTAGCAATGTTAGTTAGTTTTTTGTGAAGAGTAGTGTAATTTTCTTCTACCTTATGATGTATGCTCCAATATTTGGAAATCTTTTTTCCGTTGATACTGACGGATAAAATATTTAAGAAACAGCATTGAGTTAAACAAGCACATGCGCCAATTACGTGCATGCAGAACGTAGTAGTGTTTTTTGTGAGATGTGGATTTCGTTTCTCGTTCAAATAAAGTTATTTCTATCCATTTATAGGAAAAAGCAAAAATATTGCACAAAAATGATCCGGCACACTATCCTGATAGTAATCATAAACCGGAGATGGCAATAGCTTTGTCGGATTTTCAACTTTTGAGCGGCTTTCGTCCCTTTTACGAAATTTGTGACAATATTGAAAGTTTGACATTTGCATTTCAAAGCTTTCTATACACTGTTGAAGAGTTTTTAATGTAGAAGAATTGATCAAAAAGTCCCATCAGTATATGATTAGATTTCATTCTGTTTTTACAGTTCATTATCATTTCCTCTATGATGTCTTTATAATTGCACACGACTCTTTTTAGCTTTTCCCGAACTATGGAACTTAATAACTTCGAAAGATGCAATTGAAAAATTGAAAACTGGAAATGATTTTGAAAAGCGCGAAGCCTTGAAGAAGATATTTTCTGAGTATATGCGTTCATCAAACGAAAATATATCTAAAGCAGTGCAGCAGTTGGGACTACGCCTAAAGAACAGTTGGCTTTTCATCGCTACAAAAGAAATCTTTGTTTTAAAGTCAATCCAAGCAAGAACCACTGGACATGAAGAATTTTTGCTTTTCCTAACAATCCGAGTTCTTTTTCTCTAACGTCTCAGAACGGTAATTTCTCGACAAAAGAATTATTAATTCAAACATTAAATATGCAATGCTCTTTATTGTATAACTTCACTTGCTTGGCTTCTTTTTGCAGAGCACAATCGTTCTGATCTTGAAGAGTTACTTCTCCGATTGAACAATGAGTATCCCGGTGATGTAGGTGTCTTCGCACCACTTTTGATAAATTATTTTACACTAAAAAAAGGAGACGCTGTTTTTATGGGGCCAAATTCTCCTCACGCATATCTTTTGGGAGGTAAGTGAAAAATTTCTAATGTTTTTAAAATCGACGGAAGACTTTTTTTAATGCTTCAAAAAATTCCTGCAGATTGTGTGGAATGCATGGCTTGCTCAGACAATACTGTTCGTGCTGGACTAACATCAAAATTCAAGGATGTGGATACTCTTTGTTCAGACTTGACATTCGAAATGATCCAGCCACCATATTTTTCTCCAAAAATTATTAGTCCTGGAATAAGAGAATATGCGCCGCCGGTTGAAGAATTTGCTGTGCATGAATTAAGGGTGATTTTCAATGACTTTACTACGAGCTTATTCATTCAAAAGTATCTTCAGTACTATGCTGATAATTATTTTTTAATCTGTTCCGCATTCATGCTCGGATTTAACAATCCCATCCTTCGTTTAGGAATTTGAGTAATAGTTACATTCTTGATCACCTTTAAAAGAATGCACGGAAAAGGAGTGGTAGAAGCAGTTGAAATTTCATCTGCAATTTTTCACTAATACTTAATTGCATCCTTAACTGTTTATTTCAGAGTGAGGCGAATGAATTGCGAGATGTTGATGCTAGCAGCATTATTATCGTTATAAAAGGCTCCACTGAAATATATACTGGTACTGAAAAACTCAAAGTGGGCCGAGGTGAAATATACTTTGTCCCAGCGAATGTGAATCATGTAAATATTAAACCGTCTAACGATTTTTTGGCTTATCGTGCTTTCACTCCTAAAAGATAGAAACTTAAGAGGAACTCTCGTTCTTGGATGTAGGAAGAACAATTTCGTCAGCTCCAGGCATTGTCGTTTTCCAAAACTGTACCCTGGCACGGAAGTTTTTGTTTTCCCGAAAAATAAAAAGATCTGGAGAAGCAGCGAAATCACTTTTTTGCTTAACTACGTATGTAGCTCGCATAAAACTATGACAATCTAGTAATGTGAAATGACTGGGAAACTATTTTGTCCACTCCCATTCCCTTCCTCTTTTGTTTGAAAGAATTTGTTCTTCTATATAAAAAGTGTAGAAGTCGTTTCTATTCACAATTAACATAGGACACGTACGCGACTTTAATATGAGAATAAAGTTACAAAAAGATGTGAACATAAAAATACAAAGTATAAACAATTGAAGATTTACGTAATGTTCGTGCGATACTGTAGATTAGCAAAAGAAGAAATCTTAGAACATTTGAAGAGCGCCGCTCCTAAGGAGAACCGAGGTTGCCGTCCTATTTTCCCCAAGAGACTAAAATAGATTTTTGAAAAGCATCCAGGTAATAGTGCATTGTATGCTTACGTGTATAGACCGATGAGTATTTTGAATCTATCCTGGAAGGAAAATTTGTTAGAAAAATCGCTTAAATTGTGCGGTGTTCGTGACTCAATTATCCTTCTGTCTTATGATTCTACGTGGAAAGATATCATGCCCGCAAACTTAAGTTTTAGAAAATGTATTTCTTGAAAATCATAAACTGAGCATATAAATTAATAACGTTAGAATATAACGGAGAGACGAGAGGCAGTTAGGCAAGGCTTTAAAAAGAATATGGGATTCGGGTCTAGAGCTGGAGAGACCTTTCCTGAACGGAAAGAATAAAAGGCGGAAAATTAAAAGTATAGGATGAGAGGAACAACCAAAGAAAGATTTGGAAATTCACAATTTAAAATGAGTAAAACACAGTTTAGCTCAAAGCGTGCGACATAATCAAAGTCGAAGAAATTGAAAAAAATTTCAAACTTAAAGCATACATGCAAACATAATCCAGACATTCGCAACATACTAACAGCCGGACATAAAATCTGGGTAATCATGAGAAGCCTACTTTTCAAAACTTTTCTTCCGAAGAATCAAAAAAAGAACGAATTGCAGGGCCACTGGCTTGCAAGTTTGAAGATACTACTCTCTCACAAATTTTAAAATAAAACAGGAGAAAACTGAGCAGTCTGGCAAAAGACAATCAGTGAAGTGAGGTCATTGCCATCGTTGATGTAATTACATCAAAGTTACAGAAGAACCATAAAACAGCCTAAGTAAAAGAAAGAAAATAAATCATTTCAGTTTGCACTAGCAAATGCTGCATTCAATTGGACAAATAAGCCCAATAAAATACCCGTTTATATCGAAAAAAATATTTTAACTTAAACCTAAAAGATTTCCATTTTTCTGGGCACAGTTGATTAAACAGAAAAATCTTTGTTACATCAGATGATAGTTCCGAAACGTGATTAAAAATCGATGCGCAAGGTTTGAAAAAGTTGACGCCACAAAGCTTAAACATAATATAAATAGAAATATCAACTTGATCTGTTCGTGCATAAAATCAGAAGTCTGACTGTCACACTGGACTTCTTCTGGGAGGTTAATGAGCGTTCAACTTTGAATGCGTGTCGATGGTAACATACGTTGCATCAGGTGAGCTCCAAGAATCATGATGGAGGACAACAGTGACACTAAAATGTATTACGATACTTTCCGAAAATCATCGTTGCTATTTGTAAATTAGTTTCACTTTGCTACAAAAAAGATAACTATGATGAGCGAGTGTGATTGGGTATGGAATATTTCAAAACAATGACACAAATACATGCAAAAACATACATACAAAAATTATTAAAAAACAGACAAAAAACAAATCAAACAAAAAATATTCATCGCGAGAGACAAACATACCAAGGAAAAATGACTGAAAAAAAGCAAATCTGCCTCATATAAGATAGAGACTATAGCTCCTCGGTTGAAGTACAGACAAACAATTCGAACAAAACAATCAGTCATTAAGCAATTTTTTTAAAAAACAAATCAAGTAACTGGAAAGAGTACAAACAACCAGCTTAGGAGACAAAAGATTTTGATAGATACAACAAAGGTCTCTCCACTTACAGTTAAAATGGCATGAAAATGATTCAAAAAAGGCAGAAGAATAAGATTCACAATTCGGTCGTCTTAAATTCCTGCATTTTTCCGTTCTCCAGAGCAATAAATATCGGGCGGGAATGGGTAGACGGATAGGGTTTAAGGATTAGTTAATAAAACCCTTCAAATGATGACACCCCTGTTACTGGAACGAGAATCCCTCTGACGGAACATTTTGCTGCGTCGATTCAAAGAAATGATCGCCAGTCGCTATTCCATCATCATCGGTTTCCGAAAAGTAATTATCGATGATTTCATACGCCAGTTTATAGATTTCTTCACTTTCATGATTTTGTAAATGTTCAATTTTATCCAAACCTGAAACAGTACCGAATTCAAAATTCTCCAATTCCTAAATAATCTTCCATCAACTTGCTGAGAGTTGAAGCACTATCAAAATGATTTCGATGTTTTCGATACACTGTTGCACATCAACAACATCTGTCTCATGTCCTTTAACTCAAGTTTATCTTCAAGTGGAATTCCATTCTACGATAATTTTCTAACATGGTTCAGCTGATTAACACAAACAGCATTTTTCCCAGAGCTTCTTGAGACAAACCAGTTCAATACATAGAAATTACTAGGCCGATATCACCCATAAGCAAAGAATCATCCGAAGTAAGAATTCGGGCTTTCCTCAGACTGTCGAACATAATATGAATTTTATTAAGACTAGTAATCCAAGCGAAAAAACCACTAATCTGCATTGCTTAGTTCTACTTCCCCAAATAAAAACGAACAGTCACCTCCACACTCTTCAATCATCGTACAAATTGCTTCCGAGCGAGGTCCAGCCATCTTGAGAATATTATTGAGGCCATCCAGGACAACCTGCACAATTTGTGAGTCACGTATAGAAAGTAGAGCACAAAACGGTGGTATAACACCTTGTGAAACCATATATTCCACCTGTTCGGCACGTCCACTGATTGTTACATTCGAAACTGCCCATGCCGCTTCCTAAATTATAGATCATTAACAGAAATTTCTGAGCTGCAAATTGAAAATTATTGTATCAGAATAAAACCTTCTGCGTCTGAAAGTCTCCCTTTTCCAGCAAATGAATAATCATTGGCATTAGGCCAGCATCAATCACTGCTTGCACTTGAGCTTGATTTCCAGCGGTTATGTTGGATAGGAACCAAACAGCTTCCTAAAAGTAGCAAAATCAATCGAAGAAATCAAAAAACGCTTGCTATAAAAATCACAGGAACAAAATTTAAATATACGTTAAATAAAAAGCATACGACCTTGTTTATTTTTTCTTTCTGATGCGAAAGTAATGCAGGCATTTGCTGCAAAACGCCACAGTCCAGAACAAGCTGTGTCTGTTCATCCGTTCCAGTAACGATATTTCCTACAGCACGAAGAGCTGCAGTCTGAACTTTTACTTCAGGATGGGAGAGAAGTGGAATCAAATTGCTCACAACCTGAAATTTAAAGTAATTTTTGAAGATAACACGCTGCAAAAAATGAAACAGATAATCTTGTAACTTCGCGTTGGACAATCAAAGAACCTACACCGCTGTTAATGACCATTTGGATTTGCTCATTTCCACCATCCGTAAGATAAGACAATGCCCACACAGTGTCCACCAATATATTTTGATCTGTATGACTTATCAGTGCAGCTAACGCAGGCAAAAGTGTTTGAACAATTTCTGGTGATGGTGGTGGATCCTGAAAAATTCATCATTTAGTTAATATAAACTGGTGATGATCCAAATAACAAAACTGCTAATCCATGCCGTTACATTTGCCAACGAAACTTTTTATCGAACAACTAGCCTTGGAACGACATAAGTTGACGATAACCCAAGTAACATTACGAAGGAATCCAATCGGGATCCCAGGTGTAATAAATTTCAATAGTGGTTCAACAATTCCAAGCTGAATACAATAGTCGCGAAAATGTGGTCCATCACCTGAAATTCCCACTTTTTTTTATCATAATGAATTTGCCACAAAGAGAAGACCGGAGAGTTATTTTGAAAAGCAGAGAAAAAATGAGAAAAAATAAGAAAAAAGATCGAACAATTTTGCACAATTAGATTCAACTTCAAGCCCATATTAGCATATTACAATTTACTGGCAAAAAGGCGAGTGTATGCAGTAAGAGAGCATATGGAATGCATCAGGTGAAATAGCTATGTTCATTTGTTTCTGCAAGATTCATTACTAAATAATCAATTCAACTACGATTTCTTTTTCTACATTTCGTTCTAACTGCCCAAATCTGCCGAACAGTTTAACAACAGTATCAAAACTCTGATACTCGAAAACAAACCAATAATATTCCCAAGTGCCCAAACAGCTTGTTCACAGACGTTCATATTGCCCGAAGACAAAAGTTCTAGGAACAAGGGCACAGCACCAGCCTGAACAACAGACTGTGTTTGCTGTGAAGTTCCAGATGCAATATTTGTCAATGCCCATGCTGCTTCAAACTGCAGTGTTACGCTGCAAAAAGTGCAACATAAAAATTTTAGAATAATTTCACAGCAACAGAGTAATTACGATTCAAAGCGCAAAACAGTAGCATATATGGGAATCAGACATATAAAGAACAAAGAAACTGTTTTTTGAGGTATGGTGACAAGTGACACACTGAAAGCCGCAATCGGTCGCAGTTTCACACTATTGAAGAAGTCACGTCACCACTACAAGGTTCCATATTATTTGCATCTTCTTAAGTCCGCAAGCTAACCTTCGTGACATAACATCCTTGAAAGCATGTTCACGGTTCATGCTTTTATATGAACGTCAAAACTTACTTGTTGGAACTTAAACACTGCACCAATATTGGCAAAATACCAGATGCAATCAGATCATCAATTGGCGGATTACGATCAGATGAGAGCAGTTTCCGTGCCTGAAATATATCGTCTCCATAATTAAATAATAGTTTGTTTGAATAAATTTTCCAGTGCACCGAATAGATCCTTTACTGGTAATCTGATTTTTGGTTTTCAAAATTTTCATATCGAAATCACTTCTATTAGTAATAATGGTAAAATTATTAAAATGACCTACTTGTTGCACAGCTGAGAGCTGCACCTCCTGATCTTGGCTGCTCGCTTTCTTGACAATATCTTCTAGAGTATTACGATTGTATGTTCCGTTGACAACTACACCACCTGCACTCGTCGATGCATCATCCGAATCCAGTGATCTATAAAATTGGTCCATCAACTACCTTATCTGAAGCAGCTTTACCTTTCTGACAAACATCCTCCAACAACTGAGAAAAAGAAAAATCTTCAGCCTCCGGATTTCTTTATACTTTGTCATTCACTAAAAATAATCGATATAATCCAGAAACTTGTGGATCACTTGAAAATTAGCTGTTAGTATTTCAAGCAGCAACTGGTTTTACATCTCAGTTTTAAACATAAGTAACTTTACTTACTCAACAGGTATATTACGACGCTTCGACAATGTTTCCTCGCGTTTATCTTTACGAATAGAAACAATATTTTCCACACGACTCTTCCTCAAAGCTTCGCTATCTTTCCCCATATTTTTGTACTGGGTTTGTCGCGATTCCGTCATCTTCTTTCTACTTTTTATTTTAGCTTGATGCCAAAGCTGAGAGGTGAATGAGCTGAAATTGCTGGAAGTGAGGAAGAAACTTCAAGCAATACAACTGATAGCTTCAAGACAACATGAAAACGAAATATTTCGCTGACAAAGTGAAGTGGGCAACTTTTCGACCACAACAACTCTGCTGGGCAATCGTGGAATGTGAGATTTTCATTTTTATTTCAGCAAAACTATTCCCACAAGCCAGCTAAAAAAAGGGAGCTTCAGGCTATATTTCATGGTTTAAAACCGACTCCAAACAATTGCTTCACTCATTCAAATTTGTCATGTATTTCTTTAGCAATGTTCTATTTCCAGTTAACCATCTTCTTTAAAACACGCAGATCATGAATTAATCTATCACCAGTTATATCTTCAGGAAAGAGCGCAACCGACTCCCCAGTACAAACCACTCGCATATTAACTTCGATATACAAATAAATTAAATTAAATTCTCACTAGTGATAAGAAATCAATAAAGACCAGGCATTGCACTAATAAAATGCATATAACACATCATTTGAATCATTATGTGTTGTACGATTGAATTCTAATTGTAGTCAATAATCCATGCAAGTGGATGCGATATAATTAATCCTATATGAAACAGTGCATCTTACGTCAACAACGCAGACTCTTCCAACAATACCGATGGACTACCTATTGTCGTAGGATGGGAGGCCATCGCCAAGTAAACATCCAACTTCTCTGACCTAGATCAACTGACGCAAACACAAGACGGCCGCATGCTCAAGTTGTAGGGCGGTTCACTATGAAATTCGTACTGTCTCATAATTAAGTATGTGGGATGTTAAGTGATATATATTGATTGATGCTTGTTACTTTCGTGACTAATTATAAGCTTCGTAGATGGAATAATTTTAATATACACACATTATTATTTTTATTTTAAGATTTTTCGATTTTGATGATTGCACATCGCTCTATTTCATTTATTGCTGTTGAGGATTCTCTTCTCATTATCCGGAAAATGACTCTAGCATAAATTTCCTTCACCAGCCTGATTACCAAACTACCAGCTCAAATTAGGTCACTATCAGCTTAGTTCTGTTCAATGTCGTAGCATATAATTGATAATCCAGGTTTATGATTTCCTGCGGAATAAAATAGTTGGGTAATTAAAGTGAATTTGAGATGGTTACATTTCTATATGTATGTAATCCGTGCTACGGTATGGTTGATCATTATTATTATGATGCTAAGTGATGCCGAAAGATAATAAGTGACTCTGTAGAAGTAGTATTCACTTAGTGATGTTTATTTTACTCTGAAGAAATATTTTCGAGAATTATTGCATACAATCCGGCATTTGTTTATTAATCGCTCGAGTGGTTTCAGATGTCTGCAAATGTAGCAGAAGAACTCAAGGAGACTGGCAACTGTTTTTATCAGCAACATCGTTATGAAGACGCTATCAGTGCTTACAGTCGGTTAGTCGTTTTAGCTCTTATCTTTGATACCAAATTTACTTAGCAGAATATTCGCAGACTAATGCCATTAAATTATTTGGCAAAATATTTATAGAAAAATTTCTCTTAAATTTTGTTGTAGCTTGCAGCAGAATATCTATAAAATTTTGTTACCTTTGGTTCCACTGACGTTTGAATTAAGAAATTCTTTCTCAGTTCGTTGTTGCGTTTTTCTGCAGTCCTTTTTCGTGGCAACTAGAGAAATCACAGATAAAATTCTGGGCATATGGAAAAGATTTTCTACCTCGTCTGACGTTCAGTACTTTGTCCTGCAATTAGCGCATTTGATCAAATATTAGTCAAGTTTAGAGCTATAATTAACAACCCAGTCATTCCAACTTATTTTACCAATCGAGCTTTATGTTACATGCAAACAATGCAATGGGAAAAGGCTGAGGACGACTGCAAGAAAGCTTTAGATTTGGATCGCAAAAATGTTAAGGTAAACTTCTCACTACTTTTTTTTCAGTCAAAAAATAATAGTATGTTAGAGTAACAAAAATAATGACTGCTTAATTTTCAGTGTTTTAGCCAGCTAGTAAGTTAGGTTATTATCTTTTTGGTCCTAAAAACTTGAATTTTAATAACGAAATTTTGTTAGTGTCGGTGATCGGTGACAGAGGCAACAATAATGAAGACATGAAAGTTTAATGAAGCTGCCGTAAAGCATTAGTAGGGCAGTCTGCTAGTTCATGCTTATACACTGAAACGTTATTCGTCCTTCGATGGACTACATCACTAACTCTTAAAACTCTATCGAACTGTGTTAAATATTTTCATGGTTCCATAAATTGTAGGCAAATTTCTTCCTTGGCCGAACATGTGTGCAGTTGGGACATTTTGACGAAGCTTTAAAAGTACTTACACGTGCAAATGATTTAGCGCGTAGTCAAAAACTGAATTTTGGGGACGAAATAACAGCGCAAATTCGAGTTGCGAAGAAAGAAATATTCAGGAGAGAGGAAGAGAAACGGTTTGTCAGTTCTCCAAATTGAATCTTTCTGTTATCACAGATTCGGAATTTATCATCATTTTAGCTTATCATCATGTTATGTAAGTTCCATGGCTGGAGAGATTTCTCACATGAGTCAATTTCCAGATTTTAAAACCTTTTATAAAGATTTTACTTCCTGCTTCGTAATTAATATTGACCTATATAGAGTTTCAGAATAAAACAAGAAATTGAATTACAAGCTTACTTAAATGGTCTTATTGATAATGATCTTGCAAGAAAATTGCGAAAACTAAAAGGAAAAAATGAAACTAGCGAAGACAGTGAGGATATAACTGAAGAGATGGATTTGGAGAGTGAAGAGGTGACATTAAAAATGAAGGCGCAATCATTCAAAGATAAATTGAACAATTTGTTTGCACAGGTAATCTAAAATTTGATTGAATTGTTGTATGATTTATAAATTGCTTTACACAAAGTAGCTATCATAATGTATTTCTTTGAGATACATCATTGATTTTAAAGAGAAAGAGCTTTTTTATTCGATTCGACACTTTGTAATTTAATATCTGACCAAAAGAAGTTATTGGAGAATAAATCAGTTCAAATAGAAGTTTTTGATTTTCAGGTAGATGAAAAAAGGCGGAAGAGAGAGGTTCCTGATTATTTATGTGGTAAAATCAGCTTCGAAATGTTGCGCGACCCCGTAATTACTCCGAGCGGTATAACATATGATCGTGCAGATATTAAGGAACATTTGCAACGAGTTGGTCATTTTGATCCTGTTACGCGAGCACCGCTTACTGCTGATCAGCTTATACCTAATCTCGCCATGAAAGAGGTATATTTCGTGGAAATTTTCTTGCTTTTATTGTTATTTAAACGTTTATTGACAGAAGAGCAAAACAGATGGGATATATTAGGTTGATACAAAAGTAGTTGTGCCTTTAGACCTCAAAATTAACTGTGAAAATTCAAATATATTTTTATTAATCAACTGACGATCACAATCAGACCATCTCTCGGTCGAGAAATGATTCGTTTGGTTGCGTAAAGTAAAATCCGATGCTTCAAAATAACGATTTTTTTGACCGTCGCTCAGTTCGCGAGATCAACTCGTTTATCAAGCTTTTTCACCTTTCCAATTTACTTGAAACGCCTAACGACCAACGGTAGGATGGCTGACACTGAGTTTTTCAGCAACTTCTCGTGTAGTTATAAGAGGACTAACTTCGTAATTGCTCTCAGTTGGTTGTCGTCAACTTCCGAAGACCGGTCACTACGCTCTTCATTTTCAAGGTCTTTGTTTCCTTCGCTGAACTTCTTAAATTGCCATTGCATTGTACGTTTATAAGTTCTTCTTAAGCCATACACAATGTTAATAATGCTAGCTACTGCGCCTCTTATAACTGATTTTGAACTCATAACAGATCACGCTAATTGCTTTGTTTTTAACATCACTTTCTGAGTGTAAAATTAATATAAAACAAGCAACAAGGATGAGTCATTGGAATAAAAACTTCAAATAAAAAGGAGCATTAAAAGTAAATGACATTATTTGAGACTACATCTCACTATAAGAAAGCAAATTTCAACATTACAGGGAATGGTTACTTTTGTATCAACCTAATAAAAGATGGAAGCAAAAGAAAGTTTTTCTCTGTTTTCTATAAAGCATCAACATTTGATGTATTTCTAAAGCTAAAATTATGTTTTGCTAAGTCATGTTTTTTTTTAATCTGAACTAGCATATAATTTCGGTCGATTTTCAGATAGTGGTTAAGGCATACGTTATAGTTACTTTATGAATTACTAGTGTTAAACTTAATTCTGTATAGTTCTTAATGCCGATCCATAACACTGTAGATGATACTGCATAACTTCTAACTTTTGGTTGTTGCCACGCGGAACATTATTTTTCGAAATTTAAGTTAGTAATAGTCTGTGCAGCCATCGTACTCAACTGCTCTTTAGCGTTGTCAAACTGGTTTTCGATTCTTTGATCTTTCTTTTTTCCTTCAGAGCGTGATAATTTCAGACTCTAATCTACTATGATTTAAATTTAAATCATCAATTTTATTCTCAAATTTAGATTTCCTAAAGTTTTGACCCATAACCACTTAAGGATAAATTTTTTTGAATTCTTCAAGTCCAGGACCTGTGTTAACTGTGTAAACTAGCCATTTTCTTAAAAAGTGCATTTTCAGGTGGTAGATCACTTCTTAAGTGAAAACCAATGGGCTATTGATGCTTAATGTCATATGGAGGATCATTTTCCATGATTTGTTCATGTTGGTGATAACTTCTGCAGTCGTCGTGGTGTTCTAACGAACGCACTTCTTATTTACTGTTATGGTTTTGTGATTTACTTTTAAGTTCTGTCGGTCGGAATGCCTTGTAATTCGGTTTTGAAAGGCTCTGCAGATATTGAAACTCAGGCATAACTTCGGCAGTGATCATTATTAGCGATAAGCTTAAGCACTTCCGCATTGATTTCATCAAGTTATTAAGTGATTCAATTGCGAACACAGCAATGTCTTGCAATACTTAATAATTTAATATTATCTTGCATTACCGGTATATACAGGGGAGCTTCGCATGAACAGTATTATTTACTCGGCTCAGAGTATCCCAACGTAGTCTTGGGAATTATTTATAGGCAGTTTTCTTCTAAGACACGAACGACAATTTTTTAAATGATAGCGAAGCAATCAACAATTTCAATCTTTTTGGAAGAAATGAAGAATATAAAGTTGTGCATGACTTCAGAAGGACACCTCAAATCTTTGCATAATAGGTATTTGACGCAATAAACAAAATAGAAAATAAGCAGTGCTTATTACGATTACACTAAATTTAAACAATCAACATATGGATTCCCTTCTGAATAACTAGGAGGAATAGTGCTTTCATTCTGCTTCCCTCATCATTCCTTTCATCCTATCCTAATTGTAAAAAGGGTCCAATTCAAAGTTTAACGCAAGTGCGGTACAGCTTCACAAGGAGCTTATTATCAGTAGGTTATAATATATCTTGATATCGACCGCCCTGAAGGGAGGATTATTTCGTCTATACGACGATTTGTTTCTCTTGTATCATTTTCTTCAAATACTAACTGTTTTATATATTCAGATCGGCAATATGTGTATAACTTTTCATATTTCCATGTATTCCAGAATTGTAAATTTATTTCAAATAAGATATTTCGAAGACGTTTTCTACTTCTGCAAACAAGCTTACTGTCCTTGAAGGCAAAAATGTCTTTGTGATTAGTTGATATGCGCGTGCTTTGCTCTATTAGTAACGACATATCAATTAAACATAAGTTAAAAAATGTATTACCGCCTCTACCAAGTTGTCAGCAGAAATAATTGGTATCGGTTGAAGTTTTTGCTTATGAAAACGCACTGAGCTCAGATCGAAATATTACTACTCTCTGATGAGCAGAAACTCAGAACAAGAGCATTATAATTTACTAGCATGAATAGGCACTGTGATAGACGGTCCTACTCAGTTACGTTTACGCTAAAAGTAAATAGAGAAGATCCTAGCATTTTGCAAAATATATCAAAGGTTACTAAAAAATGAAGTTAGGTTTAGCTCCCTCAACCTTCGCAGTAATGTTGTCCTAAAATGTTGTCGAATCTATGTATTCCTAAATATGAATATCTAGTAAAACTTGATTCATTATACACAATAAGTTAATTTATTGCAGATAGAAAACAAAATTCTAACAATAACAACAATATATTTTAAATTACTGAAACATTTCTCTAACAACAAATCCCTATCTGCCTGAAACATAAAATCCGTTGTAATATGACTGCTTCATTTATGTCCCCGATTATCCAATGGTTTCACCTGCAAAGCAAATGTCAAATTTTCATAAATTATTGAAATGCAAGCCCTCCGAATGTTTGCTTGCTGATTATGTCAAGTAGTAAACAGGTCTCATGTTTCACGCAAGCCTAAGAGGAAGACTTTCAAATGCATAAATCAGCCACATGCATTGCAACATTGATGCTAATTAATGCTAATTACAACAAGTACGAATGATATTCCTCACTGCATACGAAAAATTGCTGTCCTACCTACCATATTATTGGCTAGGACAATCTTGACAGAATTATTTCCGAATAAAAAAAATCTTACTTTATAAATCCTCACGATCCAATGTTCTGTAGTGTAAGCTTCTTCCAAGAAGTCGAGTTCGAAATCTTTGTTACCAATTTCAGCATGTCTTACTCTATCAAAACCGGTGACTTGTCCCTGAAAATATCTGTGAGTAGAAAATACGATTTACAAACAGCTCAATTTTAAAATTTTCCAGAGTTCGGGACTTGTTACTTCCCACGATATATTTCCTAAATCCATTTCTAATTTCACGCTCGACATGAACATGAATTTTCTTGAGATTCGAAATTAGCGGAAAATACTACCGATAATACTTCTCAAAAAATTAGTTTACATGCTGGGTGTAGAGTCCGCCAAACCGGTAATAGCATAGTTTATACATCAGACAATTAAGCATCGTCGGTGAACCTTCACGATCAACGCGAAATTCACCCGATTTTGAAAAGTAATCCATTTCTTTGATGTGCGCCCCCTCTGGTGTCGATCCACCAATTCTTACCATCCATAAAAATTTGTTGATATCTAGAAGAAAAGAATTGCTTATAATGAAACTCCATGAATGAATAAAAATTCTTAATCTCTAAGATTAAATTCTTTCTTTGACTTATTAGGACTACAACCATTAATATTTTATTATTTAAACTGCAGCCTTTTCTTGACGCAAACTCCATCAATACTAAGGAGTTTATTACTTCCTATCCCCGGAAAACCTTTGAATTAAAAGTGGAAAACTTAAGAATCAATCTCATATATTATAAATATTCACAAAAAATTACCGTCAGAAGAATATCCGATTACTCCACCAAAAATTACGAGAACATAATCAACGTCCAGTTCACGCATTATTTCATATGCATCTTCCTCTTTCGAAGACATCGCCTAAATAAAATTTGATTGAAATAAGGAAAAACACTAAATAATTAAGCAATGTGGAGACAGCAATAAGCAAGCAATCAATGTGAATGTAGCTGACTTTTGATAGCATCTATCGATAGAAGTAAATTTTGCGAAGCATGAGCGATTAAGATTACATTTTTATATAACCGAGCAAAACAGCGCACACTGCCAGCTTAATATACATCCTCAATAAAAGTTCAGGAATTTGAAACGCCTTTTAATTACAAAAACCATTCACCTGTCCAACACGCGATATATGTGTATTATTCCACGTATTGTTATCAACGATAACTGTTCGGTTTGCCATTGCTGTTATTTGATATCCATAATCCCACCAAGACATAATTTTTGCTTCCTGGAATGCTTCAGAATTTTGAAAGGTCAAATGAAAAATTTATTGGCTTCAGCACTGCTAATTTTTATTTATTTTCCATAAAAATCTATCTAGCAACCGGATGTGTGTTCTTGCGTAGCCAATAATAGGCTTCTCGGAAATCATCGAAAATAATCGTTGATCCATCACCACCGTGTGCAGAAAGAACAATTGAAGGACTGCTGTAAGCTTCGGAAGTTGCCCACGTGCAATGATATACATAGGAAAAGAAAAATACTGCAACAATTACAATTACGGCCTGCGCTACCTGAAATTTAAAAAGATAACCGCATGCCAGAAGAATGAAAAAGGGTATAGGGGATGCGAAATTGCTTTACGTGAATGCTTTTAAATAAGCGATAACCTGATAATTTACAACCAGCAATGTACTTATAGTATTTCTTGATGATCTCGAGCCTTACAAAATTTCATTCCAAATAAGTACTTTCCACCATCGGTCAGTCCAAGTGTAGAGCTTGTTAGATTGTGAAGGCACTATAACTGCAAAGATAAGTTACCTCATTCTTATATGGATAATTTTTCTCTTTTTCTTTCTTATCATGCCTCACATGTATCGATGTTGAATGCAAATTCTTCATAAATGTAGCCAATGTCGATGACAGTGCAATACCACCTAATATGCACATTACTGGTGCCAATACTAACATCAAACGAACCATAACACCCTAAAAAATATCAAACATTTTTGCTGACATAATTATTTATTTATTCATAATTCATATTAATAACTTTCATAAAAACACGATTCTTACAATATCATGATAATATCATGATGTGATTAATGTATTTCAGTAAAGCTGAATAAATGAGTACAGGAAGAATATTATTTGAATTAAATAAGTTAGAAGAGGAAATAAACAGAAAGACATTTTTTTTGAAATTATCTAAAAAACAAACACGTACCGCAAAATAAATACTTGTAAGAGCGTAGAGTACGATAAAAATATTGTGGTCATTAAGTTCTTTGAAGCAGACATACAATCCAACTGAAAACACGAAACAATTTGTGAAAAGGGAGTTGATATTGATCAGTTTTAAAGCTTTTTCAGATTTTGATCACTATCATAGCATTTGTTACTTGAATTTTGATCACTTCATGCTTGATTTTGATCACTATCATATCATAGCATTTGTTGCTTGAAAGTGAAATCAACGACAGTAAGCAATTCACGAGAATAGATGAGGCACTATAATAACAAAAATCAAATACCTGGAAAAGTAAATACCAGTATTTGCAAGTCAAAATAGAAAGAGCTCCATGCTGTTGGTTGATGTTCCGACACAGATGCAATAATGGGAATATTGTTTTTAGCATATGATGGGTCCAGCAATGAATAAAATCGTCCTGTCCAAGGAGCAATTTCTAAAAAATTCCTTTCGCATTTCTTCAAGAAAAATTGCAAATTAAAAGATAGATGAAGTTGAATAAGAAAATGATAATCCTTTTTTCCAGAGCTAATATCCCTTCCATTTTAAATACGTCATCCATTTCAGTAACATCATATAGTATAGGAGCGATGGTAGTTAGGTAAGGTCAAGAGTTCCCAAAGACTTTAAATAAATTGAGATGGCAAAATTTTGTGGTGATGAAAGGCATCAATCTGAATAACTGAATAACTGTTCTGTTAAAGGAATAATCCATATGAATTTGTTTCTGAAAGACCATGTAGAAGACGAACATAAGCATAGCTACTACAAGGAAATGTACTACAATGAATGTCTGGACAGTGGGGATCAACAGCTCATCGAGAAATTGTTGCCATACTGATTTACAATACGTCAAAATCATAAATGCGTCGCTATAAATCCATATTTTGAACGAAATTAATGAAGAGTAATCTAAATATACAAAACGATTGTCTCAACAGAAATTTCTCTTTAAGCATTTACTTCCTAAATAGGATGCAACAATGACGCTCATCGCAACGGCACATGCCGCAAGAAGAATAGTTGATCGAAAAAGAAACTGAAAATTCCATTCCGACATTCGTGCCCGCAGCCACTTAGCAAATGCGATAAGCTGACATAATCCAAAAACACCAAAGGCCTAAAAGCAACAAGAAAATTTGGGAGAATAGAAGTATATATGAAGAACAAATACAAAGTTACTTGATGAAGTGATGGTTCACATAAAAAGGGACGTGGCGCTAGTTATGCCAAATAATGTCTTAGAAATAGTATAGATTCCATGCAACATCATATTGCAAACACATTTTCAGATGATGGAAAATTTTTTTCTTTTTGTCTAAAGTGGCGGATAAAAATACTCAACAAAACTGAAAAAGTTAAACAGTTAAGTAGATCAAGTTTTCCTGAATATCAAGAAATCTTTTAACAAATCCATAAAAATTTCATCGTACCAACATACCATCATATGTTCTGAAGTTTGTACAGGTTGAAATCCGACAAAAGGAATTTGCATTGAAAGTATAGTCCCGATAACATAGAACTAAAATCTTCGTTTTCTTAAATAATAAAGGTATCCGAAAGTACACAAATACAGTCATCCGGAAAGTATTATTTGGAGAAATATTTGCAAATAATTAAGGCTACTTTGCATTAAGCAGGTCTTCAACGACGTTGGACAATTAACTAAATAGCTCAGAAATAGAAACAGAAAATTCGAAAAAAAATTTACAAGAAGCAAAAAATAAAGAAATATTCTTTTAATATTTTTTCCTCTCTTCTCTCTATTTTTTTCAGATTTATTGCTTGGAAAAACTAACAGTTGAATAAGCGATATATATTTTGTTAGAGAATCGGCTAGTGCAAATAAGTGTCAAAACATGCAATGGGATAAGATTGATCAAGAACACGTAACCACCCCATGAAGAAACCATGTAAAAATAAGCAAGTGAGCATAAAACTGACCAACACACGTTACCACTCTTTACTGCCTAAATGTTTAAATTATGTATTACGAATTTCGTAATTTCGTACCAGTGGTATCTCTCGATACTTCTGTGAAATGAAATTAAGGGAAGATAATTTGAAAATAAAACTGCATTTTTGCAAACAGGAATACTAAATATGAAGTAAACATCTTCAGCATATTACGAAAGCAAAACTCACCACTTGTTGATATTAAGAAAATAGGTAAAAAAGCAAACCTTGATCCACAGGTAATAGGTAGATAACATACAAAATATGGCGATACCTTCGTTATCGTATGAACCAGCAACAGAACGCGATATGTAACCTGGCACAATAGCAATCATTGAAGCAGCTACAAGTCCAGCTGCGTCATCCTATAAGAAAAACACCTAACAACGTTTCAAGCTCAAACCGCATTACGTAATAGGACTACCACAGTTTGGAAAGTGATTGTACATGGTATGATTACATTCCATGTTAAAAAGAACAGTAAGAGAGAAAACTTGTATGATCATGGAAGTCATTAAGATCATATTACTGTACTAACAACTCTACACCATTCATTAAAGCTTACTTTACTTATCAGTACTCCTTTTGAATCCTGCAGTGTTACTATTTCTTTCATTTAAGACAAAAATATAATATATTTGGCCTCAAAAATTCTACAAAGATCAAGATAATTATCCGCAAACTCATAACATTAATGTCGAAAAACTTTGAATGTAAAAGGATATGTTGTAAAAAAATAAGGCCACAACATAAAAAAGTATCCACCATATCAGAATTATCCAGATTTAGTGTAATGAACCTTTTTTTGATAAAAATCCTGCAGGTATCAAGACTTATCATAAAGTAGCTTACATAACAAAATTTGGTGCCGAAGAGTGACATAAATAAGAATTTCCATATCGTTATGGTAACAGCGGGATAAATCAAAAACGTCACATATGATAGGCATTTTTGTTCTGTAGACATAAACATAAACAAACCTTTAATTCTTTCGTTAGCGCGTATGTTATTAAAACTGTAAGTGAACTAAAAAGTGGAGCAAGAAATACACAAATTTCTCGCACATGCAATGTGAAGTGAACGAAATGTAATATGCGATAAATAATAGCACTTGTTATCATTAAACCTAAATAGGTAATTCATGGTAAGCCTAAATACACATTTAGTTGCGAAAATTTAGAGAATTTTTCAGAGATCTTTTCCTTGAATAAATTAACTTTTTCAGACTTTAAACATTAAATAAATTCTCCAATAAAATGTTTCGAAACTCGAAATAATACAAAAAATAATAAGTAGAATCAAAAAATCGAAATGAAAATAAAGATGAACCAGGATATATCGTGCCACCGATAATTCTTCCCAGAGGATACCAAGCTTGGTCGTCAAACCAGTTATGGAAATTATAATACCCCTCATCAGTCAGATATCGAGTAGTTCGATAGTTGAAATAAGGATCAAACTATAATATCAAGCATTTAATATAATAACATGAGAAATAGAATTATCGGGTTATTTTTTCTCTTAGAAATCTCCCTGCATTGCAAACTTCTAAATATTTTTAAAACGAAACGATAAGATAGCTAACTTACTTCATGAATGACTGATTCGAATCTGATCACAGCAAAAAGTCGGCTGAAAAAAAGAAAATAAAATTTAAAACTAGGCGATGGAATAATATTTAAAAATTGATTGAAATCACAAGATGAATGAGGACAGAATGTCCTCAATTAAATTGCAACCGTCTGTCTATAGAAGTGCCTTTTTCAGAAATCAGTTATTAAATAAAAAATATTCTTTCTTACTAACCACGAAAAAGAGACCACAGCTGCCAGAGCCAGAATCAAAATCTTAAGGAAAGTCTCCTGTTTGTCATGTGTCAACCTCAGCAATCTGGCAACGCTCACCGACATACCTGCAATTTGTTCTGTCAAAATGTTGTATATAAAAAAAGTAACAAAAAGTATAAAAATAACAAAAAATAGGAAAAAATAAATACTTTATAAGTATAATATTTATTGTCTTAAATAAGCCCATTCGAATTCTTAACAGTAAGTTGAAAGTTAAGATTTAATAATCAAACGAATGACCTCAAATTTAATTCTCTTTTCACCCTAAAGTTTAACTTCTTAATTAAGATTAGGTCTAATTTTTGTATCCTGAGACAGGCAATAATAAATACTTCACTAGTAGACTCATTGGGCATAAGTTTGTACCCAACCTGATAGATAACTTATTCGACTTGCCAGGAAAAACCTTAAGCTAAACAAGGCAAAGAAATTCACATATCATCATCGCTTAACATCAAACGATAAACCCCTTTATCAGTTAACGCCCAACTTGAAAGCCATGTGTCCATCCTTCCACTACTCATTGCGCCAAATTCCTTCATAAAAGTCTATTTCGCAACACACAATATATCTACGATCTCTATGTTGGGCACACACTTTTTTTTCATCACATTATTAAGGCATATTGTTAAGTGCAGGCGGTCATGTACAGTGTAATCAGTTTCCTGGTCAGTGGTCTGTGCTTATGTTTATTTCAGGTCGTTGAACTCTAATTTCAGGTTAATGGTTGATGGGGATGTATAGTGCTGTGTTGAAATACCATCAGCGAAGGAATTGTTTCGGATATATCCAACAGCGATACAGTGATATAGCACGAACAACTAGCATACAGGTTACTAAATGTTAAGATATCGAATGTATGTAATTGATAAATCACTGATGAAAATCATAAGTGTTATTTTGATGAGATAAACCGGTAACTTTTCCTTTATTTTAAATAAATCCGAGAGAGTGTAGGAGAAATTTATTGCTTGATTAATTGCTTTATAAGCTCCTTTGTATTTTGAACGCCTCGTAATATTTTGTTTTGAGATGTGGTACTGCGCATAAGCAGTTACATATTTTTGGATATAATGCTAGTAGTGACGGATCTGGTCACATTGTGTACTTTCTTTTGATTAACCTGGAAAATATTTTGTCGACACTAATTATAATTCAGGTTAATGCAACAACTTCGGGTGCATACAACATTATTAGATGTGAAAATCGAACAGATTGTGGTATAATTCAAGTTTTCGCCCCGAACGATCATTCTTGTTATAGATCCAAAATATTATTTATTAACAAAATATTCGCGGATTTGTTTGGCCTTCGTGAAAATGAAGAAGTAATACTACTTCACTCTTTGCCATTACTTTAAAATAACATTTTCGAAATACTGACATGAGTTGAGGTTGTTGTTACAACAATAGATTTTGCCAAATTCATTTACAGGTAATTGTTCAAAAGATAAAAATGGCTCCTGTATGCAGTTCGTTTGAAGTGGAACTAGCTTCAGCCGAAGACTGGGATGTTGTCGTATGTTATTGTAAAAAAATATTTTATTTTATTGTGAAACACAAGGACAATTTTGATTTCGGTATCGGTCTGGCGGGAAAAAAACTTCACCTTTATATGTTTATGAGCTACAAGCATTTTTAATAATGGATTGAATTTAAGACTAATGCAGGGAGTTTTTTTATTGTTCATACAAATTGTTACATCCTTAAAAAATGTAAAAGAAAATTACTGCGATATTCTTTGACTGCGATCAGTATTTTTGTGTAGATCACCGACTTAATTTCGAATCGTAGCTCGCTCCTTGCTCACTGATACAGTTTCATTCTTCATTGCTCCAGAGAAATTTGTTTCACATTCGCTTAATATTTCATATTTTCATATCAATTATTAGGAAACTGAAAATGTGGGAGGAAAGACAAGCACTAGCTCTGCAAGAGGCATAATTTTGGTGGTTATCTTGATAACTAAGCGTTGTGACTCTTCTCTATATAACTACTTCTAAAAAAACAATAAATTACTTCAAATTTGCTGGAATTACAAAAACAATTTTTTCCAGCAGAATTCATCACAACGAATTGAAGAATTACTTCTGGAACAAATTCAACTAATTACTGTTGGCCAAACATATCCAGTTTGGATTGCTCAAAATCTTTATATTTATTTCACTGTTGGTAAGCTAAAATCTTTATGTTTTTTTGTCTCTGCTTTTTGCTTTTTGACTTGGTGTTGTTACCTATTTTTCATTGTTAGCTAGCTTATCAGATCATACTGCCAAACTTTGGACGTTTCTCTTCTCTAAGTCTAGTTGGTTACGTAGCCCCTTAAACTCCTTTCGCATTTCTTGTATTGCTCTCTGATCTTAAGTTCATCAGCGGTCATTTTTGATAAATTATTAACTGTTTTAATAAAATTGTCCACTTATTTAGTTTTTTAAACGGCGTATGCAAAGTTATATGCGATTTGATGATTTCAATGATCCAATTTTATAATTTGTAATAATCTTTTTTAAAAAAAAAATAGAAAAGTTTGTAGTTGACAAATTTACTAATACTTTACTGAACCAAAATGACAGTATAAATATGCAAATCACGAATACATTAGGTTGCTGCATTCTTAATCATGGCTAAGTCGCCGATTTGTTCGCTGATTGACAATTTTAATTTTGTGCCACTATTTACCTAAAATTCTGCATATTTAAATCAATAAGTTTACAAGAATCTTATATATTTCTGTTTGTCGCATAATGTTGACTCTATCTTATCTCATTTTTAGTTTACGAAGAGTAGCTATTTTAATCACTGATTGGCAGACCTTTTCACCACTCTTCATATTTATGCATTAGCATTATTTATGCGTATTTATGCGTTAGCAAATATCCATATTTATGTGTTAGCAAATAAATGTGGTAAATGAACTAAAAAAGGATTTCAGCTCGAATCGAGACGTTTTCATCTTCGATGCAGAACGCTTGTCTATGTGAATTTACAGAGGTCCATGTGAAGCCCTTCTACTCAAATCCTAGTAATCCTGAGAAAAACAATTCAAGAGACGTTTTGGGAGTACTTCCAGCATCATTCGCATGTAGAATGAAGGATCTGTTTTCTAATTTAGAGCCAACACCATTTTTATTTAGGATACAAGATTACTGCGGTAGTGTTTTTAATAAGACTTCAGCTCGGGTATTGCCCGAAATATTGGTTGACGATGTTTTCTTGAAAAAACTGGATATACTTGCCGTCTTCAGACTCAATTTCAGTATGTTTTTTGCACTTATTGACGGTTTTTATATTTATTAACGATGTGTTATTTGCAGAAATTATATGCATCATAAAGAATCAGGTGAAACTGGAAAAATTTTTAATACTTAAAAAATTGGAAGAAAAAGACAACTTACGAACTAATCTGAGTGACACTGTTAATAGATTGTTTTTTCTATTAGCTGCGGAGATTCCTGTCTGTTTCAGGTCATGGCAACTCAGAAATCATCGCAATATCAACTGTTTGTAATAGTGAAACCGGTCGGACAACGCATGCTTTACTTATTGAACTACCGATAGCATGTTCTCGTTTTGCTGCATTAAGAGATTGCTTGAAGGTATTTTGAGAATAGCGCATTATAGTGCTTTTCATTTGCTCTAGCCAGGTAAAATTGAATGGAGCGTTTTAACCATTTATTTATCTTTGTTAATGAATGCTTCAAAAAAAGCTTAATTAATTGTTCAATTTCTATATGTTCAGATTGCAACGCTTTTTCTTTTTCTATGCACATTTCTATATAAGTTTGATTCCTTTTTTAGAACTTTATTGATTAATAAAAAATTTCTTTATGAAAAAGCTTTACTATATATTCATTCCTCATCAAATTTGTTTTCTCATAGCGATATGATCCTCATCACTGTATATTTTCACCTGGACTATATCAACTTATGAATGGAGAATTTGAATGGATTAATGTATCTCCTTTACAAAGGGATCACATTTATCACCTTGAAACTCTCGAAGTATTGTCAGAAGTTAGTGCAATTTGTTTTTATAATTTTACGATTCTTAGGAGTACGCTTAATTCAGCACACTACTAAGTTTTTAAAGTAAGGAATTCAATGTTTGTAACTCCTGTGTGATTTAGGGCAAGTTACCTGATGATTTCAATGAACATTTGCGAGACCATTTGTGGAAGACTTACCGACATTATCCAATCATTGTGCCAGTTGACGGACTCAAAGTGGAAATAAATTTGACTCGTAAGTGTGGCCTAGATTTCAAGTTACTTTGAAATTAATAAAGATAAAATGTTTTGTAGACAGAGATCGTATACAGTGTCGGATTCGGCCTCATCTTGATGAGAAAAATGACAGGTCTCGGAAATGTTTCGTCTTCACTAACGATATGTTCCCTGCGCTTGAATATCCGGTAAATGAAGTATTCCATAATATACATATTCTGTGAGAAATTTTTTGAAAAAATAGGTGATAATTTAATGAAAATTTTTAATGTAAATTTACATCTATAGTTGGAATTGGGGCTTCGGAAGTATTACAAAGTGTAGCTGGCAATGTTTGCTGAAACAAATTTTAATTTTTTATTTAATTTAACAACTTGGTTCAAAGATAAGGAACCTTCAGTTTTTCAGAATACTGAGTCGATAAAGGACAACTTTATACAGATGCAAGGAACAAAGGTAAATGAGGATATCCATAAGGCAGTTGTAAATTTCGGTGGATGGAAGAATGAAGCAGTTAAATTTTCGTATGTCTTATTCATGAAGTTAATCTGCACTACGGCAGGAGGGAAGAGAGGAGGGTAGTATTTAGCGAGATTGAAGACAAGGGAGTGATCGGATATTATCTGAACTTTTAAAATGCTGAAATTATTAGACTCAGGTAAGTCTAATAAGTCTAATAATAAAAAATGCAACCCTGGAATTACTAGACTCAGGTAAATTTTAGTGTTCAACGCAAGTGAAATTAATGTTGAAAATTTTTCAGGTTCCAAGTTGCATTTATTGAAAAATGTTACACCTACATTATATATCATTTGGAGAAGCCTGCCTTTTCGTCGCTAGGAAATGTTTTTATAGTGGGTAATAAATCGGCGGGAAAAACAACTATTCTACACTTGCTTGCAGAAAAACTACTGCGCTCTCGCTTGGCTGTTTATAGTGAATGTCTATATTGCTCTGAATGGAATGGTGAGTTTTTGTCGAGATCTTTCTAAATTTAGAAGTGATATATTTTTTATTGGTTTCTTAATGTTAAATATACTGATACGGTACTATTGTTATTTATCTCGTCGCTATTAGATTTTTCTTATTTTACTCTCTGAATGATTTATTAAGTTAGTGTAAGAAATTTAAAATAATTTAAAATAACATTAAATTCTGTAATGAAAGTAAGATTTATTGTATTTATCGTCTGTTGTAACGATTTAACCAGTGGCCATCTTTATGGGTGTGTTACCTAGCACGAATATTATTTTTCAGAACAGTTCACTGATTTCAGAATAGTTCACTGTTTTCACCTTTCTTGCAGGAAAATCAATTGAGAAATTTCAAGATGTATTAAAAGCTGCAATGACACGCTTAAGGCGACGCTATCCTTCAGTTCTTTTCTTGGATAATTTGGATTTTTTATTACATGGTCAAGATGAGGATGCGAGAAATGTCCGTTTGGAAAAATGTGCCGAATGTAAGTTTGCAGTTCCAAATTGTAGTTTTATATGGATCAGGTAATGTTAGTTAAGTTATTCTCATACTTTATTAGTGGCAGAATTCGATAAATCCACTTAACTCATAGTATTTCATTTTTATACTTATTTTATAAAAACTTTTTTGTTTCTTAAAGTAATCCGAAATTTGGCTACTGAAAATGATTTACTGATTGTTGCAACGGCATGTACCAAACATGAAGTTGTCGAATTGTTTTCTCTAAATACCGGCGGACGATTTTTTGGTCAAGTGGAAGGCATCAATGAACTTAGTCCGGTAAGTTATCAAGTTCTTTAGATGAATGCATTATAAAATGTTATTAGATTAAAAATCTTTGTATTCCTGTAATTTTGTTTGATAAGAATAGTTTTTATCCGTCTAAGAACCTTTTAAGTATCACTACTGTCGGGAAAAACTAATCCATTACATTCCTGATAATCAAATTGGTAACAATAAATTCTTGAAACGCATCATTCTGATAATTATGTGTATACAGAAAAAACATTAAAAGCTAGAGACTGGGCACTTTACATTTAATTTGATAAATCAAATTCCACCGTTATCTCACTGGTAGTTGGATCAAGGGACTGCTAGACAGCTTTATGACTGGCTGATTTTTGTCTTGTTTCATACGTAGCTTATTGCATGCAAAAAAATTATTACAACGACCTAAACCGTTTGAGTTTCATGTAAAAATTATTATAACGATGTAAACCATTCGTCAATTAAAATCATTAAAGTTTGATATAAATATTTCTAGATGGTTTGATACTGTTTATATTGGACACAACACTAAAGTTTATTTTGCTTATTTTCGAAAAACAAAGTAAAATTTCAAAACATAGCTGTTTTTTCCTCTCCGTTCTTCTTCCTAGTGTCTAATCTCCTGCTCAAAACTCGAAACTTGTCACATTTCCGACTCTTTCTGTCTTGCTAGGGTTTCAGAAGAAAAAAAATTGAATCCCAAAACATTCAGTACAAGTGATTTATTTTTTGCAAATCTTATGAATCTTAAAAATTTTTACTCTCTCAAAGTTATAACAAACGATCAGTGACGAATGGTTCTGAACAGCTGCCAAATGTTCCATCGCTGTGACACCGTTTGGCATAGCTACTATCCTTGTACACTAGCTGAATAATTAGGTTCACTGTTTTTCGACGCATCCAAGATGATTTATTACAAATAATTATCCAGTAACGACCTGGTGTTATGCATTCTATTGAATCCGCTTCAGGTACTAGTCTCGCGCTCAATCTGAGCCATGGGTAAATCATTTCTAGTTTATCAGTGTCAATATCTTTCTCTTGTCGCATACCACTTATCGCTCCGTTTGATGGTGGGATTTGGTGTGGAGGCTGAAATTTAAACTGCTCTAGTATTTGCCAGAGATTTTTACTTTTAAAAAGTAAATAAACCATTCTATCAAGCTGGATCACATTGTTAAAGCTTATTATTGTATTCTATTCAAGTTTATTTGAAATTGTAATGAAGCTACACTATCAAGTAATATTTTTTCTTAATTTCATCGTTAAAATGTTGATTTTTCTAGATATTGATATATTAATAGTTTTCTAGCTATTATGATGCCACTTTTATCCCATGATTAAAACCATGCTCAAATTTTTTCATCACCTCGTAAAAAATGCCGAAATTGATATCATTATCCGTAGTAAAATACCACTGTAGTCTGTATCCTATCTCTTTTACATCCACATAAATTTGATGTCGTTTTCCTGGTGAAATTGTAATTGTTTCCAAATTGCTTGGTGACTCGAGGCTTCTCGACCTGACACATTGTTCTTGTGCTGCTGGTTGACATTGAATTTCCTGGATAAGTCTAGTTTTGCACCATCAAATTTTACTAACTTAAAAGGTTTGATAAGTTTAGCCTAGTTTTGCATCATCAAATTTTACTAAATTAAGAGGTTTAATAAGTTTAGTCTAGTTTTGCACCAAGAAATTTAATAACTTTAGAGATAAGTTCTAGTCTGATTAATTATCTATCTCGTTATTTTGAGACTGATCTGTCTCAGAAAAGAAATGGTGCATTTTTGTCATTAAGTCACCAGTATGAAATGTTCAAAAAAAATGTTATTTAACACGTAGCACTTCATCATGATAATAAAAGAATGCTAGGAAACTATTTTTAATTCACCTGAGCTAAATTCTAAATCATCACACATATTTAATATTTGATACTGGCAACTTATTTTTCTCCGGAATTTACAAAGCTGTTCGAAGAATTTCTCTTATAGTGTCCCACCTCATTTTTGCCTCCTAAAGTTACGGGAATATCTTCAATTTTAATCTCTTTTAGTAAATTAGACAAGAAATGTTCATCGTGTAATCGGAAACGTTCTATGAAGCTATCAGGCATCATTGTTCGTGCAATTTTGTAAGGTACATGAATCCATTTCGAGATATTTACCATCTCCACCGGGCTTACCTGAAATGATTCGGTTTTGCTATGTTTATAAAGGAATATATTTGCTTCTAAGTTAGTTAAGTGTGATAGTGTTGTAATCGCAATTTTTTAATAATTAGAATTTAGAAAAAAAAATTTTTCGATTCTGAAAGCGTATTTAGAAAATCTAAAGAAAAAACTTTCAAACTAACTAGTTCAGGATAATTGTCAAAATGAAGCAGCTGAGAGAAATAAGCTAAATTGCCATTCGTAGCGAAGATCATAGTGAACGGATTAATTTCATAGCCATTCAGATCAATGATATGTCTTAGACCACTTAATCGGCCTGTTTTCTTTTCCTGGAATTTCGAAAATTTGCATGGTGATGAAACACGGTTTTTTTTAAAAAAAATCTCTGGATTCTTTTCTTTTGCCCATACTAGATCTGCTTTGACTATATGGGAAGTTAATAACTGTTTAACTACAAATTGCTACGTTTAAAATTTGGTGGCACTCCACACGAATCATATATAGTCTTCAGTTTCATTATTGTTTAGCAGAGAGTGTTGGGTTATGAGAAGGTAGCTATGGATTCTGGAAAAGCTGAAATTTCAATTAGCAGGTGTTAAAATAGGAAGTTATATAGCTAATTTAGCCGAAATGTTTGCCACATGTAGATCTTAAAAATTTTGTAAGCTGAATTATTTGTGCACTTGTTGATTGACTCTTTTGAGCATATGTTCGAATTGACGAAATTGTAAGCGTATAGATTCCGAACTGCGCAGTGTATGAGCCATAGCCTGTAAGCAATCCTTTAATTTTTTTTTCATCCTGTCCATGTAATTTTCTGAAGTTAATAACAGCAAGAATTCAATCGATTCAGTAAAAAGGAGTTCCTTGCTAACTGAGAGATTGTTGAAGTCAAACCTTGCTTTTATGAAAGAGCTCACTTGTAAATCATGGTAATTATCATAAATTAAATTGTACTTTTTAACAAAATAATCTAATATATTTAATAATAGAATATAACGCATACTTAAAAGAAAAGTCTTAACCAACCTCAACATTGACTGTCTTATACTCCACATACCATAACAATCTATTGTAATTATCTGTTACATTCAAAATACTTCCCATCGGAAACAATTTGAGAGAATATATGGGATTTTCGGGAAATGGAAGATCTGGCAGATTATCCTGCAACAATTTATCTTAACAGTGACAGAATATAAATGAACTGTATTTCAAAACAAACATTTAATTTTTTGTTATCTCTGAAAAAGAATTTAACAAATTATAAATTAAATTTAAACAAACCAAATTAAATGCCTTTCGAATGCGCAAATGATTGTTGAGGGCTTTGGCAGCAGTAACCACAACATCTTTCTTTTTCTTCAGTATTCTTTCACAAGCTAACACGAAACGATAAATGTTAAAGTCATTGTCAAACTGAAAACAAGATTTAAATGTGGACAAGAAAATGATAATTTGTATTGATGGCGGCGATTAATTTCTTTTTTCCAATTTTGATTTTTTTAGAAAAAAATGAAATTTTATAACCAAATTAGACAAAAAAATATTTTGCAGAATAAGATCATTATTGCTTACTAATAGAAAGATTTGCTATAAGACTTATGGCAAGCAATGCATTTAAAAAAAGAACTTAATTTTGTAGAACTTCAAAAAACAAAAGAAATGGCCGAGTGCTGATTACCAGCTTCGCATTTATTCATCAAAATACTGCTTACATTAGAATGTATTGCGTGCTTAATTTTCAGACGTACTTCATCTACCAGTTTTTTGGATTCAATACTCAGTGGTTCTCCGAAATTTGTGCTCACAGTTTTCGTCATTTTCCTGAAACGAAATTTTTGATTTAGACGATTGGATCTATCAGTGACTGTTTCTAATACATACTGAAGGAACTAACTTTGATTATCGGAGATGACGTACGATGTCACATTAGCAAAATGAATCTAAACATAAATTCATTTTCTTATGTTGAAAAACTCTAACTAATAAATCTTTCGTCTTATACTCTTATAGCGAGAAAATTGAAATGGCATTATACTTCAAGATTTTGATTTTTATATCTTCATTACAGTAAAGTATTATTGTTAAAGATATTTGAGTATCATTACCTAGCGTTGTAACAACTGAAGAGATATTTTTATCGAAAAGTTTTTGAATAGAATATAACCTATGAACTGCATAAAATCAGGAAAGAATTATTTTTCATTATATACTTATCCTAATGGCACTATGACGCTACATATCTTTTATTTTAAAGCAAAGCTATTTGTTTTTTTGCAGTCACTCGAGATCCACTTTTTCGAAAGAAGGAATAATATAAGAATGAATTTAGCGAATAAGATTTGAAAATTTTTTGTTGGGAGTAAAATTTGCAAAACTTATTGAAGGTGCATGTTCTGAAATCAACATAAAAAACGATTGTAGAAGAGATAAGAGAAGCTCGTTTTACTACACGAAATTTAGATAGGAGAAGGAGAGGTATGTTAATTCCTGATTTTGACAATTGTTTGTGAGGTGAATATAATGGTGACATTGCTGTTTTATCCTACCCTTTCTCTATTTCCGCATTAAGATGTCGTACGCTGTCAATGTATAATACTAAGAATAGAGAGGGAGAGAGAGAGAGAGGTAGCATGAAGAGAAATGTGACCACCACTCTTCTCACCTCATTCTCCAGCTTAGAAGTAGTGTATTTTATACCTATCGTCAAAATTTTGGGGTGGACACTTTCAAGATAGAGAGTGAAGTGCGAATATATGTTAGATAAAGTTGACCTGTGAACTCACTTATTAGATGTAAATTGATCTGTAGAAAGTGAAATACACTTAATGTAACCAGAGTTGCAGTGTAAAAAAGCATGCGTGCTGCGTGTCTGACTGCTTAATAAGATCAATTTTTTGCGCGTAATGCGAGCACAAGTATAAAGTAAAATAGTGTCTTAAACTAATTTTACTTCCCGAAATGAATTCTAACTGGAATAAAGGTTTGCAGGTATTCATGTATCGCCTTAAAAGACATTAGTAAACTTTATATGCAGAAATTAGTTCATTAGCATTATTCTGGCCTTATCTTACACTTGCTTTCTCCTGATTCATTCTTTTGTTGTCAGCGCTTTCAAAATAGCTTTTAATCCTTCAATGTGAATGTTAGTAAAAAAATATTGGAAGAACGTGAATGTGTTTCGAGACGGACTATGCCTAATGTATTGTGATTGATGTACGATAGAGCAGTGTGAAAGATGTATTGTGAAATAGGTTACCAACTGCATTTTCGTGATGTGTCAGCAAAATCGAAATGTGATTGTTTGATGTGATAGTAAGTGAACGAACGACGAGAATTTATATTTCTTTTGATTTCGCGATTTGGATTATTAACAAGTACCGCCCCGCACAACTTTTAATTCAATTCTTTCTCCATCATTTTTATGCCATTCCTAATTAACTTGAAGGACAAAGAATTGCTGCAGTTTTTTGAACTATTTAAATAGTGTCGCAGCGTATACACAAAATTCAATTGCTTCGTCACTACAATTATATGAACTATTGGAGGAAGAAAGTTGAATACTATTTGAATAGTTCAGGAAGAAGATGAGAATGAATGCAACTTGAGAAAGTTCATATAATTACGAAATGAAGATTTAGGAACAATTTTTTTTATCAATATGGTGATAGAATCTTGAAAAGTGATGCTACATTTTGATTTAAGCTCTTTGCTTCCTCTTTATAGCTTGTTTTTCTTGAAACCTGGAAAGATATTTTTTTTTTTTTTGTTTTGCCGAATTATTACGAAAATCTTTGAATTATTTTTTGGATATTCTTGGAGAAAATGCGGGGAAGAGAATGAAATGAAATGGAATTCAGAAAGAAATTATATACAGCTTCTACTTTATTGTTACAGCAGTATAAGCTATGAATGCTGAAAAGTATGAAATAACAATAGAAGGCACTGTATATTAAATAACGCAGTAGCAAAGAACTTTTTCCAGCGATTATTTAACAGAAGAAACTTGGGATGGATAAGAGAAAAATTATCACATATTTGCAATGCCTTTCAAGAATTACTTGATTGCTCATCCAGGCATTTTCCGTGAAAGATCTGAAGTATTGCATACAAATTTCAAGAAGAGTTCTAAAAATTATTCGAAAGAAATTTGTGCAGTGTCTGCGATTAAAAAATTTGATAAATTGTGGCAACGGGGAAAATATTTTACTAATGAATATTTTGAGGAGGATAAAGGAGAATTACTGCTTCGTGTGGAGATATCAGAAATATTTGTCACCTGGGAAAAGTTTCACAGATTGGATAATGAATCGAAAAGTTTGCGTCAATTTCTGTGGAGTTACATGGAATAAATTATTTGATTTTTTTACTCATTATTTATGTGACGTTTTACTAACAGTTTTTGCGAGCAAATGATGTTATTGATTCGCTGAATATTTTTCTATGGAACATGAATTTCCATGTGGGACAGATATCTATTTTGCAAATTTTGATTTCCAGGCTGAACGAGGAGAATGCTTGAAGAAATTCTGTATTCAAGAAATAGAAATATGCAGTTTACAACGTGCTGTTGAAGCAACGGGAAAATGCACTATAAGTGATTTGAAGAGATTGGCTCGAAGAATTATCCTAGAATCAAGGGTGAGAGGTATAATTTTTTTTTTTGATGAGGAAAAAATGAAATAAGGAAGTGTAGCTTTAAATAGTAAAACAAATTAAGACTTATTAACTTAGTCAATTATGGATTCGGTTTATAGACTCGTAGACTTTTTCAGTTTTAGCCACCTAAGATTGAAAAAATTCAGCGATTTGAAAGGGTTTTCGTGAATTTTAATTTTCTTGATCAGTCTCAGAATTTTAAGAACTTTCAAGTTTACTATGGAGATTTTCATTAATTCCTTTTAATTTCCTTTTGTCACAGGGCATGAAAAAATTGAGGAAGATGATGTACAACAGGCACTTAAGGAATTCCTACCAAATGCAGTACCTTTCGAACAAGTAAAACCAGTGGATGTGATTAAATTGCAATGGGAGGATGTTGGAGGATTAGATGACGCGAAACAAGTCCTTACTGAAGTTTTTATTTGGCCGACAAAAGTAAGTGTTCTGTTTGACTTTGTTTTTGCCTAGCCTAGGCAAAAACATGAAACCAGTGAATGTGCAGATCTATTTAACAGTTACTGAAGCTAAAGTGTAAAGGATGTTCATGCCTCACTAACTTACTATTTTTTAAAGGCGATGTGTTGTAACAATTTAACTTATAATTGATGAAATTGTTGTGTGGCGTATCAATGAACTAATAACGTTGTATTTGTTCCATCTAATTTTGCTTTTCTAAAGTACCCATTATTGTATCGGAATATTTTCGTTCGTCTTGGTCGCGGGGTGTTGTTACATGGGCCAAGCGGATGTGGAAAAACGCTGATTTGTAGAACTTTAGCAGCACAGTGGGACTTCAACGTCATATCGATCAAAGTAGGTTACTTGTGCTATCAGATAAGTTGAAAACAAGTAGCTTAATTACAAAGTAGAAAAATGAGTTCAGATAATTAAAGTTTTAATCTTGTGACTGAAACATTTTTTTCAATCTAATTTTGTAAACATTATTTGAAAAATGCAGTAATTTCTCCTATTGGCAATGAATTTAAGATTTTCTATATTTGGGGTTTTAAACTGGAAATAAAATGCCTTTAGGGACCGGAGTTATTGTCAAAATTCATTGGTGAAAGCGAAGAAAATGTCCGAAAAATTTTTGAATGGTAAGTACATTGTTAAAATAGTGTTCATATGCCAAATTGGACATTCAATGCTTAAGAAGTTATTTCGTAATATTCTTTCGAAAGCTTAAATTTTTTGCAATATTCTTTGAATTTATGAAAATACTACGAGATAAATATCCAGCAGAACCTTGTCTTACTTTTTTATCATATTTCATGGATATGAACATGATTGTGAAAATTTTTGATTTGAATACTCTATTGGTTTGCTGACAGCGATTGTTGGGAAAGTTTATTCTTGGTGGAAGATAGGTTTATTCCTCCCATTATAAAAAATAATCAGAAGATATCAAGTATAACCCGACAACATATTTGATGTAAAATACCTGTAACTTCGAGTAGATCGTATGTAAAAGTAATGAGCTTTTTCGATCTACTATTCATCTTTTATTCATGTCACAATTTTAGTGCTCGTGTTAGAAGTCCTTGTTTGATATTTTTCGATGAATTTGATTCACTTGGTCCAAAACGTGGTGAGAGTGATACAGGAGTAACGGACCGTGTTGTGAATCAACTGCTCACAGAACTTGATGGAGTTGAAGGGCTAGATGGTATGTTTTTTCAACTGTTCCGAGGTGCATCTGCGTCTGATATTTACTTTTATGCCTGGGTTATAAATTTTATCAGTTGGTAACACATTCGTAGTACCTGATCTCTGTTATCTGTAACTGAACCACCACTCTGTTGTGTTTTATGTGAAGGTGTTGTTGTTTCATTGATTTTTACAGGTGTTTATGTTATTGCGGCTACAAATCGAATTGATTTGATTGATAGTTCTTTATTACGACCAGGACGTTTCGATTATATTGTTAAATGTGAATTGCCCAAGAAAGTTTGCTTTTTCAATGTAGTCTATCATCGAACATAAATGATTCAAGCTTCACTTGAATTCGCGTTTGACTTATATCTTTTTGTAATTCGAATATTCTAAGAATTAATTTTCCTTTATGTATTTGAAATCAAATAGCACAAATTAATCAGAGATTAGTCGGAATATTTCCAATCTCATAGAAGGTTATATCAGGAGTCATTTAGTTACGACTCAATTCATTTTATTTTATCGTTTTACTTATCATTAGCGATGTCAGCTTCCTTTGAGCATTCTAATATAATGTGTACTATTTGTATGAATATATCGACGGGTAAAAGATTTCGCAAAAACACAGTAAAGAAAGTTGTATAACTCAATGAGGAGGATAGCGATTACAACTAAATTATCAGCCAATTTCTTGTACCTCTAATGAGTGAAATTGTATTGCATCATATTTTATATGAAAAAGAATTATCTCATAAGTATTTATTTAGGAGGAGCGAAAATCTATTTTGGAGGTACTTTGTCGGGATATAGAGTTGAGAAATGGTGATTTCGAAACAATAGCAAGAGCAACAGATGGTTGGACAGGTGCTGATCTGAAAGGTTTAGTAACAAATGCTCAATTGGTAGCTCATAAGCGAATAAGCGGAGCACTTGGTGATAAGAGTAAGTAAATCTTTGGAATCCAAAATTTGGTTGGTGGGGTTGTATAATTTACCTTAGGTAATCGCTTTGTAGAAGAAAAATTTTAACTAATTTGCTTTGCTGCAAGTTTTCATATTTCTGAAACGTTTTTTTTAAATTATTGTCATGAATTAGTTTCAAATTGGTTCTAGATGTCGATTTTGAAAATACAAAATATGAACTGGATCAAGAAGATCTCTTGTTCGCGATAAAGGAATCACAACCAAACAAGAACAGGAGCTCTTCCAGATCAGATAGAAAGCCTTTCATATCACCAGGACTGTTTACTACTTTAGCCTAATGCTGGTCATTCTGAATTTGAAGTGAAATCATTTTTATATTGATGGAAGATAGATCTATTTCATTTTTTGGATTATTTTCTCCGGAACACTTTTTTTCATCCTATTTTATTGGCTGGTGCATATATTTACGAACAAATTAATGTCGCTTTTTAACATTTAACATTTAATATGTTCACAACATTTTTTGCATTATCACGAAATGACTGTTCCTTTCCATTTCATGTAAAATTTTTTTTTTTCATTTTGCTTTCAAAATAAATTTTTAGTTTGATACCATTTTTATACCGTGCTTTCTTCAACTTCTTGATATCACCAAATAGTGTATGTTTACAATTGCATTATATCAATATAAAGATGTAAATGCTGCTGTTTACTGGATCCACATAATCTAAAATCATGTAAGATTTGCATGCATTTTTTTGGTACATTAATTATTGTTCAACATAACGAAAGGAATTGTTAGCAAAATAATTTATATTAGTTCGATTTGCTTGATTGAAGCGCTTGATGTCGTTAGCGAAGTGGAAATTGGACTTAACAAATGCAGGAACACGAGCAGTGAGTCGTATCATGGATTCATCCTTAAATCCGCCTGGTTATTCACAAACTGGAACTACCGTTCAACAGGTCTTTCTTTCATTGTCTTTTCAAAAAAAATTTTTTAATATTTTGACTTTCATTTTTTCACTCTTTTTGTCTTTCTATGAAATTTTTTTATGAAAATAGGCCATTCAATAAAGGATGGAACCAATTTCCTACTGGACTTATTGTGTATATTATTTTGTGAAATAGAAGAATTATTCGGAAAATGAGAATTTTTAGATAGAACAAACTGGAGACAGTGAGCAAACGCATCATTTGATGAAGAAGCGTGCCTGGGATATGGCATTGCAACCTATCAAAAGTTTACCGATGAACCTTTTCATGATGTATATGTCCGGCAATACAATCAGTATATTTCCTATTATGATGATCGCGATGATGGCATGGCGTCCTGTTAAGGCATTGATGAGTGTAAACCCAGCATTTAAACCTTTACAGGTAGGTTATTTCGTCATTTTCTTCAAAAATAGATGCTTGTTGAGTTCATTGGTTTTTTATTATTTATTATTTGTGGGTTAGTAATTTTTTAATAATTTTATTGGCACTGATGTGTAGTATTTTTTATTCAGATCCGACTGTAAAAAGCTCGAAAAAACATTGTCACTGTAAATAAATTTGAATTACGAAAATTACTAACCCATAAATAATCTCATTTTCAGTATTAATTTTTAGGAAACGCTACAAGCAGAACTGTTGTCATTTGTTGCAGCAAATAAATTTTCTGATATGAACTTTTTACAAATTGCATACTAACTTCGAAATTGTATTATCCTTCTTCAAATGATGGGAAGGGTGAGGGGCGATTTCTTTTGCTTTTATGTGCATTCGATCTGTGTGCCTTCTGCTGTGAGGAGGAAGCAGTTTGCTCTAGATATAGGAACATTTTAAAAATCTACAACTGTTTTGATCATGTGCAGTGGAAAAATGGGTATGCTAATTAGTGTATAATTTTTGGACGTTTCATATTCTAAGAGCGTCAAATATCAAATTTTTCTAAGAGCATCAAATATAAGTTTTGGTGAGAAGAAAGCATTGATTGGCTTGTTTTCTAATTTTGTTTTGAGCAAAAGTTTGAAGTTTATCTTATATTTTACTTGAGATAATATGGAACGAATTTTTAGGATGAACATGTGGGATCACTTTTGCTGCATAAATTGGTTTTTGTGCTTGGAAATATGATAGCGATAGCAATGGCCCTGTACAAGTTACACAGTATGGGATTGTTACCCAATCATGCATCAGATTGGCTCGATTTCCAGCTGCCACCTCAACGAATGCAATATTCTCTTGTTTCCGATTCATTTATCTCATAGTATTCATTACTTCTTTCTTCTCATTGTTTCTTCATTATATCCTTTCAATCAAGTAAGAAATTATTAGCAAAAGTTCTTTTAAACTTTCATAATTTTAGTGGAACAATCTGCAGAACTGAAATTTCTTTTAACACCAATAACAAAGGAATAAAAAAATATTGATAAAAAAAATAGGAAAAAGGCTGTTTGGCTATGAATGTAAAGATTAAAGACAGCTAATGTTGCTAGATCTTTTAGGTCGATCGATATGAGAGTATGTTTGTTTTACAACTGCTTTTCAATCATGGTATGACACCGTATGTTGAGCAACCGACTAGATTGTCGAAAGTTTAGTGACTATTCTCGACTATCTAGTCGGAATGAGTTATTATTTTATTCGTGCATATTGTTTCCCATTCAAATACATACAAAGTGATTCATTTTTATTCCTTATCTCAATAAGATTCTATTAGCGAGATTGTTCTGTCTTGATTTTCATCGGTCCTATTTTTCTAATGAGGGTTTCTTGCCAATTTCCATCTTCATTTAGTGAAAACCCTCATTCGCTTGTTCTTTCGAAACACGCGGAAGTAATTATAATGCGTTTGACTGAAAAGTTCTCAATTGATGAAGATTTTGTGCTTATCGTGTCGGTGGTGATAAGAAACTTGTTTGAAATATAATGTTTAATGATAGCATTGTCATTGAATGAATTGTGGTAAGAAGTTTTGTTACGGAAAAGAAGCAAAGATGATACAAGTGAAATATACTATGGCTGATACTAGGAAATAATGCAGATGGCTGTGTTAGTTGTAGAGAAATGCTCGAAGCAAATGAAACTACGCCCCCTTATCAAATGTCTTTTCCTAAGAAATAAAAATTTTGTATGATGGAAGACTTGTTTCGACCAGCTTGTGGTATAAAATTAGAAACTTTAACTGTTCATGCGATCGACATGTAAATCATTTGTTCCGCAAGAAAGTGATCAACAAATGATGGGAGGGGTGAGGATTCTTTTCATTCAATAATTAGAGTAACAGAGTTCTAAACAAAGGATATAGTAGGGGAAGGAAATTTTGGTGACATTGATTGGAGAATTTGAGCAATCAATTCTTTACCCTTCATCATTCTTCCGCGATAATCACAGTAAATAATTTTTTAGAGATCGAATAGATAATATGATGCTGGGACGTAGTGCATCGACTGGATTAGCGTTGTCAATTCATCATATTGAATTCTACGTTTCTAATGCTTTGCAGGTCAAATTTCTCATGAATTGCACAACTCTCTCTTCACAACTTTATTTTTCTTTCCATAAAGAGTTTAAACGTTTATTGATTGCTGAATATTTAATAATGCTTTTATAAAACTAGTGCATTGTTATCCTCCAATAATATTGCAGGTTTAACGTATTTTAGAGTTCCTACTGGTATTGCATCAATTTTGGTTTTCAGCGGTTTGCCAAGAAAGAAAATGCTCAGTGGAGCAGTATAGCTATTCGTAATGGAAACGTAAGCTTAAAAGTATTATTATCACTTTTAAGATAAGGAATATAATGTAATGATAATGGGGGAAATGACTCTAAAAAAATCTCATTGTTTTATGGAAATTGATAATATATTTGTCAAAGATGTTGACGAGGCAATATTATCAGCGATATCCATACTTTTTTCTTCATGAAGTATGGTAGATTTAAACGGAAGTTTTGTTTTTTTAGATTGTTTTTATCTTCACGTCATGTAAGGGACAGGACGAAGATTTTGTGAAACATTTGACTATTCGTGGAGATTCTGTTAGAAATGTATCATTTCTGACTAATGACATAAGTGCTATAATTGAGGTTGTTCTTATAATTAGAAAAAAAATTACTGATGGTTCGTATCAGTAGTTTTATTGCAATATCGTCTCAATAAACAACGCAGTAGGGATAATAAGGATTTTAGCAATTTAATACTGTTTAAGAAGAAAAATGTAAGTGATTTGACGTTAAGATTTTTCAAGTAAATTTTTATAAAATATGATTATTGATGAATGACCTTTATGATTTAACGAATCTTCTTTCAACTTTTCCTAATCAATCCATAGAGCTGTAAGAGTTTTTTGGCGGACTCGATCGTTCTGCCTTTCCTCAAAGCCTATCATCTCATCTCGCTTAATTCCAATTCATTTTGAGGATGTTGGTGATTATTATTACATTTTGAAAGTTGAAATTATTTGCTACTGCGTGAGGATTTAAATTGCAGCGCATAGTTGAAGAAGGTGGATTTCTGGTGAGGCCAGTTGAAGTTGTTGCTGATGATGATGGTTTCGTAAAAACCCTTATGATTGGTCTGCGGGTATGGGCAAAATTTTTTTAGATTTGTCTATAATTTATCTATTTGCTGAAATTAGTTGAGAAATATATCACTTCTGATGAATTCACTGTTGCATTCTTTGTAAGGGACATTCAGATACAAGAAAGATGACATTTTGGTGATTTTAGGAATGCGATGTATATCATAGTCTACTAGATTCAAAAGCATACCATGGATTCTTCTTGCCGAAATATGAACAATGCGATTGTAGCAGCGATATTCTGAAATCATTGTGAGATTTCTTCTGAGTATACAAGAATAGAGGGAAGTTGAAGGGTATTCGATGATAAATATTTTAGAGATTCTGTAGTTAGAGATGAAGATAATTAGCTCTAACTGCAGATGCTTTAAGAATAGCTACAATTGAGAGGGTGAATAGCTACAATTTGAAAATGAAATTATTTTTTTAAGTATGTTCTCAAGAAATTAATTTTTTAGAGAAGAAATATCGATCATTTCAGTAGATCATTTCGTAATCAATTATCCGTTGGATTTTGTGCAGTCTGCCTTGCATTACTATCATCAAATATTTGATTTTGAAGAAATATGGTTTGTTCATAAAGCTAAGTTAAATTTTTGCACTTCGTAACCACTGTGGAGAGTTTCCTACAGTGCGTAGGGATCTGCAACGGAATCGCTAATTGATTGAAATCCTCACTGGAATTTCGTTTTCAAGAATTCTGAAACACTGGAATAAAGCATAGTCTTAATAACATTTCAAAAGTTAACGATTTAAATACGATCACATTTGTTTTTAATTTCATTTATAACCTATACATTTCTGCAATTTGAACAATTTGCGAAGGGGAAGACTAGAAGATTTTCTTTCCTTTATGCATATTCATGCATTCACCTCACACATTCATCTCATTACAATTTTTTTAAATAAAAATTTTTCAATCCTTTTTAGGTCGGTTGATGAATCGATATTTAATTCGAGTCATTCTGCCATGAAAATCGTGTTGATAGCAAATAAATCCAAAACGATACAGATAGGCCTTGCTGAACCGATTCCAAAAGCTGGAGGAATGCGCGGTCAAATACAAGTTAGTCGAAAGAATTTATAGTAATTTGTTATATAATTACCGCTATAATTTTGAAGTGATCATATTAATATTCTGAATAGCTTTGCTTTTAATATGGTACAGATAAAGTATCTGATTTTTATTTTCTATTTAGTTTTCTAAAATTGTTTTCTTATGCCAAGGAATTTCTGGATTACAACAGAGGTGCTGGTGTCCAACATATCGCATTCCTGGTGAACAATATTATTCAAACAGCGGAACGAATGAAAAGCAGAGGCATCAAATTCGTTGCCATTCCTGACGAATACTATACTGATCTCGAAGCGCGTCTTGCTACTTCTCCAGTAAAGCTGTTGGAAAATTTTGAAAAAGTTCGTGAAATTTTTACGGAAAAGATATTCGTCGTCCTTCTTGAGATTTTACATCAAGCCAATGTTATTAATTGAAAAACTTCATTCAAGATCAAAGAGCTCCGAATTCTAATGGATTTTGATGACAATGGATATTTACTACAAATGTTCACCCAGTCAGTCCAAGATCGACCAACACTTTTCTTCGAAGTAATCCAACGCAATAATTTTTCCGTAAGTTGAAATAATCTTAAAGTTGTAATTGTTATGAGGTGCGAGCCACGCTTAGTTACTGAGGTGAAGTATTTTTAAGCTTGTGTTAGTGTCTGTCCGAACTAAAACTGTGAAGGCATAAAGGAAAAAAAGTAGGCGACGATATTTATCTTCTAGAAACGGGAGTGTGACTTGACGTAAAAAAGAGTCTAATTTATTCATCCTGTACTTTTAAGTCAGCAGCGGAAATATTTTCACTTTCGCGATTATCCATCAAATATAATAAAATCGGAAATTAAGTATTAACATAATCAAACGGGATGAAATTTATTCATCCATCAGAATGACTACGAAGATTTTTACTGTTTTATGAAGCCGGATATTATTTTAGAACTTTTCACTGAGCTTCATCAGACTATTCATGATGAAAAATAATGCTTGAAGTGGTGTTATGAAGGCTTTTTAAATACTAATCAAGACTGATTGCATAATCGATATAATAAGAATCGGTGTTGTGCTCACAAGACAGTAGCGCTTAAAAAATCAACAGATACAAATCAAATCAAAACTACTTGTTTAAGCTTAATCCATTATTTCCAAAAATCAAACAATTTTCAGATAATTTAGTCATTGGAAAATAACGGACATTATGTTTTAATCATTTTAAAACAAAAAGATAAAGGAATGATTTCAGGGTTTTGGTGATGGAAATATAAAGGCTTTGTTTAATGCAGTGGAGAAAGAGCAGGAGAGGCGTGGGACTCTCTATCACAATTTATAACTTTCTTGTCATTTCATCGCATTCCCAGCAAAATTTCTTGCTTTGAGATATTATGAAGTTTGTCCTAAATTTACAGATATGCAATTACTTTTATCATAATAGCTCTATTTAAACTGAAAGAATAAAATTTGTGTTTGATGGTATTTATAGTAGTTGAAAAGGTAATTACTTACAACCATTTCAAATGTCACAGATTCAGTTTATAATATAAGGGAGTTAAAAAAATGTTTCTATAATGTAGCAATAAGAAACAAGGTTATATACAAAACAACAAAACTCCAAAAAAACTTTGCTAATTTTTTTCCTTTTCTTTTCTTAATTTTTTCCTTTTCTTTATCGCTTCAGTTAAATGTTTCGTTATTAAATATATTGTCACAAAATTGTATCACATTGTGACAATCTACTAACCATATCTGCTATTTAAAGAATATTAAATTCAAATGGAAATATAGATAGCTTAATTGAGTCAGAAGTTAAATTTGGCGATTTGAAATTGATTGAGTGATGCCTGTGTCCTGACTTTGAGCATTTAATATTCTTTGTAGCATCAAAAAAGTTTGCAATATGAATGAGTACAAGCAAACTTCAACTTCCTGGCATTGTTTCACAAAATTTCGAAGCAAACTTCTTCATTGCAGACATATGTTTCCTGATTGGTTCGTCGTTGTCAATGATGATAAGAATGCGTTTATTTTTTGAAATTTGATTCTATTCAGATTGTTTGTATAATCCCTCCGTATTTATTTATTACTCTTCTGATACTCTTACAAGTTGAGTAAGTGTGTAAATATAGCTTTAGCGAACCTAAGAAGCTAGCTAATTTTTATAGGCCAAAAAAACTGTACCATCCAAGTATTATGTATGGATATCTTATTGTTTTACCAGTCAACAATGCTTTTCATCAATCCTCTCTAAATGCATAATTCATTTGGTATGCCGTCGAATTCGATGAAATTCCCTAATTTCATCTAGTTTTTAATGACGTGAAATGAAATTTTTATTACAGTGAAAATAAATTTATGTGGGAACACAGATTCGATATATCACACGACGAATGGCATGTAATTAATCTATCATTTGTACCAAAACATTCAGTCGCAGTATGACTCTTATCTAATATCGGGTATTAAATATTCAATTCCACGGTTTAACAATGTACTTGAAACTCTAAATCTTGGATATAATGGTTATTGTAAATAAGAATTAATTTCTGTAACGAATACCAAGTATTAATGTTTTTCTCTTATATAAAAATGTTCTTTAAAAGACGAAGTTGAGGAAGGCGAACTATCTTTTCGATTTATATTTTAATATCTTCGTTTGTTTAATCCAAGTATATTCCTTGTAATTAATCCCTGTTATCGGGAAGTGCAGTTTTATTTAAAACTTTAAAATTCGAGACCCGAGTAGTGTTTCATCAGTGTTGCTGAAAAATGAAATTGGTCTGTCACTTCGATAAGTATCTTTCAGTTGCTGGAATTATTCGTATTGATGATTTGTTAAAAATAAGCAAGCGAAAAATTTTTCTAGTACTGATAAATTCCCATTTGAAGGTTTTGAAAAAATATAGAAAATATCTCCCAATCAATATATGTGAATATGTTTAAATAAGGAAAAGTTTCGAAAAAAAACTATTTCGGCACTTATTAATATTACTGCTCAATTAATTCATCTAAATATTGAACTATTCAAGTAACAATCATCTGTCAGGTATTTGGGTAATGAATGATAGGAAAAAGGTGTCTAGCACGGCTGACCTTCACCATCATTTTCTTTCATGAAATAGTAAAAGAGGGTGAGAGTGAGAGAAAATAAGGAAGGCTAACTTGCACACAATGTTACCCAAGCAAACATCAAGCGTTCATATGGTTGTTTGTTTGTTACATTCACTATCTCTCTCCTTGTTCACTAATTATTTGTCGAAAATCAATTCAATCAGTTGAACGAATGATGATATATGGAAAATTCCTTAACTTCTTGAGGTCACTTATGTGTTTCTTTCATTAGATGCCTGCTACGGTAAATTGGCCTTAAATTTTTCATCTTGGCATTATCATCCAATTCTGAACATTATCACTCTACCACCTGCATTGGTAGCACCGGAAAAGATACTGATTCAAGCTGAAAGCTTAACTTGTTTAAACCGCGCCGTATTTCACACTATCAAAATGTCCGTGGTAAGAGAGTATCATCACTCTTGCGCATCTGCTAATGCTAATGTTTTCAGATATACCCGTCACAGAAGACTTATTCATTCCTTCGTCTAATAGTTTTCTCTTCTCGTTAAATTTCCTATTCTTGCCAATAGTTTACAACTTTTTAAAGAAAACTTTCATTTTTGCTTCACGCAATTATTGGAATTTTTAAATAGTAGCATTTACAGTTGCATTCGTTGATTATTTGATACTCTTTATAATTCCGAAGCTGGTCTATTGCTGATTATAGCGAAATAATCAGCAATGGACCATGGTGATATAGCGAATATAGATATAGCGATATATATCGCTACAACATAGACATTATTCCGTAAATTTGCATCTTTTTTTTAGTACGCTTAATCATCATAACTTATATGATGAAAATCGAATATTGAAATGATAATCAGAGCTCTCAGAGTCATTCTTATGTAACGAATGGCACTTAATTTTGAATCGTGATTTTCTTGTTAAAAGAGGGGAAAATATTTGAACATTTAAAAAACTTACTTTTGCAATTTGTTAGAATCGTGATTGAGCATGTTTCCTATTTGTTTGGATAAAGAAATCAAAAATGCATACTCATGTTGTTGCATAAGAATATATATATATGCGCATGAATGTGTTTGTGTTATCTGTACTTTAGATTATTATCATAATCACTATCCCGTGTAACGTTAAGTCGAATAAACATTTCTTCCGATTTGGATAAGCATCATTTTCAGCTCAGTCAGTTCATTCGATCAATTATTCAATTAAACGAAAAGTTCGTGTATATATCAGCAACAAAAAATGAGAATTTTTGGGAGGTGAGACGATAGCAAATCTGGAATTATAATTTATAAGAATTATTAAAATTTATTTATTTTGGAAAGATAACGAAGGGATTACTAGATAACAAAGGATTATTGGACCTTATTTTCATTAAGAGTCATCCATTGACATCAACATAGCTGGACTAAATGTTTTGATTTTTGAGCGTAACTTAGAGTGCGGTTTTTGGTTTCTTCGGTCGCCCCTTAGTCCTCTCCTCTAAGTACACACTTTTCACTTCCCCAGCGGCATTCTATTCCGTAATAGGGTTCAGAGTGAGTAAATGGACTGGCTTAGAATTCATTGGATAAATGTTATCTCACTGACGTAAAGAGCAAGGCAAAAGCAAAGGACAGGAATAATTTACAGAAACGCAAAATTTTGGGCGTTTTTACTACGATTTAAGATAATTATTAACATTTAGCAAATATCTTACCAATCGCAGCCTGAAAATGTCGACTTTGAAAAAGCTCCTCATTAATCTGTATTTTTACATTTTTTAATATGATAGAGAAGATAAGTTACCGAATTTGGCTCATATCAATTTCATTGTTTTAGGGAACCAACTATCGGTAATTCAAATTTGACACAATCTGATCTTGATCGACTACTTGATTTAGACGAGTAAGTCAGTTTTTTCTTTTTACTACGATGGAAGTGAGCTTTATCAAGAGATTTTTTCTTCGAAGTTGCGAAATATTACTTCAACAGGTTGTTCGAATAATAAGTGAATAACTACAACATTTCTAATATTCGTCTTACCGTGATAAATATGTTATGATAGAGCGAAATTGTTTTTTCCATCTAGTAAAGATAGCTTTTTATTTCACTTCTTTAACCTACCATTATTCTTCCTAATGAGCTTTTTTTCAGCACCTATCGAACAGATTATACCTACGTTACGTCGTAAGTTGTTCTCCTTGATTTAGCAATTTTGTTCTCAATTAATTATGAAAGATCAAGTTCAACGGTACAAATTAGTTTAAATAGAAGGGACAGGATAATACGGATCTGTATTTTTCTCTTTAAGCAAAAGCTACCGACTCGATGGTTCAGATGATTATGAAACTCCTCGCATGTCGAGATTGCCTTTGAATTATTATAGACGTAAGTGGGCATTTGAAAAAGCACGGAAAGGTGAGTCATTATATAGTTAGGACTTCTCGAAGTTTCTTTCTAATTAGGTTCATTAGCATGGAATAAAAATTGCACCCTTTGAGTAGAACTCAGAAAGTTTAGAAATATTTTCCGTCATTATTTTTCTTATAAGCACTAGAGAAGCGAATGGAAACATTTTAGTGTTTTTTAATTTAAAAAATCAATCTTATTTACTATTCCGTGATGTCATTAATGTTTGTTTCAGTTGGTTTACTCTACTACATATGCTTTTGTACGTGTGACTTTGTGAGTGAGCTGATTCCAAAACCGCTAGCAATGATTTTGGATATTATCATGGGTATTTTACGTTTCATTATTCGTTGTAAGTAATTTTCTTGCTTTTTTTTATTGAACTATAATGCTCCACTCGTCTTCTCTCCCTATATTCTGATAGATATTAAAGATTTAGACAAAAAGCTACTTTGCATCATCGCTTTTTCCTTTCGAGTTAGAAATGTGGAATTTAGACATTTTTTTCAAACATTGAGCAGGTTCGTAATTATAGAACTTTTTCCTATTTTAGTTCTACGTATTTAAAGATTTTGGGAGATTTTAAACATTTCAGGTTTGTGGTATGTCATCAATGGAATATTTCCAAATCCGGAACAGTCCACAGTTATACAGGAAATGCAGTTAGAACCAGCATCTTGTTAGTTGATGCAATTTTAAAATAAAAATAACTTCTGAAAGGAACAAACTCATTTGCATTTCTATATTTTATACAGTATGCGCGCTTTAAAAAAATTCCATTTTAAAGCTTTAGTTTGATAATTTTCTGTTTTTATTCTATTTCTATGCCACTAAATTACTTGAAATGTATATATATATATATATATTTAAGATCTTGAAGAAAACAGATACAATGTCAAGTATGAGAAGCCATTAAGGGTTGGTTTCTAGTGTTTTTCTCATTAAACATAATGAATTTAAGACATAATGGTTAGTTAGTTTTATAAATTCGGAGTTATTTGCTCTTCAATATCATTGTTGGTATTTATTGATAAAAATGTTTCGGTAAGATATCTGGCTTTATTGCACTTTTCAGTTTTCTCAGTGTCTCATATCTGGAGCACGGGGGAAAATTTTTTTTGCTGACGTCCATAGCGAAATAGAGCAATAAACGAAGTTTTTTGTTGCTTTTTAATGTTTTATTAATTTTTCTGAGTGAAGTTCCTAGTTGTTCTATTCAGAGGGAGTTAAATAAGTGAATTTTAGTAAATTATTTAAAAGAATTTTAGCGCTTATTGATAGTATACTGAAGTTTGTTTTTTACAGTAAGCAACTGGATTATTGGGAGCCTTTTTTTACTTACATTTTAATTTAAACCGGCAAATTTATACATTTTCTATGCAAATTCAATTATAAAGGAAGTTTGAATTTTTCAGCAAGAAAATGAATTTCAACCATCCCGAACACCAAGCCCAGAGACAATAAGGAATAGTCAAGCGAGATCATCTGATTCCTTGGCTAATAAGCTGGGACGGTCATTTGCCAACATGATAACACTTGGTTATTTTTCCAATGATGACGTCCAGTAAGTTATTATCCCTCTCTTCCTAGTAAAATTCTTTTTTAGCTAAGGAACTATTAAGTAAATCTTTTATAGGTCCATATTTTAGTTATTATACTTAGAGCTGTGAATCAGTTTGTTTAAACTAGAGATTTATACAGATAAAATTTCTAGATTGTGAAATAAGGTGTTCTAAAATCACAAATTAGTGTAGGAAAACGAGTTTTTTTAGCAGCTCGTTCAATGTCACTGCATTTTTTTTCTGAAATGAACTCCACATAGTAACCATCCTGTCTTTTTTTGTTTCGGACTTAATTTAAGAACTATATATTTACTTTTGCAATGTTAATTGTATTTGGTTTAGCAATAATCTTGCAAAAAATTCCTTCATATTTTTTTAACGTTTAATCACTTTTTTAATAAATAGAGGGAAAGTTATGCCAAAACGGAAGAATTTGGATCACAGTGATGATTATGATGGAGATAAATGGCATGAGCGTTTTTCGTTCAATCCAATGTATGCTTTGTTAATTGTTTCATTGAAAATCTTTTTTCGAGCTTTCATGAAGACTAAAGTTTTTGTAAATTTAAATTGAAGTGCACTTAATTACTATTAACTTATGCGGTATTTAAGGTAGTTGAAATGCCATTTTTTCAGTAAGATTTATCTCAAATTAAACTCATCAATTCCTTTATGATGAATGTCGTTCTATAACTGTAGTTGGTGATTGCCATTTAAAAGAAAAAGAGATATTTTAGACACGATATAACTCGTAATGTGCGGCGACGTGTAAGAACTAGCAATTATGAATACTCGGAAGATCGTGGATCAGAAATTAACAATCACTCAGTTCATACTGAAAAACTAACCAAAGGATTAGCGGAATCACTCTTCTTCAAATCATTTTACCTTACTTTTATAACAGTATTGTCGCCACTGAAAACTTTCGAATATATCATTGAAAAAATTGCATGGATTTTGCCGGGTTTTAGGTTTGTTTGCTTACAAATTGCTGCATTTCTGATCACTTTTGGCAAAGTTTCACCTATTATCTCGAATCCAAATGTTAGGAGGGCTATAATTTATGGCTTTCAGAATTTTTTCCAATATTTTTCCTACTTTTTTGGCTGTTTCAGTCATTCAACCTATGATTTGCGCAGTCGTACCGTGTACAAGAATCTACCAGGTGAAAAAACATCATATACTGATGGTTTTGCGAACTTCTTGTCTGAAATTGCCACATCGTGTTCTCTTAATATTTTCTCTCTGATAAAAAAATTACTGTTCCTACCGTTCATCATATTCTCCTACATTAGTGATGGATTTCTTGGTTCAAATCGATCGAAGCGGTAAGTTATCTTCTATGTCCTTTAATCAAATTTTGAGAGTATAAAAATTTTGCTTGAAGTTGAATAAATTATCAAAATTAATATTAATATTCTGTTTTTATAGATTTATACTTTTCTTTCATAGAGAGCTAGTGCCGCCATCATTAGAACTATTTTTTTCGTTACAAAATTGATAAATTATGTAGAATCACAGTGAAACTTTTAATTTGATCTTCGATTTCAGATTGCAGCAGCAAGCTGTGGGGACGTCAGAACGGCATCATTTAATCTTTCAAATCTTTGATTTTCTGATCGATCTTTTGTTTTCATGCATCTCTGGTTTCATTTATTTCCTCGTCTCCCTACTATCAGTGCCATTTTCTATCGCCGAGAATATTCGAGAGCGCGCAGCTTATGCGTTGGATTATATGTAATTAATATTCTGTTTTTTGAACGATTTGATATATCGCATTTTTAGGGAGTTGGATAAACGCTAGTATTCAGGCAATGAAATGGATTTCTGCTGGTTTTGAGGATTAGAACTTTAGTCCAGTTTATATTATTCCTAGTCCTTAAGCTATTTTATCTTTATCTTTAATGTCTTTCATTCAATAGAGATTTTACAAGCAGCCGAAAGTTTTTTACAACTTCCTATTAATATTTGAAAATAACTCAGCGAAATAGGAAGTCGATATATTAACATATAATATGGTAAAAGTCGAAACTTTTTCTGTTTTTCATGCTTTTCATTTTTTAGAAGATCATTTATTTCTGTTTATTTGGAAGCTTCATTGTCAGCTCTTGAAGAGAAACTAATAGGAAAAAAACTGAAAATTTTTTCTCACCTTTTTGTCAAATGTTTATATTTTATGCAGGTTTGGGTCGAAAGCCGCAATGTTGGTAGGTTATGAAGAAATAAGACCGGTTAAAAGAAAAGGATTTGCCACTAACCTCAAATCTCCTGCTGCTGCCAACCAACAAAAAATGATTCATGCAGTAGCTCATAGTAAAAGGTATAGCCATCGTGAACTTCAGGTTTTTTTTGTCATTCAATTATTGGTGAAATTTAGTGCTCGCTGAAATATAGTCGAGGATCATTGGTGGGTATCACTTACTTCGTCGAGTTCTATCGTTTTCGTAATTTTAGTGATATATTTTTCAGCCAACTTTTTCCAACTCGGAGTTCCGTAAAGCGCTCTTCGGCATTCTGGAAATGGTTGTTACCTTTGGTAATCTTGCTGTTACTGCTCATTATGTTTTATAAACGTAAGTTCATTTTCAGACTCTGAGGAATTTGTTTGTATTTTTAATTTGCTACAATAAAAAATGTAAGTGTGTAACAAAATCCAAAATAACATTTTCGATCTCAAGGCACTTTGATTTTATTATTATCCCTATAACACTCAAGTTTGTAAGAATAGAGGAGCATTCTGCATATCAGCATCTACAAGGATTTTTTACTGGCTGTGAGATCTTAAATTTAATAACTAAATGATCAGATTATCTGGATAATCGGCTCTAAATAATCAAGTAAATCAGTTCTTTGATGTTGACGTATATCATGCACGATCTTATTTTAGGGCGTGATAGCCGAGATAATCTACATGTAACGGAGTCGTTTGATGAAGTCCAACAAAATAATTTTGGTGGTAATTTATTATAGAAATTCATGAGAATCCAACAGTTATGACATCATTATCTGTGGAGATATTTTAATATTTTATAATTTGAAAATTATAGTTTTATGATCATGCTATTAGGAGAATTTAATGATATGTATTATATATTTTAATAGCAGGATGGAAGAAAAATATAGGAAATGGTCTAAGTTCTATGCTCAGAAATGCTTTATATTTGCTATCTGCTGTATTCCGCTTCTTATATGACCGCATATTATATTCTACAAAGTGGCATGGCGCAATGATGCATCCTCGAGAAGTACCAAAATATGTTTACATGGCTGGTTGGTCATTCTTTTTTCCAAATTTGCAACTTTTGTTTCAAGTCATATTTAGCATTCTTTCATTCTACGCGATATTCTCTAACCAAACAGTCAAATATTTGTTTGTCTTTTGATATTTCTTTTATTTTTAATAATTGTAAATCGATAGCAACACTTGGCATAAATGTTCGATTAATATGTATGTTCTCTTATTTACTCTTTCTTATATATCTATTCAGTCTGTTAATCGATGGGTATAGACACTATTCTAAAAATCCGTGACTCACTTGAAGTTCTTCCGAACGTTATCTTTAAACTGACCGAAATTCTCTTTCAAGGTCAGTCAGTGGGTACGAAAGCAGTGACTGTTATCTACAGCTATAATTTCTTATACAGAATTATACAGCCTTAGTATATAGAAATTATACAGCCTTAGTATATAAATTTTATCTTTAACTTACAAATTACTTTTGAACCGAGATTCCCTCAAATCGGGTATATGTAAATTATTTTTTTTGTCAACTTGTAAAATCCATTTAAGGGAGTTGGCAGTCATTCATTTCTTCGAAAGTTTTAGCGTATTAAGTTCCAGAGTGTATGGCATTATCCAGCAAGTGTCCGCTATTTCGGAATGGATTCGAAATTGCTTTTCTTTGTATTTTGTACATTTCTTTAGGAAAACTTCTACTGAATTTTCTGATTCCTCACTTACTCCTGCTTATAAAGGAATTCTTGAAGCTAGGAAGGTTCATGCTTATTAGCAAAAAACTTTATCATTTCGGTTTATTGCTTCGTTCTTTTTTTTGTTTCATCGCTTAGATTTGATGTTGTGGAAATAATTGCTAACTGATTCACCGTTGAAATCAGAGTCAAATGAAGTGACTGGTTTTGTTTTAAGAGGAATTTAAATTTGCATCAATTGTAAAGCTACTGTAACTGCATCTCAAATACAATACATTTCTGCAAATTTTATATTATTGGGTTCTTAATTTTTTTAAATAACTGCTGAAATATTGTTCTTAAATACTCTCAATTTCAGCTAATGGTATTTCTGAAAATACTGAGGGCATGTTCTTATTTCTACGGAACTTAATAAGCTCTGCGGTACAAATTTTATTGGCGTTACCATCATATATCATTTCAATAGCAGCCCAGTTTATTCCATTTATGAATCAAAAGGTAGTAAATAGTTTTCTTTTTTTCGTTGTATCATGAGCTTTTAATTTTCTGTTGGCTTTTTAGTAAATTTTTGCACTGAACAAATTTTTTCATTCTAAGTTTTAAAAATCTAGTCGGCTTTAAGTTTAATTAGCCATGGATATTTTATCTTTTTCTATAACTCTGTTTTTTTGCCACTAAATTTTTAAGGTTTAAGGATTTTTTTTTGTAGACAAATTTGATTAGTTCAAACGGTTTCAACCAGCAACAAGCTGAATGGACTTTGGAACATTTAAAATATGAAAAGGTATCTTTTCAAGCTAGAGTATGTCAATTTTCAAAAAAAGAATTCGGTAGAAAAGGTTAAAAGATTGTCAAGGTTATGGTATGATTTGCTATTGCATTTTCGAATTGCAGGACTTGTTGGAATCGGAAGTGTTACAATTGCGTCGTGAACGAGAACTACAAGAAGATCGCTACAAAGATATACATAAAGCATTACGAATAGTTGAGAAAAGTGCCCCGATGTCCACAGATAAGCGGTACTGTATTCCGAATTTGAAATTCAATAAGATATGCATGCTTCGATAATTTGTATGGAAAAGTGTCATAGATTCAAAAGTGAAAATGAAATTTGCATCTATCATGATTATGTTCTGGCATATGTTGTGGAAAGACAATAAGCGTTAATAAAGATTGATCTAGTGAAAAGCCAGATAACATTTTGATTTCCATCGTTTCATTAATTGCTTTTACTTTCAATAAAATTGATATGAATTTCAGGTTAAAAGAACCATCATTAATCAGCGATGAATTATTGCAGTACAAAAATGATGAAAATTTTTTAAATTACTTGGTTAACTTGAGAAAATCAGATGATGAGGAATTGAGAAAGGTATACTTTTCTACTTAATTTGATCACATTCACTCACACTTTGCTTTTTGCTTTATGAATTCTAAAAAGTTTGAGTACTCGCTGGTATTAAATGCAATTCGTAATCCAAAAGCATTTACAATACGCACAAAGAATTTTGGTTCTATAGTAATTATTTCGAAGTATGAAACATATAGTATGAAATTATCTTGCAAAGATATTTGCTTACTTGATTAAATACTAGGTTATGCATAAAAATTTTTTTCGATTAACAAAAATTTAAATTTTTAGTCTCCAATTTCTGTTTCAGCGTTTACTTGTCATTGAGAGGCGTTTGGTGGAACGATTGGACATTCTGTCAGGAAAAATCGAGAGTGAAATTGCACAGAAGAATATTCCCACTTCTGAACAATGCGATGTGGGACGGTCAGCTTTGTCCAACGTTAGTGTGATTTTTTTGTATTGTATTTTAGATAAATTTAACCATATAGCACTTTCCGTGACTTTTGCATAATAATAATATATCCAATATGAACTTTGTGTACTGTAGAAAAATGGAACAATTATTTGAATGTCATTCTTTCTATGAGTATTCGTTGTGTATTAAATGCATTACGTAATCCAAAAGCGTTTACACATACGCACAAGGAATTTTGGTTCTATAGTAATTATTTCGAAGTATGAAACATATAGTATGAAATTATCTTGCAAAGATATTTGCTTACCTGATTAAATACTAGGTTGTGCATAAAAATTTCCTTTGATACTATCATGCATCTTATGATTTCTTGTTCAAGTACGCTTTCACAGCAGTTCCGTTTACTTTTCAGGAACTATCGGAGCTTTCATCTGCAGTTAGAAATTTGCGCATTCAGTTTGACCAAGTATTTTTTTGACTTCTAATTGAAATTTTAGTATCAGGTCTGCAATTTGTCTTTTATTGGTAGTTCTTCTACTGATTGCTTTGTTATTGGATTAGAAAATGGTTAGAATATTTCATTGCACGCTAATTGGTTAATTATACATCATCAACATATTTTTCATGAATATGGCACTCTTTCAATACTATTGTTTTTCTTATTCAATTGCATTAATGTTATTCGAATTGAAAATTTCATTAAATAACAGGGTCTATTATTTAGCTTCGTCAAAAAAAAGAAGCCAAAATTGCACAACTCGCTCATTCAATAATGATTCGTGATATAAAACGGAGCAATGATTTGAGCACACTGAAAACTGAACTAAATAAGAAGATGAAAGATGATCTTGATAAGGTTGGCGCTATGTCATTGGGATGTATATATATGAGTACCTATTTATCCGTTTGCTCATCATTTTTGAGTTGAAGTTTTCAAAAAAAATGTCCTTTTTTTACAACTTCATAATTTCCTTTTGTGCATACATAAATAATATGTATATGTTTTTATAAATGCGTAAATCAGACAGTTTCAGGAACTTTCACTCAGTTTAACTCGTTTCGAAAAAGCATCGCATGAGGAACGAGAAGCATTTCGTTTAGAAATTATGAAAGCAGTGGAGAATCGAGTCATTACTCTCTTCGCAAGTTACATAGCTGAAAAAAGTGGCGCCGTTTCCGTAAGTGAATTGAAGTTCAATTCGGAGTAGAAACTCTTGAAAAAAAAGTATAAGTTTTGCTTGTAAAAAAAACGATGTAAAATAGAGGTGGAAATAGCTAATTGACAAGACCTAGAATGGGATGGAATACAAAGTACAAACGGGATAGAATCAAAACTGATCGAATACGGAACTGTTAAATGAATTCAGTCTCATAAACATAGTTATTTTCTTGGAATTTCATTTTTGAATATTTTCGTAAAAGCTCAGGTTTTCTCAGGAAAATAAATTGAGTTCTATTCTCCAACTGTCGGATTCCGATTTTACGGTTATAAAAAAGATGATAACTGATGCTTTGGATACGTATGATGCAGATAAGACGGGCAAAGTAGATTATGCACTAGAAAGTTCAGGTAATGTATTGCATCGTTTTTAAAATTTCCCTGTTTGAATTCATGATGGAAATTAAATAATAAGAACTGTTATATAAATGGTTTAAGAGTTGGAGAAATCTTATTATGGGTTGCTTTTCCTCATTAAAAATAAGTTGATATAAACTAGTTTTTTCCTTCTCAAAATAGACTTCTGCAGGGGCATCTGTTGTAAGTACACGCTGTACGGAGCCATACAAGGAGAATTCACGACTGGAATCAATTTTTGGAATTCCACTCTGGTACTCTTCATATTCACCGAGAGCCGTAATTCAGGTAATTCATGCATATTTTTGTTATGCGGTGATGTTTCTATTTCCGCAGAAAATTTCTAATTTTTAGCTTCGGGAGTTTATTTTAGCATCGCCCTTTGGCAGCTGGTGAATGCTGGGCTTTTCGCGGTAAAGGATATCTAACGATAAAGTTGTCCCATCCAATTTATATCGCAGAAGTTAGCTACGAACATTTGCATTCAACATTGCATCCAGATGGAGTATTGAAAAGCGCACCCAAACTTTTTCAAGTTTATGTATGTTTTTCATTTGAAGCTAGATTAGATCTTGAGGCAGTGCTAATCGTTTTCGAGATCTTACTATGAGCTTTGAATTCAACTAAAGTCTTAAACAATTAAACAATTAAAATCAGTTCCTTATTCGAAGAATTAAAATTAACATGTGAATTGTGCATTGAAACATCAACATAGTCGGTAATTTGTTTGATAGCGTATTTTAAAATAACTTGTGAACCTTTGGATTTTTTCAGTCTTACCAAGCAGTTGATGATCTCAAATCAAAATCCTTAATTGGACAATATGAATATGATATTAAGGGTAGAGCACTGCAGACATTTCATGCACAGGTTTGTTCTCTATACCGCATATAAAAATTTGTCGATTCAAATTACGATCACGAGTTCTTGTTTTCATAAATTATATCTGTTTCTACTCATGTTAGCGAGAGACGTCATCCTCATGCTTAAATTGAAAAAATTGGATGAATTCAACACTCAAATAGCGGTAAAGGTATTATGTAGCGGTAATCAAATTTGCAGCCTCATTGTATCAAAACACATTTTTTGCAGAACGAGTCTAACATGCCGGTAGCAATAATCGAATTGGTGGTGCAATCGAATTGGGGTTCAGACTACACATGCTTGTATCGTTTTCGTGTGCATGGACAAAAGGCGTAAGATGAGTTTGAATATTCAAGGTGAAATTTAATTCTCCAAGTCATCAGTTTGCTTTTTCTATCAAGAAGATATTCATAATTGTATTTTGCAAATATTTTATAACAAATTGCTGGTTTTAATCTTAAGAAAATTTGAAATGAAGTGAAAATCAATAGCTATTCCATTTTTAAAAATTTATTTTTTATGAGATATCCATTTTTTTATAAAACCTGCTGCTGTTGATGATAGCCGTTGTTTTTTCTTGACATTTTTAAAGGTGTTTCTCGATTTGTAAAATTCTTTTCACTTTTAAAAATATTTTTTGTTGAAATGTCTGGGATGTAAGAACCCAATGCCATTCAAACAGATGTTTTATCTCAAGAAAGTGATTTGAGTAGTGTGTCTTTTGAATTATATATATATATACATATATAAATTACAACGGATAATAATATACATATATGTTCACTTTAAATTCGTAAAAAGATTCCATTTCTCACAAAAAAGCAGCAGTAATTTCTTTCTTTGTGCTGAGTTCACATTTTATTGCTATGTATGAGTGAATCCCTTTTACTGTTCTTGATATTTTTAATCGGTTCTCTACTCGCGGGATCTTTTTTACCAATTCAGGTATTATTTGTTTGTTTAGCCGCGAGTGCATATTTTTTCTGATGTTATATTGAATTACTGTTAACACTGCTTTTGCTTAATTTTTGATTTCTTGAATGTGAATTCATGCCCAATTCTTATGATTTTATAACTGTTAAGCATACTCTATAAATATAAAGAGTTTTACAAAATTAACTGAAATTTTCTTTAAAAAATTTGTGGAAATGTGGCAGAAGTATGAATGCATTAAATAAAGGACAGAATTACACAAATTCTTTGGATATTAGACAGGTAATAATTTTAAAATGAATTCTTTTCAATGAACAACTCCTGAAAATTGCTTTAAATTTTAATGGCTTCATCTATATTAGTTTCAACCACATCTAAAACTGCTTTCGGTAATGTAACTCTGGAGGAGGAAATTGAGATGTTGTAGAGCATTTATGCGTGAAACAGATTGTGAGGATATTTCCCGTATGCCGAGTCCAGAACAAATAAACCCATTTGTGTGCCAAGTCGTTCAATCTTCACTAGCCATTCTGTTTGTGGATCTAAAACTAGATTAAATGCTACTCGTGATTCAATGGATACCTCGATTTTGATATGCAAAAACCTCCCATACAAATTATACAATTGTGTTATTGAGAAAGTTGTAACATGAAAAGAATACATCACTTACGCTTACACTTCAAGTGATAAACAAAGTATAACCCAATATTTGCTAGTTCATTACAGCCTTAAGATAAATGGTGACAGCCAGATCGTCTATAACTTGAACCATCATATTTTCGAAAACGTTGGGACGGGAAGCTTTTCATAGCACAACCTGATTGTGAATTTCAAATTGTCAATTTGAGTATGTCAAGAGATTATCGGTATGTCGTTCCCTGCATGGGTTCGATGTTTCGAGCGTGGGATTTGCTGTACCTTCATTCTTTTTCTCTTGTTTCATATATGAACAATCTAGGCGGGCATTACTGACGCAACAAACATTGCAATATTAACCATATAGCACGTGTAAGTAGTCAACTCCTTATTTTACATTTTGAGTTATAAAAATGACTTTAGTTATCCGTAAGGCATCATCTTACAAGTTCTTTATGGTTAAAAATATGGTAGTTATATATGTATATGTTGTAGAGAAGATTATCGAATTTTATAACAAAAAGGATGAAAATGAAGCCTTGGATTGACCATAAGAGGATGAATTCAAGGAACATTTAAACAAATTTAGGATTTGAACTGTCCATGCCATTCTTCCGATAGGATACCAAACGCCATCTATTATGGTTCTCTTCAAACTGGATGGTAGACTGTACTGCATTAAATTTCTCAGGAACATAATTTTTTTAAAACGTCAGTTAGAGGGACCAAAATATACCATCAATTATGCATGTTTTTACAGGACGTTTGAAATCAGAGGAGCAGAAAATGGCAGCAATGACAGCCTACCATCATTATTCACCGTTTGGTAGCACTCCACTTACAATGGAAGATTATATGTCTGGAATATCATGCGCCTTATTAGATGTCGAAGAAATGTTGTTGCAGCAGCGTGGAGCCAGAGAAGTTCCTTGTTTGCACAATTATACTAGTTGAATCAAACGAAGTGGAATATCTGACCACTTCACAAGGAATTTTTTGTTTCTTTGAGATTTATGACCAGTTAATATTATAAGTAACATTCATGAGGTTTGAGAGATTGAAAAATTTCAGGCTCCATTTTCTGGAATGGACAAAAGTGGTCGTGGTGTATGCATACGTAATGAACAGGGTACATGTACGATGGGAGCTGTTTGTCCACTGAGACATATTGTTGGAGATAAGGTATGAAATTGTTAATCTTATTTTCTATCCTGCTGATTGTGTTTTCATATCAAAAATAAATTTTGCTTTGGATACTATCTCTCGTCCATGTTTTTTCAGCTTATCCATTTCAAACAATGGAGAAACTTCATATACACTATGTTTTAAAAAGGACTTTTTAGGCTGTGGTGTGTAAGCACTGGTTGCGTGGATTATGTAAAAAAGGCGATCAGTGCGAGTTCTTGCATGAGTACGATTTAAGTAAAATGCCGGAATGTTTTTTTTTCTCGAAATACAGTAGGTTTTCGCTCTTTCATGTGTCAGTATTTTAGTGGTTTCTTCAAAAAAATTCATGTGTTAATATTTTAGATGATTTCTTCAAAATTAGTTTTTAATGAATGTTAAGAAGTATCGACAAGCATGTTTTGTCAAAAATTAGAGCGACCATTCGTGGAGAAATATTTCAGTAATACATAAAATAAATTTTCGTGCATATTCTCATTCCTTATTTCACTTTTAGTGGCTTGTAGTAATCGTGAATGTCCTTTTCGACATATTGATCCCGAAAGTAAAATCAAGGATTGTCCGTGGTACGACCGTGGATTTTGTCGACACGGTAAGTGGTTCTTTTCTAAAAAATATGCACATTTTTTTAGAAAATAGTTTATGGATACAAGAAATATTGCTTTCATTTACATTATTTCAGGCCCATTTTGTAAACATCGACATCGCAGGCGTGTTCTTTGTCCTAATTATTTGGCAGGCTTTTGTCCAGATGGAAGGGACTGTAAATATGCTCACCCGTCTTTCAATATCCCACCTGTAGACACGACTCAAATTCTTCGAGCACGAGGACAGTACAACATTGGAATAGTGTGTCACAACTGTCATGAAAGAGGCCATAAGGTTTTAGTTAAATATGTTCTCAACTTTGACCTTTAATTCATGTTTCTTTTCAATTTGATTTTGGCATTGTTGGATGATTTAGAACACATTTTTATACTGTTATTTACTATAAATGCATCCCTCAGATGCAAAAAGACAGGTCATATGTCTGTAATCTTCTTTATAACTTAGTTAATTTATTGTTTGCAAAAAAAGAAGCATTTCTAGGCTACATACTGTCCTCATTTGCCTACTCAAACTCAGTTACCGCTGCTAGATTCATCAAAAGTGAATGCACAGATATCGCAAGAATTGGTAGCTATTTCCGAGAAAAAGGCGCTTTCAGATGTAACCTGCTATAAGGCAAGTTAAAGTTTAAAAGATGCTTAGAACTTATGTATCTCATTAAACATCTCGGTTATTTTTTTTAATTGAGTTAATTATATTATTTTCATTGGCTGGTTTTTCAGGAAATTTAATCTTTCTGTTTAGCTTGATCTTATTTTTCACTGCATACATGTTTATGCATTTTTTAAAATTTACTCTTTAAATTTATCTTATTTGAAGTTTATTGAAGTTAAGTGAAGTTTATTCAGAAAAAATAAATGATGGCAGACGATGCACTAAGTTTCTTGACTTCACTTGGTAGGACACGGATAATATAGCTCCGTATTTATCAAAATATGTTAAAATATATTATTGCTACTCTGTATTATTACTATTCGTATTTTTTTAGTGTGGTGAAAAAGGTCATTACGCAAATCGATGTCATAAAGGATTGTTGGCATTCCTGTCAAATACGGCATATCTTGCTCACGAACAGCGAGAGAAAGATGAAAAAGAAACCAGGTAAGTGTTCTTCACTTTCTTGCTTCTTTTCCTCAATTTCTCTTAGTGACTGGATCAGGTGATGACTGAGGATTGTGGAGAGACTTTAGATTTCATAATTTGTTTGGAATATTTTAACAATATTAATCTTCGTTTTAATTTATTTCAATTAATGAACGGTAATTTTTTTTAGAAGTTTGTAAGCTTTCTGTAATGATGAATTTTAGTCTTGATAGTGCACATCTAGCTCATGATGCGAATTGATCTCTTTTGTTTAGGGGAAACGGACAGCAATTTGGAAGTTTAGGAAAGTCTCAGCAGGTACCGCAACCAAAGACATCAAATTCAACTAATAAATCTGGTGAAATGCTGCGTTAAGATGATTGTTTGGGAAATATATAATTATAATTCTCTTAAATATATCGGTTACTCGACACATTTAGAAAATTAACCGAGCTTGAAATATTACTGTCATAATTAATTACCAATGAGTTTTTATTGCTCTCTATCAGCAGTTACGCTTAGTTTCAACCGGAAGTCTTAAGGTTCTCAGTTGGAACTTAGAATTTTTAAAAAATGCCAGTGTTTATTTCTAGAGATATGAGAACACATCTAAGACAATGCAAGATGTAATTGAAAGTTCTCATTCACATCGTTTGTGCAAATATTTAATTTTTGCTTACTGTTTATTTATTAAATGATTGTGATTCACAATTTGCGTTGATCTTATATTATATATAACTCCTTCTTGATTCATTCTACAGTTTCCATTAATAAAATGATTCTTTTATTTTTGCCACTGATTTTTCTTTGTAATACAGGACAACAGTCTATATCATCGTAATTGGATTAAATATATTAATTTGAAAACGCTTTCCGTTCTAATGAAATATTTACTGCTTATCGTTGCAATAATATGAATACGTCAGACTTATATACTAATTATATAAGCATGCTGAAATATGAGATGGGATATATCTTGTTGTATCATTTGTTAAGTTGTCAGGAACACAGTATGTCTACATATTTTAATAATCACAGAAATTTCTTCTTCATTTGCTGGGTGTGTGTCCGTAACTATAAGAAAAAGTCGCAAGTGTTCTCCTGAGGAATAGTTTGCATATTTTCCAACTTCAGCTTTTTCTATTCATGTACACTTTTTTTGCATTGTTTTCCTTTCTCTGGATATAACGGGTATTATAACGGAAATGCTTGGTGGTCTTTGCATTTTTCTGAGTCATAGGAAATGTAAAATGAGCAAAGAAGTATTTTGTTTTAAGGTCATTCTGGATGAACGTTGGAAATTTCGAATAAGCAATGAGTCGAAGGCCGACATTAATTGGTGACGAATATAAAATACTGCTAAGAACGCTTAATCCTCATATAACGTGTCCTTTATGTAAAGGGTTAGTTTTCGTGTTTTCTTCCAAGTTCTCGGGATTTTCCTTGAATAATGTTTGGACTGAATAAGGTTGATCTGTTGATAGATGCCAGTGAACTGTTCGATATTTTTAGTTTGCATCACCTTTTGTTCCTGTTTTCAATGATGCGGGTCATGTTGAATGATATCTTTTTAGGTACTTTGTGGAAGCTACGACAGTTACTGATTGTTTACATACTTTCTGCAAGTCATGCTTATTAAAGCATTTTGAAAATGTCAACAACTGTTGCCCCAAATGTAGTAACCTCATCCATCAGGCACGTGATTATTAACTGATTGTTTTTATTTCTAAATCAATCTAAGTATCACTTTATCATATTGCAAAGGATTTTTTATTCTTAGTAAACATATAGTTTATTAGCTTTGTTAAGTGGTATTTTGATGTAAATTTATAAAATGATGTATCGATATATATTTGAAATTCATATGGCTTGCTAATTTCATTAGTATTGAATCTTTTACGAGCTTTATTTTTTAAATAGCACCTAACTTAGTTACCAATGGATATTTAACATACGAAAAAATTTTCGATACCTTAGACTGTGTTTGGCATAATCGAATAAAGTACTTCCTTCTTTGATATCGGCCTTTCATATATATATATATATATATAAATTTTATGGTTTAAAAATCTTATCAGCAGTTAGCACTATTAATGTTCAAATTATATTTTGTTCAGTTTCTTATGAAGAATTTTTTATGATGTTTTTGTTCAGAGTCATCCATCCCACTATGTGAGCTTTGATCGTACAATGCAAGAGTTGGTGTATAAACTTGTACCCGGTGTGCAAATACGAGAGGAAGAGAATCAGAATGCTTTTTTGCAAACGGTAAAAACGGAGGGTGAAAATGGATCTCTTGAAAAGTTAGAGATTGATGAAAATACGGTAATTTATGTGTCCTTTAGAAATTGATTTATTGGGAAAAGCTCGAGCTTCTTAACAGTTCAGCAGTTCAATGAGAAATAATTTTTGGCGTAACTTTATGTTATAAGAATTCCTTTCGTCATATTTCATTGTTTTTGAATTTTCTTTTTGGTTCTTCAGGTTGACAGTAGTTCGGAAACAAGAGAATGTTCTGGTGATTTGATGGGGAAGCATCATCGCAGTGATGAGCAGGTTGCTGTGGAACTCTGCACTGATAAGCTTTCCAAATTCTCTGATATTGAAATGCCTTACTTAAGACTATCGGGTGGGTTTTTGTTGAAGAATATATGTAAATTTTTCACTCCAGCGTCGTCTTGCCGATTATTAGAATAAAACGAAAAATTTTTATAACATCAAACACGAAAAAATTATTCAAGGAACTGATTTTTTGCATCTAACATCCTAACAGACCATGTTAACGAATCATAGTGAACTTCAAAAATGCACATTATATATATATGCACTGTTGTTTAAACTTAGGTTAGCAGAAGACACGCCAAATAGAAGACAAATCATTCAAGCAATTCTTTATTTTTTAGCTTTTCTGATAAAATATGTGGATTTTTCATTATAGAGATGGCAACCGTGAACACGATTAAGCGGTATTTGGCTATGACATTGTTTGGTGATATAAGTCGCTACAACGATTTAGATATTTTCTGTAACAATGAACTAATGGGCAGAGATTATTCAATGAAATTTATTGAAAAGACTAGATGTCGAAACAAGCCAGAAGATATTCCAATCAAATTGCTATTTAGAAAACATATCGATTTTTGATACCAGTCAAACTATTCGTTTAACTAAAGCATTCCTAGTTACATTTATATAAAATTTGTTGATCTACACAGAATTTTATAGCAAATAGTTAATTTTCCTTCAAAAAATGAGTCAAATTCCTAACAGTATGAGAAAAATGAATTGGTTCAATGAAAAACATCGCGCAATGAAAGTAGTTTTACAAAGGACACCCTGTAAAAAATTTTTATATTACCAAAATTTAGGCTATACTCTTTATTCTACTCATCGACAAAACTTGACTACTGATAAAAAATTGTCGTTAGCAGATTATCTTAGCACTTTTTTGCCTTTGTGCTTCCTAGAATATATCTCATCGTGCTTCGTTACTGCCTAAAACTCGTAGTTCTGCACTACGTTGATACAATCAGATTAGGTTTCTCGAAGTCTTATTTTTTAGAAATGTGAGTGGTATGAGTTTTGTGACTTTTTGGTAACTAGATTAGTGCAGCTTTTTGAATTCTTTTATTCTTGTTCATTTATGAAATGATTTTATCTGCGATGATTTACTTTTTCCATTGACATAATGTATATTTTTTGAAATTTTAATATTTTTAGAATTTGTCATATTTTTGAATTCTATTCATATTTATTGAAAAAAGTAAAGGTATTGAAAATTTAGTTTTAAAATCACATCGAATTCTAAATGCCAAAGGAGTGATTATCAAATCGATTAAGCGTGAATGTGTTTTTTAGCATGAACTACACGCATCGCAAGATTTCTAAAATACATAAACTTCTTTATTTATATTTATGTGTTATGTACATCTGTGAGATCGATCATCTGATCATGACTTCATGATAAGAGCACATGTGAGATGTATTGGTAGAGGATCTGATTATGTAATGCAAAAGTTTTTATGAATGGTAATTAATATTGAAGTAAAAATTAATTAGGATGTGCTGTTGTGTGCAATCCTATTACGAAACTTTACCTCCAAGGAAGTTCAAGGTGACGTTCATTGCATTAGCTTACTCTTGATCATACTTTTAAAGTGTTGCCGTCAGCCTCTTCAGCTCTCTTTCTTTCATGGTATTTCGAGATTCTGTGCTCATTCATTCTCTACTTGATTCAGAGATAACCATAATTTCTGCTAGTACAGCAGTTAATTCAATATCTTGTATTCCGTTTAAAACAGTCTATCTGATTGAATTTGGAAATTTGCAACAAAATTTGGATACTAATTTTATAAAATTTAATTAGGAAACTAAGTTAGTTAGATATAACGTCTGCTGACGTTGATAAAACTAAAGTCTCAGGGAGATAAAAAACTTCTGTTTGGACAGAAAATCAAAGCAAAATTACTGGTGACCTATTAAGGGGAAATAAGTATCAATCATTTCCAAATTTTGCTAATTGCGACAAACAGATTAGAAGTAGAGAAAAGGGAAAATAAAAATAGCAAATACAACGGATCTCATTTCTTCATTTTGTTGTTTGGAGATTATTTATTGTAATATTTATTTTATTTTTTTTAGATAAATGATCTAAATTTTATTTTAGCCTAAATTTTATCTTATTTTTATCTAAATTTCATTTTTATTTTAGATGTTTAGATTTTTTAGATAATTTATTTTTAAATTTCTTTTCTAATAGATCCCATAAAACATTTGTTTCCCATAATGATTCTTTGCATAATATGTCCGTACAGTCATATGAAAGAACTTATAGTCTTAGTTATTAACAATGAGCAGTGATTGTAGCTTACTGTTAATTTCACATTTCTATTAAAATTCTGCTTTATAGTGTAGAGATATGATACGCCACATTGGTATTGTTTCATAGTATAGCGCCAAGAATGAGTTGTTGTGTTGTACTATGATATTTTAATAACTCTTTTATGAGGTTCACATAAAAATCAAACTTTACTATTTGAATCTTTTGATTTAATCGTTTTCTCCTATTCTTTCATAAATTTTATTACAACTCCAATAATTTTCATTTTGGAATGATAACCTTTAATAACAATTTACTGTTTTCTCTGTAAATTGCAAATTGTGAAATCGTTGCAAATTCTTCATTTCTTACATACTTGAATAATGTTCCCGAATGATCTATCTATAAGTGACTGCAGTTTACTAAGATATCTATTGAGAGTGAAATGAAGGATTTATTATTTACGACAATGTAGAAAGAGATGATCGATTGAAAGGTTTGACTATTAAAAATCCTTTTAACAATCGTTTTTGCCACAACTTGCACTATCAAATTATCATTACAAAAGCTTTCTTTTCATGAGTAGAGAGAAGTTAATTAGTGTTATAGCTGTCGTCGATAAATGAAAATCTCTTCATTTCCATTTCTACTTCCTGTTCTTTCTCCACTTCTTCATTCTCTTTTCTATTCATTCGCATTGGTCAAAAATTTCTCTCTCATTAGTTTTCCTATCCGTTGCTTTTTTTCTACAGTACGAATTAGTAATGATTAAATATTTATTGTTGAAAATCTATGACAAGGCTTATTTGATAACTATAATTTGGCAATTGTTTTCTCCAGTTATTTTTTTTGTGATAAAGTTATTTCAGCCTTTTAGTCATTTTTGTTTGATATGCAGGTGAGCTATAGAGAGACTTGTTGTTTTTGTTTTCATTGTTGATTTTGATATACATATAATAAGCATTTTGTTACATTTAATGATAATGGATAATAAAGCTTTAATCATAGACTGTTACGTTAGATGATAAGGCTTAATCATAGCTGTATCATCTCGCCATGTTTCGCACCTTTCTGATGGCAATTTCAAATACAAAAACAAACTGAAATAGTGAAGCTTTTTTCACACTGTGATTTTATCCACAAACATCAATTAATCCACTTTTCTATGTTTTCTCAACTTTTCAAAATATTCCGAAAGTAAATTGAATGAATTTTTTCCTTCGAATTTGAATGAAAACCTTTGCTACGATCTTATTTTCAGTTCGTTTATTAACAAAAAGGTAATTTTTGTATAAAGTTTCAGTGAGTATTTTGATTTGAACAGAAAATTACATGGATAAAATTGTGAAGTAAAATTTTTGCTTCATTTATTTTAATTATTTAAGTCATACTTCTTATTATATAATTATGAAAGTCAAGAAACTGAAGCCAATAAAAAGATAAAAATGACATTAAAAAATCAGTGTTGAAAATTATTACGAAAAAAAATGCGTGATAGTTTGCGATTTCATCAGGAAGGGATGATACCATGCAGTGATTGTGGTGATATCTTGATAAAATTAGGCAAAAGAAATGAAGTGAAGAGGAATGGAAGTGGAAAAGTTCGGAAACGGAAAGGGAGAGAGAGAAGAGAAATGCTTTCCGTATTAACAAAAAGAGAATATTCTTCGCAATCGTACTGATTCTATTCGGATTTCATTATCCAAATAAATTAATTTCTTTTACGTGTGCTACTTTCTGTTGATATTAGTACTTTTGTTGTTTTTTAATTCTTTCAAAAGCAGAAATGATTTTCAGCGATATTAAATCTGTTCGTTCATTCGTTGTACCAAATATCTTTGTTATTTTTCTCCACAAAACTTTTTGAAATTTTCACTCAAAAATATTTGGTTTATTCTAAGTGTCAAATTCAAGTTCATTTCATTCGTAATAACAATTAGTCCTAATATAATAACGAATATTTATAATAGTATAATCTTCAGAAAGTATAGCTGCCTTATGTACTTCATTTCTTTGAAATTGGGAGCAACTTTTTTTGGAGATAATTTTATTGAATCTTTTGAACTTTCAATTTTTTATTGATATATGTAATAATTAATATATAAAGAAACTTGTTCGATAATTGAGGAGTTCGGGGTTATTAATTAACGTAATATACGAATATGACGGAAAGAGAGGTATGCAATAGCAAATGAACTGCCATATGTTTATCTATGTTCAAAGTATATTATCACTACTATTTGAATTCTTATTCGCTTCAATCCTGAAAGTATCATTGTTGCTCTTATGTTAATGTTACAATATTATTAAACAAGTTGAATTACTGACAGTATTGCAGTCACTAGAGTAAACAGGAATAATTTTGAAAATCAAATTATCTATGATGATTATAACTGCTCTCCAACCGCTGAATGCAATGAAGATAATAATTTTTCCGATCACATAATTAAAATTAAAATTTTTGCAGCAAAGAAAGAGTGTAATAAATAGCTTAAAAATGTGGTTGCACCAGGTAAGTGATGATTATTCATTTGATACTAACAGTGTTTGTATTCAAATGGACACTATATCAATTCTCATATTTTCTTTATATTACTTTTTTTCTTCTATTCTATTTTGATGTAATATTTCTGTTACTATCATGATCTTTTTTAATCTAAAATTTTATTCATATCAAAATTAGACATAGTTTTTCTTTCCTGTCTCATTCTTATCAATCAATCAGTCAGTAAGTTCATCAGCTATTTATCATATTGAAATAGAAGAAAGAAAAAACAATATTGGAAATCAACATATGCCTCTTACACTATGATGAATTTTAGTAATTACAGCCGTTGGTAGTATCAAAGTAATGATGAAAGTTTTCCTATTCTTTTCAATAAAAAATTCTCGTAGGTATATGAAAATGTTAAGAATAGTAAAAACAAACATTAAAACTTTTTTCAAATTTGATACAAATATAAGTGAATGTGATAATTTATCAAAATTACTTAATCAAAATTAAAAGTTAATTCCAGGAAAATTTAATTATTAATTCCAAATTAACTGTATGATCACTAATTTTCATAATGTAAAGTACTAATTAAGAAAAGAAAAAAATTAGATAAACAAAAATTTGATTCAAAGATGTTATTTGGTTGCTAAATTATCAATGAGTCATTATTAAAGCACAAAGAGAAGAGACATAATATTGGTAGAAGAAAAGATTAAATGGTGTCAAGAAATAAAACGACAAACTTTCCATTAGCTAACTTGCAAATTTCCTGTATGAATTTTTTTTTTATTTTTTAAAAAATATTGTTAAGTTAGAGAGATTAGATGATCT